TGGGTAAAATTTATGATCTAGAAGAGAGTCGATATTGTCATCTTCGCTACTTCTGGAAAATGGTCACTGGAAGTATCCAACGAAGTCCTACTCAGAGTAGCCCAATTGAAACTTAATGTCCGTAAGTTCATCATGCGTCCAGTCATTTCACTGAGCTTGCTCTTGAGTAGAATTAATGCGGGAGATGACCCACTAGGTGTAAATGGAATTTCCATTTTCTAAATTATTTTTGAGTTACGGTTTAGAAGAGGCTATCTTGTTGTTTCAAAGTGCTACCTGGATTCTGCATTTAAAATTTGTGGGTTTTACACACACACACACACACACACACACACACACACTCCCCTCTGGCAAGCGATGTCGGCTCATCTTCTGGAGTTTGATTACTGCAGGGAAAAATTAGTGTCAGGATAAGTTACGATGACACTCAGGACTCCATTAGCTTTTGAGATTTATGGCTGGTTAAAAGCTCATTGGGTGACACTGCTTTTCGTTTTGTTTTCAAGACTTCCAGGAAAATAATTTTCGGTCCTCTCTCCACAGAGCCAGATCGGAGGCTCGTTCTTACAGCTCTCAAAAAATACCTCAGACAGGACCAGTCTCTTTATTGCAGCACTCCATGTTTTAGTCTTGAATTCTCTGTTGCTGTGCACATAGCCAGGAAGGTACAAATTTATGGTTGCCCGCAGTAGAGGCCTTTTTAGGACACAAGTCTACAGCTGGAGGTCCCTATGACCAAGAGGGCTAGAAACTTGAACAGGCTTTCATTTCTTTCTTTCTTTCGAGCCTCATGGCTTTCCATGCAGAGGAAAAAAATTATGAGTGAGTTGAGAGAATTGGCAGGTGCTCTGGTTTTGAGAGTTTGGCTCTGTGGGAGAGGTCTGCTCAAAGCTGTGCTTTCAGGCCATACTACTAGGAAGCAAAACCCACTGAACTCAATGGCCCCTTATTTCTGGGTTCAACACTTTTCCGTGCAGAAACCTACTTAATATTGATGGGTTATCAGCAGACTTAACGTGCATGCACTAATTGCAATTTTGCCGCAGTTCTAAAAAGTATTGAGTTGTCTCCACCGCTGGCCCTACTCAGAGTAGACCCATTGAAATTACACCACACTAGTAACTTGGGTCCATTAATTTTAGTGGGCTCGCTCTAAGTAGGACTTAGTTGGATACCATCCTCGGATAGGGATGGTGGGGGATCCCAATTACTTAAGCATAGCTTGGTCAGGGACTTTGTGTGTGTGTGTATATATATATAAATCTGGAATAATGGGCTTTCATTAACAATGCTTCTGAATCTGAGCATCACCCAGAGACCGAAACTGAAGGAAATAGGTAGCAGAAAGAAGGCAGGCAGGCATATCTTGAATCTTTTATTCATGTGCATTGCAGTGGGTCCCCTCCTCCCTTCTTCTTTAGGTTTAGCAAGAGTGATGGGCACCAGCTTGAAAGCATGATTTTTGTATTGCTGTTTGGAGCAAGTTTTAGCGAGAGGAGAAGAGGCAGGAGGGAGATGGTAGTGTTTGTGGTAAAGTTGGGGGGGGTATCAGTAACAGAAGCAGATGGACTAGCTAGCTTACATGAGTTGAACGTGGCCGTCTAGGCTCGTGGTTTGTGATGTCATCGCTGCAGTATTCTGTCCTCGCCTGCCGATTTGGCTTTTCCAAATCACTCAAGTGTCTATGCCATGGGTGACTGCGAAAATGCTCACGTTCCGTGGCTGTGAGGAAGGCCTCTTCTACTCATCGTCAAACACTCTTCAAGCCACGTGTGGTGGGGCAGACAGAATGGATGATGAGCATGGCTGGATCAGGCCAAAGTTTTTCCAACTGTGGAGCAGCCTCTAAGAAGTAGGCCATGAAGAGAATGGATTTCTTCTTCAGAGGTACACTGCCATGGGAGATGGGGGTTCTATCTAAAAGCCATGGAGCTGTTGCCCACAAAAGCATCCTGCAGCAGAGAATTCCACAGAGTGTATGCAAAAAGACCGTCTGCTGTGAATTGTCAACCAATCAGCTTAACTGGATGAGCCCCTAGTAGTATTATTGAAAAAATTCTCTCTATTCAGAATTGTATTAACTTCTATCATATTCTCTGTTTAGGACGCCACCCAGCCAAAAAAAGTATATTGCTTAGGTGCAATCTCAGCGCACTTCTCTATTCATGCGCTTCAGCCACAGTCAAAAGTGCGCATTTGCCCAGGATAAGTGTAATCACCCCGTTTTCTGAATCTCACGTCTTCATGCTCAAAGGATCCCACAGATGAGTGCAGCGCTGCTCGAGGGCCTGTGTAACTCCAAACTTGCACAGTTAGGTGGCTAACACCTATTTTACTGTATTCATTCTCAAGAAGCTGCGCTGCACAAACGTATTTTTTAAAGAATGATCAAATGCTTCCAAAAAGGTGCTTCCCCTTTGGGAATCGACAGTGCTTGAAATGCACATCCTATTCCAAGTTAACTGTCTATACGCATTAGTATTTTTGCTTTTTATATACTACCCTTAAAACCACTACTAGTTTTTGAAAGTCATTGCCAGCATCATTATTTATGGCTTGCATCCATTTCAGTTATAAACTCAGAGTAAGCTCACTGAAATCAATGAGCTTACTCATTAAAGCCATATCCATTAATGGCAACGAGTCTACTTTTGAGTAGGGCCAGCACTGGATGCAACATGTTATGGTTAGACTATATTGTGCTTTCAAAGCATCTTCCATACATTCACCCCAATCCATCAACAGGCATCCATGCACACAGTCAGTCTTCTACGTGTGCCGCCAATACAGACGTCAATGTGCATTGAAAGCTCATTTCTACATGCACCGAAATACTTGGCCAACCCCTGATGAACCGACTGAAGAGTTTTCTGATGGGCATTGCCATGTAATTACCCCTCCCTGCCTCCAGAGCCACCAGTAGCTGTGTGCTACTAATTTGCCCAGGGCTAGATCTGCCCTTGGACCATTTTATCAGCAATCCTTACAACAACCCTGCAAGGTAGTATTTTTCGCTTATCTTCAATCTTCAAAAGGTGTGTGTATTTCAGAAGGTCACTGAGAATGAGCGAAGGTCGCTGTCCTGAAAAGTTTCTAAATTCAGGTAGGTAGCCGTGTTGGTCTGACGTAGTCAAAATAAATTAATAAATTGTCCAAGGTAAAGGGACCCCTGACCATTAGGTCCAGTCACGGACGAATCTGGGGTTGCGGCGCTCATCTCGCTTTATTGGCCGAGGGAGCCGGCGTACAGCTTCTGGGTTATGTGGCCAGCATGACAAAGCCGCTCCTGGCGAACCAGAGCAGCGCACGGAAACGCCGTTTGCCTTCCCGCCGGAGCGGTACCTATTTATCTACTTACACTTGGATGTGCTTTTGAACTGCTAGGTTGGCAGGAGCAGGGAACGAGCAACGGGAGCTCACCCTGTCGCGGGGATTTGAACCGCTGACCTTCCGATTGGCAAGCCCTAGGCTCTGTGGTTTAGACCACAGCACCACCCACGTTTGTTCTGGGTGTAAGCTTTCATGTGCATGCACACTTCTTCAGATATACTGAAACAGAAGTCACCAGACCCTTAAACATAGTGGGAGAGTGGGGTAGGGCTTTTCTCAGGAAGGTAGTAGGAGATGGGTGATTGACTCAATGGGTATGGTAAACCTGTTGACGACTGTGATGACTGCAATTAGTCCTACAGGAAAAAACAAGGGATAGTATGCAGATGACCAAAAATAGTTTTAGCATATGTAATGAGACAAGACTCCAATATCTCTATTCAGCCCAGGTCTCTCCATAGTTTTCAGTTTAGTAATAAGTTGTAATTCAACAACTTCTCTGAAAAGTTTCTGCGTGAGTTTATGACCGGGTTGGTCTTTGAGCGGTTGTTTTATATTTTTATTCATTGCATTTATATCCCCACCTTTTTTCTCTCCAATGAGCTCCAGGTCCTCCACGCACTTGGTCCTCCATGTCCTCATCTAATCCCCGCAACAACCCTGTGAGGTAGGCTAGGCTGAGAGACAGTGACTGGCCAAAGTGAGCTTCATGGCTAATAGGAAGATTTGAGCCCCGGTCTCCCAGGTCCTCGTCTGACACTCTAACCTGGCGATCAAGTCTTGTATCCTCTGCCTCCTTTCCCCTCTGATGAAGAATGCTGTGTGAACTCAAAGCTTGCATGCTCCCACACTGCTGGTAGAAAGATAAGCTGAGCAAAAGATTCACCGCTATGACGGCTGCTGGCTTCCTTGTGATCTGCCTGGGCTTGCCTGGACTTGTTCAGCCACTTCACTCAGAAGCCCCATCCTGGTGCACCAACGTTTTGAAAACTCTCCAGAGTTTCCCTTTCACTTCCAAGTATGCTAACTTTCCAGGTTTGTGCAGGTAGGATGTATATATTTTGCAAAATTAATGATCTGCAATGCACATTTGTTTTGTGTGTGTTTTTTGTGTGTACACTAACTCAGTACAGGAAAATAGTGGAATAAGTACAATGCATTCATCAAATATTGCTTGGCTTCTGGAATGGGGGGTGGGGGTGGGAGCAGTTAGAGAAAAGGCTAGGAAGCTCTCTGCACATGTACATAGGATATTATAAATTACCCTATGTATATTATACCTGGTGTATATTATACCTGGTGCGAGAGGTCAGCCAGGCTGCAAAAATGCCAGGGCGCAGAGGAACTGACTAAACTACAGGAGCGGCAGTCTTGGGGGGGGGGTCAGTGCCGTGAAGCCCTCCTCCCAACAGTGTAGCACTATTCAACACATGACACCCTTGTTAAAACATCTGCACTGGCTGCCCATCTGCTACCAAGCCAGTTTCAAGGTCTCTGCATTGATTGACAAAGCAGCTTAGGTCCAGGGTACTGTGAGGGTCACCTGAACCCTTATATCCCAGCTCGATCGTTCAGATCACCTGCAGCGGGGGTTGTTGGTGAGGTTCATTTGGTGGCGACATCAAACTGAGCCTTTGATGTCATCTTCCCAGCCCCATGGAATGCTCTGCCTTCTGTCCCAGCTCTGAAAACTTTTCTGTTCCTTCAGGCTTATGCAGGGAAGGAAGAATGCATCTTTCCACAACAGGTGATTTCAACTTTTAAAATATGGTTTTTTTTCTTGTTATAAGCCGTATTTTGTTTCTGTTCATGAATGGCAGAATATATTCTTGCCGTTTGCTCTAATTTTATTTCGTTTACAAATAACGTTCAATGTTACTGTTTTAAATGGAGAATCCTGGGACCTGTAGTGTGTTCCGGGTGCTGGGAACTGTAGCTCTTGTGAGGCGTAGCTGTCAACCTTCCCTTTTTTTGTGGGAAATTCCCTTATTCCAGCGCCGTTTCCCGCTGCTTCCCACTGCTATCCTGAATTGTTAGATATCCCGTAGACTGTCCCCGGGATAGGTGAGGCTGCTGATCCCTTATTTTTGAGGCTTCTGATCCCTTATTTTCAAATCTGAAAGTTGACAGCTATGTTGTGAGGTCAGCACTCTTTACACATGGCGGTTCCCAGCATTCTCCATGACTGTTAAAGTGGTATAATAGCTCGCTAAATGTACGGTGCGGATGTGGCCTAAGTTTTCCTCAAAGTTAACAAGTTGAAATTAAGAGACTTAAGTTAGTTATGTCCATCAACTTCAGTGGGACTACTCTGAGCAGGTCTGGTATTGGCTACAACCCTACATGTGCTGCCTCTGAGCTGCAGTCCTCACCCCCCAATTTAGCTGGCCCCGAGGATTTCTTGAAATGCATAAAAAAGCCAAAACGCTGGTTTTCACACAGTAACATTAAAGGAGGGAGGGGGTGTTTCAGGAAATCATCTTATCACAGCGGTGGCAGACGTTTTGAAATAATCTTTGGCAAGTGGGTAATTATGTGCCCTTTACTGATGGTCTTACATTTATGTATGGGTTTTGTATAGATTGGGATGGGCAAACCTGTCAGTATCAGTTTCTCATTATTCCAAATGTAAGTTAAAGGATGCATTTTTGCATCAGCTATTACGCCCCCTTAAGTCGTCATGAAAATTTGCCACCGTTTCCTTTACATACATATTTTGTGTGTGCAGTTTTGCCTAAAAGATGCATTCCTCCTGAATGATTCACCCAATATATGCATTTGTTGTTGTTGGAGAACCATACCGCAAAAACCAACAAAACGTCAATGGGGAAGGGTGGCTTCATTGCAATTCACACATTGTTTTGGGAACAAATTAGGTAATTTTGCATTAAAATTGTGAACTGCACTGAATTGCTCCTGTGTCCCTTTATATAGAAGATTTGATAAATAAAACCTGACTATTGCTATTTTAGAGGGACGCGGGTGGCGCTGTGGGTTAAACCACAGAGCCTAGGACTTGCCGATCAAAAGGTCGGTGGTTCGAATCCCCGTGACGGGGTGAGCTCAAGTTGCTCGGTCCCTGCTCCTGCCAACCTAGCAGTTTGAAAGCACCTCAAAGTGCAAGTAGATAAATAGGTACCGCTCCGGCGGGAAGGTAAATGGCGTTTCCATGTGCTGCTCTGGTTCGCCAGAGGCAGCTTGGTCATGCTGGCCACATGACTCGGAAGCTGTCTGCAGACAAACTCCGGCTCCCTTGGCCAATAAAGCGAGATGAGTGCCGCAACCCCAGAGTCGGTCACGACTGGACCTAATGGTCAGGGGTCCCTTTACCTTTACCTTTTTATTGCTATTTTTTAAGCCACACAGAATGAGATCAACGTTTGTCCTGAATTCAAAGGAACTACGTAAAGTGAAGCAACGTCTTGATACATATAGATAGATGATAGATAGATAGATAGATAGATAGATAGATAGATAGATATGTGTGTGTGTGTGTGTGTGTGTGTGTAGACAGCATATTCCTACACAAAGTCCCATTGAGCTCAGTGACACTTGCTCCTAGGTAAGTGTCTATGGGATTGCAACCCAAAGCCCCATCTGCACTATGCCTTTAAAGCAGTATTATACCACTTTTTAAACTCCCAAAGAATCCTGGGAGTTGTGGTTTGTTAAGAGTGCTGAGAATTGTTAGGAGGACCCAATTCCTCTAACAGACCTACAATTCCCAGAGCTTTGATTGTCTGAAAAAAACATCCCCTGATTAATTAGGTGGCAGACACATTTTTTGAAAAATGCATATGTGAAATTTAATACAGGTATGTACAAACCCTGCAGATGACAAGCATCGTTTTAGAAGAGGTATTCCCTTCTGTGTGGAAGAGAATTGGCGACAGGGAGACGAGAATGCCTCTTTTGACATGGTCCTGGCAACAACACTTTGCTGCAGCGTTCTGAAATAACCTTGGAAGTGGGCGAGTCATCTGAATACTGATGATGATGAGATGTGGCAAAATCACCTGCTTTCTCTGGGTGACTAGAAGGAGAGCCAGAGCAGGCACTCGCACAGAGAGGCAACGGGAAGCCCCTTTAGTTGGGTGGCCTCACACAGAAGCCTGAAATGTTGTTAGTTCATGTCTCACAAGGTACTCATGCAAACTTGCCCTAGCACAAGGTTTAAGAATGACTAAGCTAGTTAGGTAGCCTTTACCTTTTTGAGAGAGTTGCATAATTACTGTGGCTTTTATAGGCCCTTGTCAAACTGGGTCGTTCAGCCTGCTGTTTGTTCCCGGGGCCTGTGACTCAGAACTGAAGCTGTGTGTGTTTTAAGGGTGTGTGAGTTGCCCTTTGCTCGATCCCATCTCTTAGCCTCTGTCCTCCTTCCCCACACCCTGCCCTTCGCTGTGAATACAAGTCAACCCACATGGTTAAGCCAGTGCAAGGATTACAGCTCTTAAAAAAACAGGGGCAGGGCCTGAGTGACAGATGGGTGGCTATTACAGCCAAGAAGTTTTGATCTCTTTCAGATGCCTTTCTTTCCTTCGCCCTTGTCTTTTGTTGAGGGAGTGTATATTTGCCCACTGGTTAGTTTTGGGTTAGTATTTTTGCCTTGTTTCAACAAAAGGCTCACAAAAAGTGAGCAGAGGTTGGATGGCCATCTGTCTTGGATGCTTTAGTTGAGATTCCTGCATTGCAGGGGGTTGGACTAGATGACCCTTGGGGTCCCTTCCAACTCTACCATTCTGTGATTCTGTCATTCTAAGGTGATTTACAGAATTAAAGGGTTGTGTCTGAATAGGTTCTGCTCAGGGTAGACTCAATTTTCACCCAATTTGCACCAAAGCCAGAATGGGGACTCGCGCAGAGATGCAGTGGGCAGCCTCCCCTAGAGTGATTTATTATTTGCAATCTGAGCCCCATTCAGAGCAGACCCATTGAAATTAATGGACCTAAATTGGTCATGATCATTAACCTCACATTGTCTACTCTGAGTAGGTCTAGCACTGGAGACAACCCAATGATCATGAATAAATTGGGCCTGTTCATTTCAGTGGGTCTTCTCTGAGAAAAACTTAGTTGGATACAACCCCCTGGTAGGCATGTTCAATAACTTCAGTGGGTCTACTCTGAATTGGACCAGCTTTGGATACAACCACCTAATGAATCAACTAATGAACTCAAGTTAGTAATGTACATTGACTTCAGTGGCCCTACACAGAGTTGGACATTAGACACACAGCTTTCTTTTTCAAAACATAACACAGCTGGTGCTGTAACCTTCCAACAGTTTGATTTCACCCCCAAAGGTTCATTCCTCCATTGTCTCCTGAGACAGACGGATGCCAACCAATAGGGATACTCTTAAAATAATAATTTTAGGGAGCCAGTGTAGTGTAATGGTTACAGTATAGGTCTAAGAGCTATACCAGCAGGTTCTGGTTACCATTCATCCACGAAGCTCAGTGGGTGATGTTGGGACAGCCACTGCCTCTCAGCCTAACCTACCTCCCAGGGCTGTTGTGAGGATATAATGGAGTGGGGAAGAACTCTATACGCCACCTTGAGTTCCTTGGGGGAAAGGTGGAGTGTAAACATTTAAAAACAAACCAGAAACTAAAATGACATAAAAACAGCACTTGGAAGAGAGTCATAAGGACTAGCAACTTGGGTTTGTTTTTGTTTTTTTTAAAATTGAGATTCCCCAGGAAGTGAGATTCAACACTTGGTTGCATTTATCGGGCTCTTGCTCTAAGCCCTGGACTGGGTGTCTCAGTTCTTGGAATGTCCTAAGATAGGCAGGTCCAAGGGGGGGGGGGGAGAGAGAGAGAGAGAAATCATAAGAATGGGCTGGAAGGGCAACCATGGAGGGCAAAGGGGTGAAGCGTCACTCTGTTTTGCTTCAAAACTTTCTGCATTCAGCCTTATGGATGACTCATCCAGAAACTCTTTCTCTTTCTCTCCGTTTCCTTTTTTCCCTCTGGTTTTGCTTTTCAGAACGCCAAAGCCTGGCCAAGACGTCTCACGTTTCCTCCTTCGACTCTCCCTCGTCCATCCAGGTGCAGGGATGGCAATGGGCAGGTGAGGTCAGTGGGTCAATGAAACTTCGGAGTTCCCTGTCCTCGCACAAGGAAGCGTGGCTTTTTGGAACAATGTGTGAGTGTGTCTCTGTGTATTTCAACACTAGGTTAAAGTGCTGACTGTGGGGCGGGGGGGCTCCACCCTTCGGCAGGGAGGAGACTGGCTCCTTCTGCTGCCCGGCTGATATCCTCGGCAGTCGTCCTGTTGACGACCGAACAGGATGCTAGTCCTGAAGACCTTCGTGGAACAGGTAAATTGACTACTTTTCTGTTTCTTTCGACCTTACGTCTCCTAATGCCACATCTGGGCAGCTTTAATTCTATGGTGGGGGAAAAACCTGTGTCCTATTCCAAGTCTATTCCAACACTGGAAGCTGCCTTCTAGCTTGGCTTTACCTACACTGACTGGCAGCAGCTCTCCAGGAGCCTCTTCCAGCCCTACATGGAGATGCCAAGGATTGAACCCAAGACTTTCTGCTGCTCTGCCTTCACTTAAGACGCAGGAGCTTTGGAATCTGTCTTATACTGAGCCAGACACATTGGTCCATCAAGCTCAGTATTGTCTACACTGACTGGAAGCAGTTCTCCAGGGTTTCAGGCAGGAGCCTCTCCCAGCCCTACCGGGAGATACCAGGAATTGAACTTGGGACTTCCTGCATGCAAAGCAGATGCTCGGCCACTGAGCTATGGTATTTCCTGTAAACGTAACGTAAGATTCTGGTCCTCATGATTCAAAATTAAAGGCTGATTTAAATAAGAACAAAGGAAGCTGCCTTGTGCCAAGTCAAGACCATTGGTCCAGATAGCTCAGTACTGTCTGCACTGACTGGCAACAGCTTCCCTGAGGTTTCAGGCAGGGCCTATATTCTCAGCCTTACTGGGAGATGCTGGGGGGTTGAACCTGGGAACTTCTGCATGCAAGGCAGATGCTCTGTAAAAATATTCTAGTCCTCCTGTTTCTAAATAGAGAGCTGAGTTTCCATTATGGGATGGCATGATGGTTTTGCCCTAGGGCAAGGTGGGATCAGATGTTGGCAGGGGCATTTTCCCCCCTTCCTGTGCTCAGCAGCCTGGCCCCCAAACCCTGCCCCAGAGTGCCCTTGCGTGTTTCTTTTCAAAGCCCCAGATTGGCGTTTTCCTGCCAGCCTTCTGCACCAGCCAAGTTCCCCCTTTTCCTGCTGGCGTGGCTGCTCGCCTGCGTCAAGACGAATCCTGTGAGTCTCCGATGATTCATGGGTGCACCCCCTGTAACCCCACTCTGCTTTCTTCCAGAGCGCTCTGTTTGGGGAGAAACAGGGTGGAGCTGGGAAAGGCAACCCTATGACAGTCTAATGAGTGAGGGCAGGAACGTGGCTCAGTGGCATCATGGAATCATAGAACTGCAGAGTTAGGAGCGAACCCAAATGGTCATCTAGTCCAACCCCCTGCAATAGAGGGCACTTCCTAGAGCAGCCTTCGCCAGCCTCATGACCTCCAGACATTTTGGACTACAGCTCCCATGAGCCTCTGCCAGCACAGTAGACGGGAGCTGGAGGGCACCAGATTGGCAAAGGGCTGCTCTGCAATCACGCCTAAGTGCGGACGTCTCCCACTGTCTTGTAGATCTGTGCTTTCCCATGCAAAATGCAAGTTTCTAGGCCTTAATATCACAATGGCTTTCCTTTACAGCGGCAGAGCATCTGCATTTCGTGCAGAAGGCCCCAGGTAAGGTTGGCACGCAGGTAAGGTATAGGGACACGGGTGGCACTGTGGGTTAAACCACAGAGCCTAGGACCTGTCGATCAGAAGGTCAGCGGTTCAAATCCCTGCGACGGGGTGAGCTCCCGTTGCTTGGTCCCTGATCCTGCCAACCTAGCAGTTCGAAAGCACGTCAAAGTGCAAGTAGATAAATAGGTACCACTCTGGCGGGAAGCTAAACTGTGTTTCCGTGCGCTGCTCTGGTTCACCAGAAGCGGCTTAGTCATGCTGGCCACATGACCCGGAAGCTGTACACCGGCTCCCTCAGCCAATAAAGCGAGATGAGCGCCGCAACCCCAGAGTCAGCTATGACTGGACCTAATGGTCAGGGGTCCCTTTACCTTTACCTTTAAGGTTGGCAGCAGGCCCAGGTAGGAGTGGAAATGACCCCTGCCTGTAAATCCTGGAGGGCTGCTGCCAGTCAGAGTAGGCAATGCTTACTAGGTGGACCAATTGTCTGACTCGGAAGAAGGCAGCTTCCTGTGCTCTTTGACATTAGGACAGACTGCGCTAACCTGGCGCCCTCCAGATGTTTTGGACTACAACTCCCAGCTGAAGAACACCAGGTTGGTAAAGTCTTACATCTTTCTTTGCTTCGCCTTGAAGGTCAAAATATTGGCTGGGGCAGAGGGAGAAATCTAGGTATAGTAAGCATTTTAACATGAGCCCTACCTAATTCGCACATCTTGAAAACATTTTCAAACTGAAATGCAGCTGTCCTTCGAAACTCATGCCTTCCCAAATTTTGGGATGCGGTTTTCTGAACAAACCATACAAAAATGCATGTATTGGTGCATGGAAACGTGCAGAGTAGTGAAAATAATACACAAAAATGCATTATAATAGAGGAAATTGCTGGCAGAAATTTGTATATTTGGAGAAACGTGCTTTAAAATGGGGATGGATTTTTAGCCATTTCTATTTATTTAACACTGTATTTTATTTTGTTTAGACTCAATGAAGTAAACCAAAATTTCCATATACTTGCACTATTACAACAGGTTGAAAGCAGCATAAAGTTGAACAATATAATTAATCTTATTCCAAAAATCCCACCCATTTTTCCAAAAACCTACTAGGTAGATTTATGTGTGTTCTTTTCTAATAGGTTAACTTGACTTAATCATTGTTGCTATAGATCTGACGTTTCCAAGCCATTTGCATACAGTGGGAGATATACTTTAGTCTTACATTTTGTTAACAGAAGTGTGACGAACTAAATGCAAGATTGGAAAAATGAGAAACTGAGATGAATGGAAATTGACAGCCTGGTCCACACCTAAGCTTGACCCAGAATCCTTTTTGTTGGTGCAAGGGATTCTGGGATGTACATAGCTCAGGTGGGGTCAGCCATGACCCAATGAAGATCAATGGACTCATGGGTCAGCTCTGAGAATGACTAATGTGGAATACCATCCAAACTAAAGAATTGACAACCGACTTCCCTTTTAATAGGATTCTATTGATTAGTTTCTGTAAAATATTTATAACTTGCCCTTCATCAGTGCAGATGCAGAACACAGAATAGCCAGCCAAATAATAAAAATGACAATAATCTGTATTATAAAACAAACCACGAAACTGAAAGCAAAACAGGAGGAAAGAAACAATATCACAACAGCTTATCGAGAGAGCATACCTGAGCTTAACTTTTTATTTATTTACTTAGGTGACTTAGAGCCTGCCCTTCAGTCAAATCAATCTAAGATTGGAAAGCAACATAAGAATATATACAATACATAATAACAAAAAACAATCTTGGGGGGCGGATCAAACCAAAGTAGGAGGCGTTTGGCTACCTTAAGAGAGGAAGTAGTTGGGAGATTAGGGGATTCCCTCCTGGAAAGTCATGCGGGTTGGGCCTGATGGGAGTTGGAGTCCCACAAGATCTTGAGGGCCACAGGTTCCCCATCCCTAATGGTAGAGCCAGCCTGGCTAGAGAGAAACAGAATATCCTAAGGACAGCAGAAGAGCCCTGCTGGGTTGGGTCAAAAGGACCACCTAGCCTAGCATCCTGTTATCACAGTGGCCAACCAGATGCCCCAGTATGAAGCCCACAAGCAGGACCTGAGTGCAGTAGGAACCCTCCCTGCTTGATATCCCCAGCAACTGTAAGTACGATGCACATTGCCTCTGGCAGAAACAGTATTATTATGATGGCTATGTATGCACCATCCCTTTAAAGCATATTTCCCTCCCTCCCCCCAAATAAAAAAAAAGAATCCTGGGAACTGTAGTTTATCACAAACCAAACAAACTACAGTTCCCAGGATTCTTTGTGGGGTGTGTGCTTTAAACATATGGTGTGTACGCAACCTGTATCAAGCCGTCTTAAGCCTGTAACATAGCTAAGTCAAAAGGATGTCCTTGGCCGAGACCCTGCCAAAATCTAGGTGCTGGTTGTGGCATCAAGCTTCTAGTCCTCTTTGAGTAAACCTTTTTCCCCCTCTTCTTCTTTTCTTCCCAGGGCTTTTAACCTCAAGAAAGAAGGTGAGGTGGAGAGGCTGGTGTCTTTCCCTGTGTCTGCCTCACCGGCCAGCTCTCTGTGAGTGCTTCTCTGGCAGTGTCTTAGCTGGTTGTTGTGTGCAATGATGGAGGAAGCAATCAGCAAGAATACTGCTGCAGAAGTGCTACACACTTTCATGCCTGCTGAGCTTTTCCTCCTGCAGAGCCAAAGCGAAAGGACTCCTATTCCTGGAAACGGGATGGGCCTCTGTTCATCCCACACCTACTCTGGACAGCTTCTAGGAAACCAGGAGGACTTCAGGAGCTGCAGAAAGCACCAGGTTCAGGGAGAGGAGGGTAGGGTAGGGTTGTCAGAAGCACCCCCAGACACAGAGGTTTTAGGACCCAAACCTGAGACCTAGGGGCTTCCCTCCTGGCAGTCATGGGAGGTGGGGGTTAATTGGGAGCGGGAAACAGAGGAGGGCAGACCCCACTCCGAGTTTCTGTGCTATAATTTGAGGCCAACTCCTGCCAAGCTGAAGCTTGCAAGCTGCATGTGCACTCTTCTGAATAATTTTGTTAGTACAATTTTGTCGTTTTAATTTTATAATTAAAGGCACTCTCGCCCACCTGGAGATTCAAGCCCTCCGACTGCCACCTGGAGGGGGCCAGGCAAGGCTAGAAACTTCACATCTGGAGGTCTGACAATCCTAACACGACCCTGAGATTTAGAGTCCCATGCTCTGCCGACTGAGCTGTGTTGAGACTGGCTGATTTCTCTGCCATTAGACTTTATTGCCATGCTTCAGCTGCTCATTCGGAAGTAGCACAGGAGCCCTGCTTGGAAAAAAAGTTGGCAGCCTTCTACAGGATCTAAGGACAGAAGAGGCTGTGGGCGTGTAGGTGGGGTTAACATTCAACATAGGGACTTCGGAAGTTGCCTTATACCAAGTCAGACCATTGATCTATCTGAGTACTGCCAACACTGACTGGCAGCAGCTCTCCAGAATTTCCAGCTGTGGGCCTTTGCTCATCCCTCCCTAGAAGTGTCCTGTATAAAACCTGGGATCTTCTGCATGCAAGGCAGGTGCCCTGCCACTGAGTTATGACCCCTCCTCAATAAGGTTGCCACCTTTTCTTTTGTCCCAGCTCCTGTGCCTTTCAACAGCAACCTGAACACAAAGAAATTAAGCTAGGGGAACCCTTGCCCACCACTTCTGTTTGTGTCAGTAAAAAAAAAAAGTTACCAAGCTTCAGCATATCAATCAAGCTGATGCTAAATGCACAAGAGCAGGGTGGTGGGGTGGAGTTGGCAACCAAAGCCATGCTTCTGGGTGAGAGGAAACTAGTTCTACTCAGAGCAAACCCATTAAAATTAATGGAGATAAAAGGTTTCTGGGAAAAGATATATAATGAACTGAAAAAGATGTTGAAATACACATTTGTTAAGAAACTGGAGGCCTTTCTATTGGGATTGGTAGGAAATGAAATAAATAAAGATTGTAAACTTTTCCAGTACACAGTAACAGCAGCGAGAATACTTCTGGCCCAAAAATGGAAACAGGAAGAACTACCAACGGTGGAAGAATGGAGATCGAAATTGACTGACTATGCAGAATTGGATAAATTAACAGGGAAGATTCGATATCAGCGAGACCATGAGTTCATCGAGGACTGGGGAAGATTCACAGATTATCTGAAAAGTATATGTGACAAACAGATAACGCTTGTAGGTTTTCAAGAGGCTCTGTGAAAAACTGAGGAATATTGTAAAAAAGAGAATAAAATGGAGGAGGATATTTTTAAAGGCAATATTAAGTGTAGATATGCGTTAATAATATAAACTAAACGGAAGATTTGCAGAGAAACTGAGGGAAGTCAAAAAAGAAGAAGAATGTGATAAAATGTGACATGTTGTATAAATTTGTGTTTCAAAATGAATAAAAATATTATTTAAAAAAATAATAATAATGGAGATAACTAACTTAGGGCCATTAATTTCAGTAGGTGATTAGAACTTAATTGGATACAACACTACAATTTTGACAGGTTAAGCTTTTGCAGTTTTGGGGTGTGTGTGTGTTATATATTTACTCTTTGGGGTGTAACTCGATAGAAAGCAGCAATAGCCTAATCAAGCGGCGAAACTGATTGACTGAACTAATTAAAAGCCTCATAGTAGCAGTGGGTCAATACCAGCAATATCTTGAGCATATTTAAAGAAGATAAGAGAGAGCCTCTCTTGACTAAACTTCGGAAGCGAATCATGGGGAGCTGTAACAAGAAATGGTATAACCAGTTATGCAATAAGAACGCAAAATGGGGCCATCAAAGATCTCCCCCCGCCCTCCACAAAGGCTAATTAATGGTGTGTTCTCCATTGATACCAAGTTGCAGCATTATGGACTTTTTGGTTTGGAGAAAAGGTGACAGGATAGAAGTTTATAAAAATTATGCGTGGCATGGAGAAAGTGAATACAGAAAAGTTCCTCTCCCTCTCTCATAGCACCAGAACTCACAGACATCCAGTGAATGTTGAAATATTCAGGACAGATAAAAGAAAGGACTTCTTCACGCAGTGCAAAGTTAATCTGTGGAACTCACTCCCACAGGAGCCAGTGAAGGCCATCCAACTAAAAGAGGGTGGGACAACTTTACCCTGGAGGCTACATTGCTTCTGACAGAGAGTGACATGTTCTCTGTTGAGGCCAAGAATTTGTGGGAGATTTCACTTGGTACAGCATGAGACTTTTAATCTCAGGGTCGTGGGTTCAGGCCTCACATTTGGCAAAAGATTCCTGCATTGCAGGGGGTTGGACTAGATGACCCCTGAGGTCCCTTCCAACTCTACAGTTCTATGAAATTGATTGCCGTCCTGGGAAATCACAGCATTCAATGACTTATAAAGGAACCCTAACCATAAGAACATAAGAAGAGTGTGTTGGATCAGGCCAATGGCCCACCTAGCCCAGCATCCTGTTCTCACATTGGCCAACCAGGTGCCTGTGGGAAACACGCAAGCAGGATTCAAGCACAAGAGCGCTCTCTCTCCTCTCCAGTGGTTTCCAGCAAGTGGTATTCAGAAGCCTTGCTGCCTCTTAACTGCAGAGACAGAGTGCAGCCATCCTGGCTAGTAGCCATTGATAGCTCTCTCCTCCAGGAATTGGTCCAGTACAATAATCCTGCAAAGCTGAGCCCATGCATCAAAAATTGCCCTCAGGGCTTAGTCATCTGCAAAAGGCAGCTCCGGTGAGTGCTTGAGTAGGGTTTTTCCAAGAATCTCAAGTGTCTGGCCAAAATTCCAATGTGTGGTTGCAGCAGAGTTGGTGCACAAGAATATGTTGACAAGCGTGTCTTCAGTACAAGAATGTTTTCAGGGAGCAAAGGATTGGCTGTGTCTAATGGGCAAGGAGAGGGGGGAAGGAAATACCCAAATCTCTGAGAGTTCAGCAGCCACCCCGCCCCAGACTTTCAACAAGTATAATGAGGTCTAGAAACTTGCTTTGATGTTGTTGTTGTTTGAAAAAAGGAAACAGAATTGCAGGGAGCTGTAAGGTAAAGGTAAAGGGACCCCTGACCATTAGGTCAAGTCACGGAGGACTCTGGGGTTGCGGTGCTCATCTTGCTTTATTGGCCGAGGGAGCTGGCATATAGCTCCCAGGTCATGTGGCCAGCATGACTAAGCCGCTTCTTGCGAACCAGAGCAGCACACAGAAACACTGTTTACCTTCCCGCCACAGCGGTACCTATTTATCCACTTGCACTTCGTGCTTTCGAACTGCTATGTTGGCAGGAGCAGGGACCGAGCAACGGGAGCTCACCCCGTTGCGGAGATTCGAACTGCTGACCTTCTGATTGGCAGGTCCTAGGCTTTGTGGTTTAACCCACAGCGCCACCCGTGTCCCTGCAGGGAGCTGTACTCTGTGCCAAATACCACATTTTGCAGGTTTTCTTATATACCTACAAAATAGGAACAAGCTATGCCTAACACAGGTGGAGGCAAAAGATAGCAGAGGTCACATCCACACCATACATTGAAAGCACATGGATTTCCCCCAAAGAATCCTGGGAATGGTCATTTACCCCCTCACTGAGCTACAATTCCCAGCACCCATCACAAACTACCGTTCCCACGATTCTTTGTGGGAGGCTATGTGCATTAAATGTGTGGCTGTGACCAGAGTCTTGGCTTAATAAGACTGATCTCTGCTGCTGCATTCCTGTTCCACTTTCTTTTTATAAGTCAAAAGAGTTATACTTTGGGGAGGGCGGTAGCAATAGTTTCAACAGCTGCAGAAACCCACCTGCGGTTAAAAAGTGTCGGGAACCTCAAGCCTGTAGATTATGTATTGCCCTCCAGCTCTCTCTATCTGGCGTTCAGGACTCATCGTAAATCAGGGATTGGCAGCCTAAGGCCCATGGGCCACAAGCGGTCCATGAGGATCGTTTAACTGGCCCATGGACCCCTGCCGCCTGCTTGGCTGGCTCTCATGCGCGGAGCAGAGTGGGGACCGCCCTCCGTGACACTGGCTGGCTTCCCATTGGCTGCAGGAAGCTCCTGCAGCCAATAGGAAGCTGCGCACGCCGCCTCTGTGCCAGAAATAGTGTTTGCTCATGTGCACATGCACTCCAGCCCACTGCAACGTGTGCAGGACCATGAACCGGTCCACAAAAACTTTGCCGGCCCCTGTCCTAAATCATGGCTCCACCCCCACACCCCTCCACAGGCCACACCTGATCTGCACCTGATCTCCTTTGCCTCTGTTGCACAGATGGGCCATATGGCTCCTGTACAAAGCTAAGTCTCATGTATTGCCCTACGCACAGCTTGACTTGGATCACACCCACTCCTGAAATGTGGCCCCTTGAAGCTTACTCATAAAAGAATGTGGCCCACTGAAAAAGGCCCCCTACCCCTGCTCTAAAAGTTGGGCTTTAGAAGTTGCTTATGTATGATCCCAAAGTGAAATTTTATTTAATAAAATACAATAAAAACAAAGTACATGCTTCTCTTCTTGCTTTTGCTACCTTGGATGCTTAAGTTGAAAGACCTAGGGACAGGTGGGTGAAAAATATTATCCGGTCCATAGTTAAAAGGTGAACCCACCTAATTTGCCATGTCCAAAACAACCTGCAAAATTCACACTTTTTCGTGTCTACAAAAACTCAGGGTGCATAAAAATGCATATGTTTGAGAAACGTACAAAGATGGGTTATTATTTCTTTAAGATTCCGGGGCAGATTATAACATTAAAACACAATATTAACAATGGTTTAAAACAACTTCTGGTTGCAGATATTGGGGGAAATGTGCATACTGGGCAAATTTGTATCTTAAGAATGCGTATCTTGGGAGAAATTTGCTTTGAAGAGTTTTCATGAGGACTTAAAAAACACATCCATAAACTGATATAGAAATGTGGAGAACTGAAGACTGAGGAAATGAGACACCTAGAGGAACCAAAACAGACAGATCTGCCAGTCTCTAGACACACAGGTGACACTTGTATGTCACCCTTGTGTGCTCTTTCTCAACTCATTTCACTCCTGCACCTCCCAACACTTGGGCTCCAAGCCTGAGATATCTTGACTAGCCAAGATTAAAAAGCAAGAATGCTTCACATATCTCCATGACAAGAGAGTCCTTCTACATTCCACTGAGAGTAAATCCACCGGACCGAAAGTAATGCTGGCGCCAGCCTAAGGGTGAGACTTTGGTTTTATTTCCTTTTTTAAGGGGCTCATTCTAAACCTGTAAACTCTGTTTCCGCCTGTCCACTCTACAATCCCAGTGCTGTGTTTCCAACAGAGGACAGTTGGGTGCTGATGCTGAATTCATGAGCTAAATACATGAATGTTCTCGTTTTAACCCATTGTTTTCCCTCACCCCATGTCTGGTTTTCGGTGGTATACTGGTCCTGTGCATGGAGGTTCACTTCTACTTATCTATCTATCTATCTAGACAATTTCTCTTCCACTTGATTGCCTAAAGACGTTCTCAAAGCAGTTTACCAAAATTTGCTGTATCAATCAAAAACATTATCATTCAAAATTATATATTCCTTTTCAACGCATCTGGGTCTTGAAGCAGCTTAAAATAATTGCACCAAACAACATTTTATAGCCTAACTTAAAATATCAAAGAATAAAATACCGGAACAGCATTCACGGTGCAAAGAAGCCTCCTGAAACAAGTAACCTGGCAGCTGAAACTCGGCAAAGTTAGTGCCTGCCTGAGTTCTAGTGGGAGGGAGTTCCACAGAGATGGGCCCCCTACATTGAAGACACGTCTCCTCATCGACATGAGGTGTGCTTCTCAACTAGTGGACCATTAGTAGTGCTCCCTCAGATGATCACAGTGGTCAACCTGGGATGTCTGAGGCAAGGCATAAATTAAGGACAAATGGGGCAGTGCCCTACCAAGGCAGTAAGGCCACAGCAAACCCTGCCTTCTTACAACCAGCCCAGGGGGTGGCAATGCCTGCTGCCTCCCTCCTCATTCACAGGGAGGAGGATGGACACACTGTTAGAATCAGCTCTGTCTCTCATGGGCTCTGGCGCCACCTACTGTTGGGCTCCCTGACTTCCATCCCACCAGACCCAATAGGCCCCAGTTCATATGGCAGCCTTATGGTCTAAGGCAGAGGTTTTCAACCTTTTCGAGTCCACGGCTCCCTTGACCAACTACATTCTTTCTGTGGCACCCCTGTGGGGCTCAGGAGCCCAGTTATGTCACCCCTTGCCTGCCGAGCTGGCAGCCTCTCACCCTTTTTCGGACACCCTCCCTTGTGGATGGTTCCCTCAGCCTCCTATCCTCTCCTGTCTCCTTGGGAGTCCTCTGGGCAGCTGCTGCTGCCATCCCTGGTTTCTGAGCAAAGCCCCTGCCCCAAAGAGAGGTGCCTCCCAGAGGTATCATTCACCTGCGGAGCTTATAGCCAGGGCTGCTGCAACGAACAGCTGTGCAAGCCTTGGGGAGGCAGAAATGTGAGAGGGCATCAGAGGAGGGAGGGAACAAAAGGGGTTCAGAAGCCAGTGTTGCCCATGACACCCCTGACCACCAGTCAAGGCACCCCAGGGTGCCATGGCACACTGGTTGAAAACCACTGGTCTAAGGATTACAGTGGTACCTCGGGTTACATATGCTTCAGGTTACATACGCTTCAGGTTACAGACTCCACTAACCCAGAAATAGTACCTCGGGTTAAGAACTTTGCTTCAGGATGAGACCAGAAATCGTGCTCTGGCAGCGCGGCAGCAGCAGGAGGCCCCATTAGCTAAACTGGTGCTTCAGGTTAAGAACAGTTTCAGGTTAAGAACGGACCTCCGGAACAAATTAAGTACTTAACCCAAGGTACCACTGTAGTTTCTTGCACAGGAGGGTTGACTGTTAAAGCACTGTGAGAATTGCGGCTTCGTTTTGTCTATTTTCTGTATTTTTATCCCACCTTTTTCTCAATGGTGGCGTACATTATTCTCCCCGCACATCCAGTGGTTAAGAACTTTGCTTCAGGATGAGACCAGAAATCGTGCTCTGGCAGCGCGGCAGCAGCAGGAGGCCCCATTAGCTAAACTGGTGCTTCAGGTTAAGAACGGTTTCAGGTTAAGAACGGACCTCTGGAACGAATTAAGTACCGTATTTTTTGCTCTATAAGACTCACTTTTTCCCTCCTAAAAAGTAAGGGGAAATGTGTATGCGTCTTATGGAGCGAATGCAGGCCGCGCAGCTATCCCAGAAGCCAGAACAGCAAGAGGGATTGCTGCTTTCACTGCATAGCGATCCCTCTTGCTGTTCTGGCTTCGGAGATTCAGAATATATTTTTTTTCTTGTTTTCCTCCTCCAAAAACTAGGTCCATCTTGTGGTCTGGTGCGTCTTATAGAGCGAAAAATACGGTACTTCACCAGAGGTACCACTGTATTCAGGTCTGCCCTCATTCTTGATCTTCCCTGGTGCTGCTCTTTTGTCTTTTGTGCTGCTTTGAAAGGAAAAAAAACCCCTGTATTATAATTGCATTCCTCTTGTACAAACCCTTTGAAAATAGAAAATATGCATTTTCAGTTCATTCATCGGTAAAACATGCATTGCGCACATTTTTTACGTGAGATGCATATTTTTGTAATGCACCGAAACTGACTTGCAAAAATTCAGAGGGGTGATTAAACTGCATGGGAGTTGCATTCTGATCTACAGGCAATGTAGACACTGATTCCGGCCCCCTGGGGGGAAAAAATTCCTGCAAAAAGTGGACTGAAGAAATTCCTCCCCATTCGTAATTTATAGTAACCTGTTCTGTAAAAACCCAGCAGATAAGCTGTCTCAAGGTATAAAATTAAGCATATATCTGCAGATCAAGCTGCTGTTAAAGGCACAGCAACAGAGGCTGATTGAAAAGTTGGCAACCGTACTCCCAAAGATAACTCTCTCACTTAAAAAAAAAAAAAAGATTGAGGAAAATAATTCTCCTTCTGCTTGATATCTGACTTACCTAAGTGTTCTGACTGTCTGGAAAGAAATGTCTCTTGGAGCCAATGGGACTGATCAGATTAAATGTCAGGGACAGGATAGCAGGCAAGGCAAACATTTCTCATTGTGGAAGGGTGTCAGAGGACGCACCAGTCAGGAAGCTAGATGAGAACTTTGTTATCTCTTAGACAATGGTAGAAACTCCTGATTCCACCCAACTACGACTAAATTCAGTGCCACCAAGCAACTAGATCAGCCGTGGGGAACGTCAGACTCAAAATGCAGCTCTACAGACCTTTCTGACCACAGGACTCACTTCCCTAGGCCCTTTTTTGCATCTTTTTTGCACCTGTTTGCCCTTTTTTGCACCTTCCTCAACTGCCTTTTCAACACTGGCCTGGTAAAACGCTCTGCCTCATGAGACCAGGGCCCTGCAGCATCTGATTTCTTTCCAGGGCCTGTAAGACAGAGTTGTTCCGCCTGGCCTTTGGCTTGGAGCCAATTTGATTACCTCCCCCTCTTTCTTTTTTCTTTCTCCACCTGTGATGAGGCTGCATTTTAATATTTTAATGTTTCAATATTTTAATGTTGTATTTTAATCTTGTTTTTAAGTTCTATTCATTCAACTTGTTTTCATTATTGCTTGTTAGCCACCCTGAGCCCGGCCTTGGCTGGGGAGGGCGGGCTATAAATAAAAATTATTATTATTATTATTATTATTATTACAAACCCCAAAATCTGAAACCTGTGCCAAAGTTTTGTAGGATTTGGTAGCAAAACCCCCGTGTTTTGTATGTCCCCCCAAACTGAGTAAATGATACTCAAATTGGGGTCCTAGGTATCCCCCCAAAAAACCAAAATTTGGGGGTTCGTGAAGCTCTCTCACTGTGCCTCTTCCTGGCCTGAGGGGAGGACAGAGAGTGGTGTGTAAATGTGTGTGGAGACCAACTATCTTGCAAAGGTAAAATTAGCATTCATTGGTATTTTTGCCTCTGGCCAAAAAGTCTGCCCCCCCTTCATCATTGCCTTGTGGCCCCCAGAAGCTCACACAGAATAGAATGCGGCCCTAGGGAGGGAAAGGTTCCCCCCAATGGGATTGCAGCATAAAAACTATCCACGCATCTCACTCCCCCTTTTGTTTGAAGAAACTAAAACAAATCAATACTGATTAGATTTTAGTACCGGTAATCTGTCACTTATCTCTAAATGACGGGTGGGGAACAACCAGCCTGTAGTCCGGATGCATCTTGCCGATAAGATCTTACCTCCTCCACGCCTTGCTCCTCCCGATGAAAAGAATTCATCTGCTAAAAGGCTACTTTCGATCCTAATTGTGACACAGAGGTGGCAGTTTTCAGGGGAGGGAGTCGCAGCTGGGGAGGGAAGAGTTAACCCTGCAATGTCCGGGAAAATTATTAGGATTCCACTGTAAGTATCTGTCCTGGTTGGGATCTCAATTATCCCAGGAACTCACTAAATTGCCTTAAATAGACTACTCTCTATCTGCTCCCCGCCACTCCAAACTACAATCTGGAGAGAAATTAAATGCACAAAAAAGCCCTGCTGGGACAGGGCACAGGCCCATCTTGTCCAGAATTCTGTTCTCACACTGGAGAATCAAATGCCTGTAAGAAGCAATCAGGCAGGAACCTTAGCACAACAGTAACACTGGCCTTCCTTACAGGTTTGTTGTAAGTTTCAGCATAATATAAGGACGAAAGCCCGGGCACATGTTTGCATCCTGAGAGCTTGATCTGGGACAATGCTGACATCTAGAGGTCGAAGTGGAGAATGCATGCTCTGAAATAAAAGCCGAGACAATGCGCGAGTCAGTACCACTGATTTCCACTGAAGGCTTACTCCCGCGGAAGTAGGTATAATAGGATTGCAGCCAGGGATAACCCGTAGATATTATTGAAATAACGAAATAATAAATAATCCAACGAATAATAAAACAGACAGTGAAATTAAGTAAATAATGACTGTATTAATACAAACAAATTAAGAAAACACATAGTCCACATGGTAAAGATAGGACGGTGCTGGTGCTGCTATCTTAGAGGAGGGCGCTCTGTGCATGCTCAGAAACTCAGCTTCTGGGGGGAAGGGGTTGGGCCACTTCAAGAAGGAGGCATCTGCCGGCACAGCCTCCTTCATCCAGTCCGCTCCGAAGAAGGCACGGACGCGAAAGGAGGAGCCAGCCAGCAGCCCCCGGCCTGGGTGGGAGGGGACGCGGCGTCGAGGCCTCCGCCCGGGGCTTGAGGAGCGGCAGGGCGGGACGGAGCCGAGAGCCGGAGCCTGCTCTGCCTTCTGCCTCTGGGCGCCTCAGCCGGAGTCCGCGGCCGGCTCCTCCCTGCGCGCTTTGTTTCCCTTTCCTCTGAACTCCCGGGCTCTCCCCCGCGTTCTTCTCCTTTCACTTTTCCAGGTCGCTCTCGCTCGCTCTCGCTCTTTCCGCCTTCCCTGCAAAGACACCCCTCCCCTCCTCACTTTCCTTAACTTTCTTCCTCCGTTGCTCCCCTTCCTTCCTCGCCTCCCACTGCGCGCCCTTCCTTTCTCTTAAATCCTTCCCTGATTTGCCCTGCTGAGATTTCTCCCCCCCCACACACACCGCCCCACTCCGACCCCTTGCCTCTGCGGCCAGGCCAGCCTCTCCTTCCGCCATGCCCCACGGCGCTCTGCAGACGGAACTGTACCCCTTCGAGAGGGTGACGGTGCTGGTCTCGTGCGCCCTCTCCTTCCTAGGGTCCAGCCTCTTGGTGGGCACCCACGCGCTGTGGCCCGAGCTGCGGACGCGGCCCCGGCAGCTCCTGCTCTACCTCTCCTTGGCCGACCTCCTCTCGGCCGCCTCCTACTTCTACGGGGCCCTGAAGGACTTCGGCTCGTCCACGTGGGAATGCGTGGCCCAGGGCGCCGTGTCCACCTTCTCCAACACCAGCTCCTTCTTCTGGACGATAGCCATCGCCTTGTACCTCTACATCAGCATCGTGCAGGGATCGCCGACCGGGACCAGCCTCCTCTGCTTCTTCCACGTGGTGAGGTTCGTGGTCTTCCCCGTCTCTCCATCTTCCCTGTCCTCGGGGACTCCCTTACGGGCCACTGCCAAAAAAAAAACCAAAAAACAAAAAACCCCAACCAAGCAAGAAAAACAAAGGTTTTCCTGGAAGTTTTGAACTGAGGAAACTTTCTGGGGAATTTTCCCAGGAAACTTTCTGGTGCGAATTAAGGAAGCTTGTTTTAGGGGACCTTCCCCCGGGGTGAAGCAAATAAATTTGGGAGCCAAATTGCATGATCTAATCTGGCATAGTTTATCTTCCGTGTATTTAGTAAACCACTCCCCTCGCCTAATAATTGTAATTGCGACTGGCAAACCAATTAATTGATACGAACAACATTTGTGCAGAAAAATACAGCACGGGACTTTCCCACCCCAACACATCGCTGCCCAGTCCTGGTGTCCAAAGGAGAAATATACAAGCTTCTCTGGGCAGAAACTCGCCTCTTTATGTAGCTCATGGGGTGTCCCTCCACAGTGTGGTGTAGTGGTTAGAGTGCCAGACTTGGACTTTGGGGGAATCATGGAATTGTAAAGTTGGAAGGGGCCCCCTGGATCCTCTCATCTAACCCCCTTCAATGCAGGAATTTTTGTAAGGGGATCAAACCTACAAACTTAGCATTGTCAGCACCATGCTCTAACCAGCTGAGACCAGGGTTCAAATCCTTGCTCAGCCATGAAGCTCACTGGGCCAGTCCCTTGCTCTCAGGCTGCTTGGCTTCAGCTGGTAGACCTCAAGGTTCTTGCTAAAATAAGAAAAAAGCAGTTTCCACAACCACAAGCCTGTAGTCTGCTCCCTTCTAGCACTCTCCATCGCCCTTCACATACTGAGATAGACCAATGGTTCATCCAGCTCAGTGTTGTTTACACTGACCCGGCAGCAGCTCTCCAGGGTTCCAGGCAGAGATTCTCAGCCTTACCTGGAGATGCTGGGGATTGAACATGGGACCTTCTGTACACAGAGCTAGGATCCATCCCTTCCCCCTACTCTCTTATCATGCCTACTGATGGAACCTAGATTGTCAGTTCCTTGAAACAGGGTGGGGTGAGAATGCGATCAATAGATGACCTAACAAGAAAGCTTGGGGAAGGGATCAGCGAAAGAAACAGCAGCTTTAATTCACTTGCTGGGGCTTCCCCTGCCTCCCTCTGTGAGCCGATTTGCCAAGTCGAAGAAAAGCCTTTATTATGCCATGTGAGATGGGCAGTGGTCACATGCCAGCCTCCAAGCTGCGAGGAGTGACCCTTTGACGCCTAGGCCTGCCAGCTGTTCAGTCTGAATTATTTTAGAAGTCATCTAGTTCAGCAAGGGGGTATTTGTTTAATAGGTTACTTAACTTCTTTTTATTCGCTCCCCCCCCCGGTACCTTTTCAATTAATTTAATGCCAACTTTGTTAATCTGGTACCCTCCAGATGTTTTGGATTATGACAGCCCTGATGGGAGCTGCAGTCTTAAACATCTGGAGGGCAGCAGATTGGTGAAGGCTGGTTTCATCCATTTCAGCAGCCGCTTGCTCGCCATAGGCGACGGGATTCCACAGAGGCACAAAAATACAGCGGACAGAGAGCACTTCCCTGCTCTCTGAGCCCCCAGTGAGCTAGCAAAACATTTTGCGGGCTAGTAATTTTTGTGGGCTTATTTACAAGGCTGCTTTTGTATAGCTCCAGCTTCCCCTCTATTGGGGCGGTGGGGGTGGGACTTCTCAAGGCAGCTTACAATGCAAAACCTTAAAATGAAATAATAAGCAATTAATCGAATAAACAGTGCTGCACTAAAACCGCAGCACAGGATGTTATCCTAGGAGAGATGCACAAACCATTTCTGTTAGAGGAGGAATCACGGAAGCAAGGTGGACTTAGCCTGGTTCCTAGAGCTGCAGTCTCATGCCCATTTACCTGGAGAGAGGATCATAGCTCTGGCGGAGCACCTGCTTTGCATGCAGAAGGTTCCAGGTTCAATCCCTGGCATCTCCAAGTTGGAGTCAAAAAGGGGACCTTTTTTCAGCCCAAGGGTTGCGCTCCCTTATGGGTGATCTTCTAGGGGGCCCATGCAAGTGGTAGGCGGGGTCAGAGGCAAAAGTGGGTGGAGTCACGACTGCGGCTCCTCCCGTTGTGCAATACAGTGGTATCTCAGGTTACATACGCTTCAGGTTACACACTCCGCTAACCCAGAAATAGTGCTTCAGGATAAGAACAGAAATCGGGCTCCTGCGGCGCAGCAGCAGCAGGAGGCCCCCATTAGCTAAAGTGGTGCTTCAGGTTAAGAACAGTTTCAGGTTAAGAACGGACCTCTGGAACGAATTAAGTACTTAACCTGAGGTACCACTGTACAGGTTTCTTGGCATATCCCTCTCTCTACTCATCCTAGCAAGCAAGATGGATTTTCATGATTCTTATGCTGGATGGATCAAAGGTCTGGCTATGGAAGCATTGTGTGCTCAGTCGTTCTCCCGGACCTCAGGAGGAAAACCTGTTCTGCGCTTGTCCTGGCAAGGATTTGAACTCTGCCCATCCTAGTCCTGACATGCTGTTTGGCATGTTTGTCTCCTCTCTCTCTCTCCTTGAGAACTTGGCCATCATCAGAACAGAGCTTGGGTGTGGCTTGAGATTACCTTTGCTTGTCTCCCAGGATAGCTTCTGTTCTCCTTGGTAGGTGAGGCCTGTCGATTGGAGTAAGAAGCTTCTCTTTCCCGTTCAAAACACACGCTTTCAACCTAACCTATATCTGGAGGTAGCAGTACCCTGGCAGTAAGTTTTTGCCAAGTTCGATAGCATTCTGGGTGGCTCAGATTTTGTCTTTGGGACTGCAGTGCAAAATAGCAAGCTCCACACTCAGTTTTGCCCTCTGCACATGCTTTTTGCGCTCTACGGTCGAGATCCATCGGTAGGAACCTATAACAAGCTTAACAGGTGGTTACACTGGCTTTTGGCCCAGCCAGACTCCATACATACCAATCATTTGAAGCACGTTTCCCCACCCAAAGAATTCTGGGAATATGATAGCCTTTGTGGTGTGGTGGTTAGAGTGTTGGATTAGAGCCCGGGAGATGAGGGTTCGAATCCCTACTCCGCCATGAATTAAACACAGGAATCTGTCATGAGAGCCATTACAATGAGAGCCGGCATGGTGTAGTGATTAGTGTCAGACAAGTACCTGGGAGACACGGGTTCGAATCCCCACTGACATGAAGCTCACTGGATGATTTTGAGCCAGTCATTGCCTCTCAGCCTTGCCTACCTCGCCAGGTTGTTGCTGGGATTAAAGGAGGGGGTGGAGAACCATGTCCACCACCTTGAGCGCCTTGGAAGAAAAGGTGGGCTATAAAGTCTGGTATGCCTCTGGGAGGTGCATTGCTCCTGTTGTGGTTGCTGAGCAGAACAGCAGTCCCAGAACAGTGACTCATGCAGAAACACGACAGGTAGACTCCTTGGAGATGAGGTTTCCTTAATATGGACCATTTGGGGAGGAGGCTAAAGGTGAAACAGGGTTCTTGGCATGACAAGCTCTTTGGAGAAAAAAAGGGGGATATGAGCCAATGCAATGTAGTATTGCTGCCCCACTCTTGTACTTGGGGGGTTGCCATTGTCTGTTGGAAACTCTCAAAGTGCTTGGGTGCCAGTATTGGAGCGCCTTGCCCATCAATGATGTTTCTCAAGTGCGTAAGAGGCTTTTTTGTTTTGAAACTCTTTAGGACTGGCAGTGAGATTTGGAATGAAAGACTAGACGGGCTGGTCACCTGCAAAGGGACATCAACAAGCAGTCAGCCTCTTAGCTTGTGACTAGGGCATATTTATAGATCACTGGAGAAAGGGGAGGCCTTTCAGAAAGCCAGCTGATTCTTAGGCAGCCAGGCACAACTTATATTCATTATTTATTTGCATATTCATGACCCACACTTTCATAACCTATGCCAAAGGTGGCTTATGTGACTGAAATGCTGTTATCTGTGTTTTAATTTGTGTAAGCGACTTTGAGCCCCCAGTCTTGGGGGGGGGGGGGAAGGCGGGATATAATAAATAAATTTGTTTGTTTCATGGAGTTTATACACTGCTTGCTTGTAAAAATACAAAAAAATAGAATCATCACCAAGAAAAATTAAGAACAATAGTTTAAGGCTTTTGAAAAGTTAACTCGCATCAACTTTCTAAACATCTAGGTAGGTTTTTCGAAACAAAAATGTGTTTAGCAGGTGCTGAAAACAGTACATTGATGGCGCCTGCCTGATATCAATAATACAATAAAATCAATCAGTATCTGTAAAATGTAAATTTAAAAACATGGATAAGATCAAATAGGTCAAAAAGAAAAATTCATACTGTAAACACCTGTCTAAAAAGTAGAGTTTGACAAAGTCATCCCAAGAGAAGGCAGGGGTGGTTGCTGCCAAACCTCAAGCAGCAGGGAGTTCCACAGGGCGGGGCCTGCCACATGAAAGACTCCGTCCCCGGTGAAGGCCAACCTAATCTCACAGGTGTGTGAGGAACCACCAGAAATGCCCCATCAGAGGATATACCAGTGATCAAGGTGGAGTATAAGGGATCAGGGGGTCCTTAGGTTACTTTGGAGGCAAGGCATTTAAGGCTTTCTGAATTGACACAACAGCCTTGATCTTGATAGCAAATCAGGAGTGTTTAAGCATCTTGGGAACACTGAGTGTAAAGTGATAGTATTATCCACCTAGCTTGTTTGTCTGGGAATTGGCCACCTCACAGTCACTTGATTTGGCTGCAGGGACGCGGGTGGCGCTGTGGGTTAAACCACAGAGCCTAGGACTTGCCAATCAGAAGGTTGGCGGTTCGAATCCCCACGACGGGATGAGCTCCCGTTGCTCGGTCCCTTCTCCTGCCAACCTAGCAGTTCAAAAGCACGTCAAAGGGCAAGTAGATAAATAGGTACCGCTCTGGCAGGAAGGTAAACGGCGTTTCCATGCGCTGCTCTGGTACGCCAGAAGTGGCTTAGTCATGCTGTCCACATGACCCGGAAGCTGTACGCCGGCTTCCTCGGCCAGTAAAGCGAGATGAGCGCCACAACCCCAGAGTCGGCCACGACTGGACCTAATGGTCACGGGTCCCTTTACCTTTACCTAGCATGCATTACAGGTGTAAACCAGTCTTGCAATCTGTTTAACAGTTTTGATGCCAGACCAAGGCGTGGTGGGAATTTCAGGTTGATGAGGGATTACGAACATAGGAAGCTGAAATCCCAGAGAGCTGTTGCCAGTCAGTATCAACAATAGTGAGCTAACTTAGTGGCTGGGGCAACCCAGTCAGATGGGCAGAATTATTACAGCTATGGTTATTCTAGTATACGGCAGATTCTATGTCTTAAGAAAAAGGCTGCAGCTTAGTGTTAGAGCATCTGCTTTGCATGCAGAAGGTCCCAGGTTCCACTGCCAGCATCTCCAATGAAACCCTGGAGTGTTGCTGCCGGTCAGTGCAGACAATGCTGAGCCAGATGGACCAGTGGTACAACTTAGTAAAAGGCAGCTTCCTCCCTCTTAAGGGAAGGGCTTTAGCTCAGTGGTAGAGCAGCTGCCTTGCATGCAGAAGGTTCTGGGTTCAGTTCCAGGCAGGGCTGGGAGATACCCCTGTGCTGCTGCTAGTCAGTGTAGACACTACTGAGCTAGATGGAACCTAAACGTGCAGGTTTATCCAACAGATTTAGAATAGACCACACACACACACTTCTTTCCCATGCTTTGGGATCAAATGCCTTCTCATCAGTTGGTCAGTCACGTCTCGGGTCAACTGGCTGAAGTCCGTCTTGCTGAAGTCAATGTTTGCGTCTCGCTAAGGTTGCAGCATAACGCCTTTGCACAATTGAGCAAACAGGCTTGTCCTTTCATAAACTCTGTTCTAGTTCTGGGATGGGAGGGCAGAATATCCAGATGATAAGGAAAGGGGAGGCAGGAAATTAAGAGGCGATTTCCTTAACCCTTGAGAGTGATTTCTGGAGTTGCAGGCGCCAAGGATTGCGATGCAATTGTGTCTGCTTAGAGCACCACCTGGAATGGGTATCTCCACCGCCCAGACTGGCTCCTTGAGATCTTCTGCAGGCAGCTCAGGTTGTGGCTTGTCATCTCTAAAGATTTGGAGGGTGAAGACCGTGGTACCTGGTGCTCCTTGAGAGTGGTAGGGCAGAGGACAAGGGTGCGTGTTGGACAGGGGATTCTTCCCACTTGCTTTTCTTGCAATGAGGAGAAATTGATTTGAATATGAACCTTCCTAATTCGGGCTCCGTGGATTGCTGTACAAACCAACACATGGCTATCCTTCAAAATCAAGTCACTATCCATGAATTTTTTGACACAGTTCCTGAACTGGAACCAAAACATGCCTTAACTATTCCCCCTCTCTGCCTGCAGCTGGGGAGTGCCGCTCGTCATCACTGTGTTGGCCGTGATTTTGAAGAAGATCGGTTACGACGCCTCCGATGTCTCTGTGGGCTGGTGCTGGATCGACATTGAGGCGGAGGATCGGATCCTGTGGATGCTCCTTGCAGGGAAGCTGTGGGAGATCCTGGCCTACGTGACTCTCCCGGTCTTCTACATCCTCATAAAGAAGCACATCAACCGAGCGGTAGGTATTTCTTTTTTTCCAGGTAGGGGAAGACTAATTGTCTAGGGTGAGCATGAATTTCCTCCAGGATTCAGGGATGCGAGTGGCCATTTGGGGCCTAAGGGCTATGCTTTCTTGTTGTCATCATTGCCTCATCCAGCAGGGATGTTGACACAAAATTGGAGGCTGCAGGAGCACCGTGTGGGAAGTCAGGGATGGGTCAGGCTTGGAACTGATTGCAGGAGACTAGAACTCCCAGAGGAACATCCCAGACCAACAGGGCCTATAGGCCCACAACCTGGACCCCTCACATTCTCCTGAAAAACCAGACCTCCCAACATTCATTTCATTTCATTTATTAGGCTTATAGGGGAGCAGAACTGAAGCATGTGACTTCACCTGTAGATGCGTTCTTTTCCACTGCGTGGTGTCATCGCAGTCCCCAAACCTGCGAAAATAGTTTTGCAGTTAGAATGCCCATGTTGTTATGCTCATTTTGCAATAAGTGTCTGTCCCCTGTTGGTGGGTGCGTTTTGTTTGTTTCTTTCTGGCTTTTCCTGGTGGTGGAGAGTAATTTTCTGGCAACAGAAATAATTCCAGATTCTCATGCCGTTCCATCCTCCTCTGCAGGGGGCCAGACAGCTGCCCTAGTCGTCTGGCTAAAAACAAGTCACGATTTGTGTGTTGGAACAGGTGTTGGCAGCGGGACGGTCCTGTAACCGGATCTGACCCAGGCTGCCGCATTCCACGCCGGGCGTTCCAAGCCAGCGTCTTTCCCTTTGCTTATCTGTATTTGAGCGCGAATGACTCCACCTTCGATATCCCTGAGCCACCTCCAAAGCTGCTGGGTGTGTGTGTTCCTCACTAAGTCCTGCTCAGATCTGACCCATTGACATTAAGGGACCTAAGAGAGCCGGGGGTGTGTGTGTGTGTAGTGGCTAGGACCTGGGAGAGCAGGGTTTGAATCCCCATTCAGCCACGAAGCTCACTGGGTGACCCTGGGCCAGTCACTGCCTCTCAGCCTATCCTACCTTGCTGGGTTGTTGGGAGAATGAAATGGGGATGAGAGAACCATGAATGCTGCTTGAACTCCTTGGACGAAAGGAGGGAGACAACACAAGGAAGGAAGGAAGGAAGGAAGGAAGGAAGGAAGGAAGGAAGGAAGGTGATGCGTTTGGTGGGTCAGTAAGCAGGTCTCTGGCTGGCGCTATACATAGGTGCAAAGAGTGTCCCTCGTTCAGAGTTTTACCTCTGCCACTAACTCCAGTCAATCAATCAATCAATCAATCAATCAATCAATCAATCAGTTATAGCAACCCTTAAGCAGGCCACAGTTTCTCAGCCCATAGTGCCCATCTGCAGTGAAGCCTGATACTGACCAACCTCACAATTGTACAAATACTGAGTTAACGTTCAAAGCAATTCATGTGCCCCATGGGGCAGGGAATATTTCCAGACTGAGGGCCGCATTCCATTCTAGGCAATCTTCCAGGGGCCGTGTGACAGGCATGGTCAGGGCTAGTGTCCAGGGTTGCCATATTTTGGCAAAATCACACAAAAAGAAGTTGTTGACCTATTTTTAAGGGAAATTGCCAAATACGACATTGACCACATGGGTTGCCATACATCCAGATTTTCCCGGACACTTTGCCTATTTCCGCCCAGACACTGCTTCTGACTGTAGCATTCCGACTATTTCTGGGAAATTCTGGACATATGGGAACCCTACTAGTGTCAAAGGTGGGTGGAGCAATGAAAGCGGATGTTACCTTTTGCTACTTTCTACGCACTCTTCTACGCGTCTGTTGGGACGCGGGTGGCGCTGTGGGTTAAACCACAGAGCCTAGGACTTGCCAATCAGAAGGTCGGCTGTTCGAATCCCTACAACGGGGTGAGCTCCCGTGGCTCGGTCCCTGCTCCTGCCAACCTAGCAGTTCAAAAGCACGTCAAAGTACAAGTAGATAAATAGGTACTGCTCTGGCGGGAAGGTAAACGGCGTTTCCGTGCGCTGCTCTGGTTCGCCAGAAGCGGCTTAGTTATGCTGGCCACATGACCCGGAAGCTGTTCGCCGGCTCCCTCGGCCAGTAAAGCGAGATGAGCGCTGCAACCCCAGAGTTGGCCATGACTGAACCTAATGGTCAGGGGTCCCTTTACTTTTTTTTTACACGCTCTTCTTGCACGCCCCTCTCTCTATCCAAGCGAACAAGAGGCACGATCAGAGTTCAACAGCACATCCCTGAATCGGGGTTGGTGAGGTGTGTGGTGAGGGCCTGGCAGGGGGACTAGGGGGGCCGCAGTCAGCCTCTGGACTTTGAGGTTCCCCACCCTTGAGACAGATGCTAAATTGATCCTGCCCCCACCCACGCTTTCCCCTCGCTCCTCATGGTGGTCTTCCTTTTCCCAAAGCATGCTGCGCTGTCAGAGTATCGCCCTATCCTGTCGAGGACCCCAGCTTTACACCTGAGGACTTCCGTAGCGGATAAGAAGCTGATCCTGATTCCAGTGATATTCATTTTCCTCCGAATCTGGAGCACCATCCGGTTTGTCTTGACGCTGTGCAGCTCCCCTGCTGTTCAAAACCCGCTGCTGGTGGTACTTCACGTGAGTAACGTATTTGATTGTTTGATTATTTGATTGTTGTTAGCCGCCCTGAGCCCGGCTTCGGCTGGGGAGGGCGGGATATAAATAAAATTTATTATTATTATTATTATTAACTTAGCTATAAGGCGGGTGGGAGGTCCTGGAATCTGGTCACTTCATCCTAGAGGTTCCCAAAAGGTCTATGAGGCAGACTTTCACTTATTTATTTTTATTGTGACATGAATATTTATTTTTATTGTGACATTCCAAGGACCTCAAGGCAATGTTTGTGGTTCTTCCCCTGCAGTGCCTAATTTTATCCTCACAACAACCCTGTGAGGTGGGTCAGGCTGAGAGGTTATTTAGTAGCCAAAGGGCTCCTGTTCAGCTTCAGGGCTGAGTGAGAATCATCATCATATTTATACCCCACCCGTTTGGCTGAGTTTCCTCAGCCACTCTGGGCAGCTCCCAACAGAATATAAAAAATGTGATAAAACACCAAACATTAAAAACTTCCCTAAACAGGGCTGCCTTCAGGTGTCTTCTAAAAGTCAGATAGTGGTTTGTTTCCTTGACATCTGATGGGAGGGCGTTCACAGGGCGGGTGCCACCACTGAGAAGGCCCTCTGCCTGGTTCCCTGTAGCTTCATTTCTCGCAGTGAGGGAACTGCCAGAAGGCCCTCAGAGCTGGACCTCAGTGTCCTGGCTGAATGATAGAGGTGGAGATGCTCCTTCAGGTATACTGGGCTGAGGCCGTTTAGGACTTTAAAGGTCAGCACCAACACTTTGATTGTGCTTGGAAACGTACTGGGAGCCAATGTAGGTCTTTCAGGACTGGTGTTATATGGTCTCGGCGGCCACTCCCAGTCACCAGTCTAGCTGCCACATTCTGGATTAGTTGTAAAGATTTGAACTCTGTTCTCTTGGACCTCTGTCTTTTTATCCCCTGCAACACACATCTTTCAGTATTTTGAAAAGCATGGTGTAAATAATAATAATAATAATAATAATAATAATAATAATATTTTACCCCACCCATCTGATGGGTTGCCCCAGCCACTCTGGGTGGCTTCCAGCATATATAAAAACATAGTTAAACCTTAAAAAGCTTCCCTATACAGGGCTGCCTTCAGATGTTTCCTAAATGTTATATAATTACTCATCTCCTTAACATCTGATGGATAGATAAAGGCACAGCTTGATATTCATTTGGATCAGCCACTGGTCTCTGCAACTTGAGTTTGCAAAATGCAAACGTGTGTAAACTACTAAGCCAGCGACAGAAAAATTAAAATTAAAATTAAAAAAATGCTAATGCAATTTTAGGCTGCATCAACAGAAGTAGCTGGAAAGTGGTGCCAGCTGCATTGATAAACCCTGGGCAAAGAAACAGCCGATATATAAAACCATTTGGGCCAGTAGTCATTGCTACCCTTATCTAATCCCCTTTCTAAGGCATCCAGGGAGAATGCAATGAATAAGAAGATAAGAAGAGCCCAGTGTGATTAGACCAAAGGAGCTCTTTAGCACACTATTTTGGGCTGCCTACACACCATATATTTAAAGCATGTCCCCTTCTACTTTCCAATAATCCTGAGAATTGTAGTTTACCTCTTACAGGAGGAGATATAAAGGAAAAGGAGCCTATTGATGCATGTGGTAGTCTTGCAAACCAGTATACAAATTTGGGAAGAGGTAATAAAGGAAATTCCTGATATAATAGGTGCACCACTGCCTTTAAGCCCCAAACTGTGGCTAGTATCAATTTTTGATGGGACAAATGCGGACTTAATATGTAAACTACTTTTTCTATTAATAGCTGCTCATTTGACCAAATCACAGGACTGGGAGGAGTTGTTGGGGTTTGTTTGTCGTTTGTTTGAAGATTTATGTCCATAAAGTAATGTTTATTCTCACGTCTGAGAAACTGACTTATGAAACTTACTTGGGGTGCAGCTAAATCTCCATTGGTTACTTATATGATTAGTCAATCATAGAGATGGCAAGTTCTGATGGAATATGCCTTTATTTGGTGTTCACATTATTTGGTTTGTAGTCTTTTAGTGTCGGGTTGTATCTTGTATGGCATAGCAGAATTGGCTGCATAGAATCATAGAGTTGGAAGGGACCTCAAGGTTCATCTAGTCCAACCCTCCAATGCAGGAACCTCAACACAAGGTCCCCCATCCAATTTGAAACCATATTGGACCCTGCTTAGTTTTGCAATTGTGCTAGCAGTTTTATTGCTGCACCACTGGGAGGCCATAAGCCACATTCTACATTTGTAAGAACTCCAATATTTTAGTGTGGCATCATCTGCACTTTGGAACTCCCTGCCTATTGATATCAGGCAGGCTGCCTTCACCGTACTCTTTTTTTTGGTGCCTGCTAAAAACATTTTGGTTTAGACAGGCCTACACAGATGCTTAGAAGGTCGCTGTGAGTCTTAATCTGTTTTTAATTTGTTTTAAGCTTCCAAATGGGACGCGGGTGGCGCTGTGGGTTAAACCACAGAGCCTAGAGCTTGCTGATCGGAAGGTCGGCGGTTTGAATCCCTGCGATGGGGTGAGCTCCCATTGCTCGATCCCTGCTCCTGCCAACCTAGCAGTTCGAAAGCACATCAAAAGTGCAAGTAGATAAATAGGTACCGCTCCGGCGGGAAGGTAAACGGCGTTTCCGTGCACTGCTCTGGTTCGCCAGAAGCGGCTTAGTCATGCTGGCCACATGACCCGGAAGCTGTATGCCGGCTCCCTCGGCCGATAAAGCGAGATGAGCGCCGCAACCCCAGAGTCGGCCACAACTGGACCTAATGGTCAGGGGTCCCTTTACCTTTACTAAGCTTCCAAATGCCTTAAATTATTGCTTGGTGATAATTTTATCGTTTTATCTTTTTTTGTGTTTGTGTAAACCAGGGGTGGCCAACTCCCAAGAGACTGCGATCTACTCACAGATTTAAAAACTGGCTTTTTTAGGGAAGAGGAAGGCCCGTTCTTTAGGGGTTCAGGTCAAAGTTCTTGAGCTTCTTTTTATGGGCTGCAGGGCTAAAATGTTTAGCTTTTTTTAGGGGAGCCAAAGTTCTTGGGCTTCTTTGCGGGGAGCCAGTGATCTACTAGTGATCTACCACAGACGTCCAGTGATCTACCGGTAGATCCCGATCTACCTGTTGGCCATGCCTGGTGTAAACCATTTTGAGGTTGTATTTTTACAGTCAAGTGGTGTATACTGTTGGCTATTTGCAGTTTAGTTGCACTGCAGAAAGCTTGCTGGGGAGACCACGCATTACAAGGAACTTAAAAATAACTTTAACAAGGTTTTAATAACAAAAACAAAAACTCCTTTTACACTAAATATATCAACAAGCATAACCCATCCCCCAGGGTTACTGAGAGAGCTAGGTGCTGCTCTTTACATACTATACCCAATTGCTGACACAGCTTAATTAACACAACTTAGCAGCACCAGCTATGCTGTTTCACAGCTGTAAAACTGGGTCTCGATATTTGCTCTGGTCCTTAAAGACATACACATCTGGTGGAACAATAATGAACCTTCACATTTAAAGAGACCATTCAACATTTTGAGGTTGTATTTTTACAGTCAAGTGGTGCATACAATTTATGAATTGTATACTGAGCTTTTCCATGAACCGCCTGCCTCTCTCCCTCCCCAGGGCATCGGTAACACATTCCAAGGTGGCGCCAACTGCATTATGTTCGTCCTTTGCACGCGGGTCGTCCGGAACAAGCTTCTTTCCTACCTGTGCTGCTGGAGATCCAGTACCCCGGGGCATTCCCTGGCGAGCCCAGAGAGCCACTCCCAGGGCCCTGATTCGGCCACCAAGGACTGGGGGGATGCGCGAGAAGGCGACCGAGCGAGAGCGGAATTCTCAAGCACCTGATCCTCCAATGAACGCCCCTGTTTCAATGGAAGACGGGGCCTTGTCCAGTCAGGATTTTATCTGTGAGTGTTTTCAGCTTTTGAGGGCTTCTGGCAAAGATTTGGGGCTGCCCCCAACTCGAAGCTGACCCACTGAAATGAATGTACCTCAGCCATGCTCATTTGTGACAGTGAGTCTACTCTTGAGTCAAACCTAAAACCCTTGGCCAGGTATTTCACAAAACGCGGAATCGAGGCTGCCTCCACACTGAGAATTTACTGTGGACTAGCCGCGCTCTGTTCACTCACATTTTGTGCGGCGTCTGCACAGGGTCGTTAGCAAAACGTATCCTGTTTCCCTTTTTTGGCTTCTCTCCCCCCCCGCAACCTGCAACAGAAACCCGACTTTTTAAAAATGCAGTAGAATTTCCCCTGACACAGAATGCAGATGGTGCTGCTATTCTGGCAAATTACATTGCTGGAGCCGTTTTCGAGGTTGTGCCCTCTAGCCACTTCCTTCTCTATGGTCTGCCTCTCCTCCCTAGGAATTAATCCCTAGCATCTCCAGGGAGGCTGAGAATGTCCCCTGCCTGAAGACTCTGTAGAAGGTGTCTTCCTTCCTATGCTCCTCAGGGGGGAGGTGGAAATGGAAGGGATGTTTCTGAGCCATAGCTGTCAACCGTCCCTTATTTGGCGGGAAAGTCCCTTATCCCAGCGCTGTGTCCTGCTGCTGTCCGTTATTGATGATGTCCCTTAACTTTCCCGGGTTTCAAAGGAAGCAGCTCCTCTCCCTTCCTCCCTGACAGCCAGGGAGGAGGGAGGCTCCAACTGTGTTGCTTGGCTGCGTTGCTCACCCAATAAGGAGTCTAAGAACAACTGGGGGGTGGAGTTTGCATGCCTTGTGCCTATCAAATCGGCCGCGTTGCCTGGAGACTCGCCTTTGCTCAGAGCTTCCCAGCGGAGAGGTGACGGTGGTTTTCCTTGCTGCATCCCCTTTGCTGGGTTGCTGCGCCGTGGGAACCACCGCTTGAGGCTTCGTTTGGCTGCTGGCTGGACTTTCTGCCTTTGGCTCGGAGGGGCTCAGAAGTTGAACATACCTGTGCCCGGAAAATCCCTTATTTTGGCTGCTGATCCCTTATTTTCGAGGCTGCTGGTCCTTTATTTTCAAATCTGTAAGTTGACAGCTATGTTCTGAGCACAACTAGCTCTCCTCTCACTGACTCACTCTTTGTTTTGCTGTCTGGGCAGGTAACAGAAATGCCTCCAAGTGCCTACAGAGGGAGCTACTTGCCTGAGAAAAAAGTAGTCAAAGTTTTCACGGGTCTGCGGTGAGGGGGCTTTTACGATGAACGTGCCCCTTTCTGGAATCCAGTTCCTCGACTGACTTTTCACTTCTCTCTCTCTCTCTCTCTTTTATCATGGGGGCGTTGCAAAGATACTTCCCAGCTTCCACTTTTAATTCTCCTCCTCTAAGGCTTGTTTTAGTGCTGTATTTTTCTTTTAAGAGACTTGGGGAATTCTCAAAGCTTTAGCAAGGGCTTCTTTTCAGGCGGGGAAGAAGGCGAGGGAGAAAACCCTGTAAGGGATTTGACTGTTGCAGATTCACTCCAAAGAGAGGAAGTGCTCCAGATTTTAGGTTTTGCATGGTTGGTTGATTTACAGCGGCTGGTGCGTTCCAAAGACCCTCCAGGTGTTTTCGACTGACTACAACTCTCATCAGCCCAAACCAGCTTGCCAGAACATTGGGTCTCCACGCAGAGAGGTGGGTTTTTCTTTCAAAGTGTGCTCAATTCAGAAATTTCTACAGGATGAAAGAAGAGAGGAAGAGTCTGTGATTCGCTACAGAGCTTTACTGTGCAAATAGATATAACCCGTGAAACTCCCTGGACTTGTATCTTTCCAGAGGACTGTGGACTGAACACTGTTTAAAAAGACCGTGTTTCCTGTTGGAATTGTCATAATTATGCACTGGAGTTTTGTGTGCGGTTTTTTTAATTTTATTTTTTTTTTAATAAAACAAGTAGACAGAGACTAACTTTGAGCTGCTACCTTAAGTTTTCTGGTTTTTCTTTCTTTCAATTTTTTTTAAAGAAATGAATAAATAAAGTAGCTACCATTTTGGTGAACAACCTTTAAGAACTACGAATCCTCTGTCTATCTATCTATCGTTACTGTTGTTTTAATTTCGATTCATGCGTCCCTTCCCATGAAGTATCCTGGAGCGATTTGCAATAGGAGAACATATGTAAAAACATTTATATAATTATAATATATTTTTTTAAAAAAAACAAGTTTAAAGCAACAAAAGCCCATATATAAAATCAGATTTCAAATCCAAGACAGGATCTTTATCCACTGGGATAAAGATTTAGAAGGCTCTTTGAAAGAGGGAATATTTAGCAGGAACATATTTAGCTAGAGCTGGCATGAGTCTGAATGCTGGGAATCGCTCTTGCAGGGAGAGTACTCTTGCACTCATAACCTGTTTGTGGGCATCCCATAATAGGCATCTGGTTGGCCACTGTGAAGACCGAGTGCTGGTCTAGGTGGGCCATTGGCTTCATGCTGCAGGTTATACCAGTTCTGTTGTGCTGGCAACAGTTCTGATATGCTCCTACATTGGCCTTCTCTATTGGGCCTTCCAACTGTCAACAGCTGCTTTCCCCGGAATCTTCCAGCTTCCTTCCTCTGATTGGCTCTTGCCATACCGTCTGCCTTTTGATGTCTTCCTTTCAAGGGAAAACAGAGCTTGGCTGATCCCCCCCCCCCCCCGCTCTCCTTGCCAGGGCAAAAAGCTGTGGTAAGTTTCCGTGCCTCTGGAGGAATGCACCAGGTGTGTGGGGTGGCTCCATAATGGAGGGGCTTCACCGCTACCCACTTCTGGGATTCTTGATCCAATCGACCGCCCTGAGAGAGAACGGCTGAAGTTCCAGCTTTCGACTTTGCTTCAATCTGGGAGTGGGGGAACCAGCCCCCCTTCCAGATGTTGTGGGACTACAACTACTGTCTCTGCCAGCAGCTGGGATGGATGGGAATTGGGAGTACAACAATGTTTGGAGGTTCCCTCGTCCCCTTTTTAATCTGTCTTACTAACGGCCAGAGCAGCCACTCATGCAGAGACATGGCAGGGAGCCTCCTTTCCGAATGGTGCTCCTGCGGGCTTTTCAGATATTGCTGGACTACAAATCCCACCATCCCTGATCCCTAATCAAAGTGTTTGGGGGATTGTAGATCTGGGAGGTCTCCTAGGAACTCTCAGCACCCTTACCACACTGCAGCACCCAGGACAACAACAAATTATTTTTTGGAATTGTTGATTTCAGAAAACTTTTTTAAAAAGGTTTTTATTAAATACTTTCTTGTGTTACAAAACAAATAAACAGGGGAAAGCATGTCTGTGACCCCACTACCAATTCATAGAGTCCTTTTCACAGTTCTTTTATATGTGGTGGGAGACACTTTTGTCGTAGACATCTTGCAGTTGGGGGGGAGAGAAGGGAGGGAGAGAGATGGGGTTTTTGTTCTTATAATAATAATAATAATAATATAATTTATTATTTATACCCCAGCCACTCTGGGCTGCTCCCAACAGAATATAATAATAAAAAAGCGATAAAACATCAAACATTAAAAACTTCCCTAAACAGGGCTGCCTAAAAGTCAGATAGTTGTTTGTTTCCTTGACATCTGATGGGAGGGTGTTTCACAGGGCACCACTACCGAGAAGGCCCTGTGCCTGGTTCCCTGTAACCTCGCAGTGAGGGAACCACCAGAAGGCCCTTGGAGCTGGACCTCAGTGTCTGGGCTGAATGATGGGGATGGAGACGCTCCTTCAGGTATACTGGGCCAAGGTTGTTTTGTTCTGTTGCACAGTGTTAGTGTAGGGATTTGTGTCAGCATCACACAGGTATATCCTTTGTTACAAAGAAGCTGCACTGCAATCATGAACGCAAACCAACCAAACTCTGGAGCCCTTAATCTCTTGCAATGTCAATAAAAACAAACAACAAACTGTGTAAAGAAAGCATTGCAAAAATACATGGTTGCATGTAAAAATGTTACATTAATACAAAGTTACCAATATATAGAAATCAATATCGGTTAATTTTCCTTCCGACACACCCTCCCTCTCAGACTCTGGGTTTTCACCCCAGGGTCCAAACAAACTCTCAGCTCACCCACAAAAGTCTCATAACCAAAAGAGTTCCTGGAAACAGCAAATGTCGCCTTAGTCTCTCATTGTACGCTTGCTTTTTATGAGCAGGCCCAAGGTGGATGTTACCTCCCTAGGCTGCTACAGCTGTGCCCATTCAGCTGCCTTCTCCACACTCAGTTCCAGGTACAATAGGTTTGTTGATTTCCCCAGGGGGTCCAGAGGATGGGGAAGGGGCCCCCTTCCACTCACAGCTCTTTCTTCACCCTCTGTCCTCTCCTCCTCCGACTCCTCTAGTTGATACCATCTTGGAACACCCAAATTCTTCTTTCTCCCTACAGCTCCTTGCCTATTTTTCACCCATACCCAGGGAACTATGGAAACTTCGAATACTTCAATTCCCAAACGCAAGAAAAAGGTGAGTTCAGATGCATCCTGGCTCCCCCTGGTGAGATTCAAATCAAAATCAGCCACAATGGTTCAAAGTTCTAAAGCTGGGCAAAGCAAATGGGTACCAGAACTCCCCACTGTCCCTCCTCATTGGCCATGCTGGCTGGGACTGATGCGAGTTCGAGTCCAGCAACAATTGAAGGCCGTCATCTTAGCCAGTGTGGTATGGTGGTGAGGGTGTCCAATGAAGACCTGGGAGACCAAATCCCCACTTGGCCATGAAGTGAAGAAGAAGAAGAAGAAGGGGCCACTCATGCAGAGATGCAGCAGGCAGCCTCCTACCTTGATGATGTCCCAGCTCCCAGACACATTTAGTCCAGGGATGGGCAGCCTGTGGATTTCCATATGTTGTTGGACTACAACTCCCATCCTCCCTGACCGTTGGCCAGGCTGTTTTTGGGCAGATGGAAGTTGAAATCCAACCAAATCTGGGGAGCTGGAGGCAAAGTTTGTTTCTGCCTTTGCTGTCGCCTCTGCTTCTTTGCAGTTGGATTTATCCCTAGTAGTAGTAGTAGTAGTACAGTGGTACCTCTGGTTATAAGCTTAATTCGTTCCGGAGGTCTGTTCTTAACCTGAAACCGTTCTTAACCTGAGGTACCACTTTAGCTAATGTGGCCTCCCACTGCCACCGCACCGCCAGCACACGATTTCTGTTCTCATCCTGCGGTAAAGTTCTTAACCTGAGGTACTATTTCTGGGTTAGCGGAGTCTATAATCTGAAGTGTTTGTAACCCAAGGTACCACTGTAATTAATTAGTTAGTGCCCATCTAACTGGATGGCCGCTCTGGGTGGCTTCAAACAAATTTAAAAGTGAGACATCAAACATTCAAAACTTCCCTATAAAGGACAGCCTTCAGATGCCTTCTAAAAGTCAGATAGTTGTTTGTTTCCTTGACATCTGATGGGAGGCATGACTACCGAGAAGGCCCTCTGTCTGGTTCCATTGTAACCTCACTTTTCTCAGTGAGGGAATTGCCAGAAAGCCCTCGGAGCTGGACCTCAGTGTCCGGGCTGAATGATGGGGGTGGAGACTCTCCTTCAGGTATGCAGGGCCAAAGCCATTCAGGGCTTTAAAGGTCAGCACCAACTCTTTGAATTGTGCTCAGAAAATGTTTCCCAAGAAGGGGTGGGCTCTTCACCGATAGGGCAGGTGCTGGAGTCACCCCAATGGCTTGTGAAGTCGTGCTCAGGGTTTCTGGTGCCGTGGGATGTACCACTCACCTGAAACACCCACACCCACCCGTCCTACTTAGCATGCAAATTGCTGCCTCTCAGCCTGCCCGGACTGTAGGTCCTGCTCACTGAATCAGGACAACCGTGCCTGTGCAATTTTTGCCTCCTAATGTAGCCTGGGGATTGTGGCAGACCACATTTGGCCACTGGCTGAGAGAGGCAGTGACTGGCCCAAGTTCACCCCAGTAAACGTCATGGTGGAGCAGGGGATTCAAACCCTGGTATCCCAAGACCCAGACCGATATGCTAACCACTACACCACACTCTCTCTGGAGTGTCTGGCCATGCTTCGTTTTATGGGTAGGGCTGGGTTTTCACTAGTAGGTGTCTCTAACACACCTGCACAGTGTACAACCAGCAACCCTGTCTACTGCTCTTTCCTATAGGAACTGACATCCGGACTTCTAATTGCTACAGTGATTCCCTCCATTGGATCCTTGCAACTGGGATACATCTACTGGGTTGTCCTCAACCCAGTGACGGTATGCCAGCCCTATCATCTGTGGGACTACTTAGAATCATGGAACTGTAAGAGTTGGAAGGGAACTCCAAGAGTCATCTAGTCCAACCCCGTGCAATGCAGGAATCTACATAGGGCAGGGGTGGGCCAATGCATTCGCTTGGAAAAGCCGTAGCTCAGCAGCGGAGCATCTGCTTTGCATGCAGGAGTCTCCTGGTTCAAAACCCGTAACATCCCCGAGCAGGGCTGGGAAAGATCAGAATCTGAAACCTCAAGAGCAGCTGCCAGTCAGTGCAGACACTACTAGGCTAGATTGGGGGGGGATGCTTCTACTGGTTCTACCAGGGACTTAGGTGGTGTCATGGGCTGTTTGGACACAGAGGATTGGTGGAGGGCACCAGCTGGGGAGCCCCCAATGGAAGAAAGTGGTGGGATGACAAAGAATGGTCAGAGGCAGAAGACTGGGGAAAGGAGGTGTCAGAGCTGAAGAGGTAGCAGGGTTGAGTGAGCAGGGGGAGTCTGTGGGCCATAGCTCAGTTTTAGAGGGCAAAGGTTGCATGTGGGGTGGTCCCAGGGCAACCCAAAGCATTTCTAGTTACTGTTTTTGCTGAGGGCAGCAGGTGATGGTAAAGAGCTCTGCTTGAGACTCTGGGAAACTGCTGCCATTCAGAGTACAGTGGTACCTTGGTTCCCAAACTTAATCCGTTCTGGAAGTCCGTTCCAAAACCAAGGTGCGCTTTCCCATAGAAAGTAATGCAAAATGGATTAATCGGTTCCAGACTTTTAAAAACAACCCCTAAAACAGCAATTTAACATGAATTTTACTATCTCATGAGACCCTTGACCCATAAAATGAAAGCAATAAACAATGTACTGCGGTCACACAATCAATCAATCAATCAGTAGCTGAATTGGGTTCCACACAGTCACAGAAACAAAACAAAAAGAGCCGCAAAAACAAAAACGCAAAATAAATAGCAAAAACAAACAGACCTCAGTGTAATGTTCAAAATGGAAGCGTGGCACTCAAATCGGAATTGTAACACTCAAAACAGAGCATGTTTGGCTTCTGAAAAAGTTCGCAAACTGGAACGCTTACTTCCGGGTTTGCAGTGTTTGGGTTCCAAGTTGTTTGAGTACCAAGGCGTTTGAGAACCAGGGTACCGCTGTAGGTGATACTGCGCTGGATGGTATAAGTTAGTTTCCTGTGTCTCAGATCCTGTGTGCTTGTCCCACTCTCTTTCATCTGATGTCTCTCTTCCACTTAGGTCTCACATATAAATTCCAACATAACGGAAGAGACCGAAAGGATGGACATCAGAATCGAAGAGACTCTGAGTGGCCGGATGGCCTTTAACGCTATGGTCTTCCCAATTGGAGGCATCATTGGGTCGCTGATGCTCAGCACCTTGGTGGATAGCTGCGGCAGGTACAGAGATAATAGGGGGATGGAGAACAGTAGGCACAGCAAGAGGTGTTGGGGGTGGGGAATATGACTATCACTGACCCACATCCCCCACTGATCTCTAGTTAAGCTATGTGTTGGGTCAATGCCTTAGAAACATAGGAAAACACAACACAAAGGAATACAGATAAATAAAGAAACGCGGCTCACATGACTCTGTATGCAGTTATATAGAACTTATATAAAAGACAACATGTAAAAAAAAGACATTTATATTCCACCAAGCATCCATTTCTTTAAATATAGCCTTTACATAATACACGGGTGGCGCTGTGGGTTAAACCACAGAACCTAGGACTTGCCAATCAGAAAGTCGGCGGTTCGAATCCCCGCGACGGGGTGAGCTCCTGTTGCTTGCTCCCTGCTCCTTCCTACCTAGCAGTTCAAAAGCATGTCAAAGTGCAAGTAGATAAATAGGTACCGCTCCGGCGGGAAGGTAAACAGCGTTTCCGTGGGCTGCTCTGGTTCGCCAGAAGCGGCTCAGTCATGCTGGCCATATGACCCGGAAGCTGTACGCCGGCTCCCTTGGCCAATAAAGCGAGATGAGCGCCACAACCCCAGAGTCGGTCACGACTGGACTGAATGGTCAGGGGTCCCTTTACCTTTACATAATATATACAATACCAAAAAGATGCTCAATATGGGACGACTCAAAACCAAATTTCCGTCCAAATGTTCCTTCATTCAACACAGAGAAAAGAATCTCTGCAAATATACTTATTGCTAAAGGATAATCCACAAACAGGATAGAGTCATAAAACTGTAGAGCTGGAAGGGACCCAAAGAGTTATCTAGTCCAGCCTCCTGTAATGCAGGAATCTACATAGAGCAGGGGTAAAAAGGTAAAGGGACCCCTGACCATTAGGTCCAGTCGTGACCGACTCTGGGGTTGCGGCACTCATCTTGCTTTATTGGTCGAGGGAGCCGGCGTACAGCTTCCGGGTCATGTGGCCAGCATGACTAAGCCGCTTCTGGCGAACCAGAGCAGCGCACGGAAACACCGTTTACCTTCCCGCTGGAGTGGTACCTATTTATCTACTTGCACTTTGACGTGCTTTCGAACTGCTAGGTTGGCAGGAGCAGGGACCGAGCAACGGGAGCTCACCCCGTCGCGGGGATTCGAACCACCGACCTTCTGATCGGCAAGTCCTAGGTCAATGCATTTGCTTGGGAAAGTTGTAGCTCAGCAGCAGAGCATCCGCTTTGCAAGCAGGAGTCTTCTGCTCTCGATCGCTCAAACCGCAGTAGTAGTGCCCCAGCTGTGTGAAATCCCATGTGGAACTCAGAAGACAACAAAACCACTTGGTGAAAAAATCTGTTTCAAATATCTTCCTGTGGTTGGCCTGGAATGGACTGAAGACGGCAAAACTCCTGCTCAAGGAGATAAGTCGGCTGCATACACTTGCTCATTCTATAAGGGCTGATTGCACATGGTGGAATACACGTCTAATTTTTTATGTTTTGTCTTTGGGCTGTTTCAGACTGTTGGTTCATCTGAATCAGTAGACCAGGGGTCAGCAAACTTTTTCAGCAGGGAGCCAGTCCACTGTCCCTCCGGCCTTGTGGGGGGCCGGACTATACAGTGGTACCTCAGGTTAAGTACTTAATTCGTTCCGGAGGTCCGTACTTAATCTGGAACTGTTCTTAACCTGAAGCACCACTTTAGCTAATGGGGCCTCCTGCTGCCGCTGCGCTGCTGGATCACGATTTCTGTTTTCATCCTGAAGCAAAGTTCTTAACCTGAAGCACTATTTCTGGGTTAGCGGAGTCTGTAACCTGAAGCATATGTAACCTGAAGCGTATGTAACCCGAGGTACTACTGTATTAATAAAAAATAAAAAATGAACGAATTCCTATGCCCCACAAATAACCCAGAGATGCATTTTAAACAAAAACACACATTCTACTCATGTAAAAACACTCTGATTCCTGGACCATCCACGGGCCGGATTTAGAAGGCGATTGGGCCGGATCCGGCCCCCGGGCCTTAGTTTGCCTACCCATGCAGTAGACAATCAGCGTTGTCTACACTGACTGGCAGCAGCACTTCAGGGCCTTGTGGCAACTCCGCAGCTGCCCTCCCTCCTCTACTTTTTTCGCTGCTTGGGGCCTGCTCATCTCCTCCTCACCCCCTTTCTGCTGTCTTTTCAGGAGACGCTCCTTGATGCTCAATAATGCTGCAGCCGCCGTTGCCTGTGGATTAATGGGTGCTTCCGATGCAGGGAAATTCTACGACTTTGGCATTTTTGCTCGCTTCCTCGTCGGGATATCTTCAGGTGAAAAAAAAGCGCACCGCATGTAGTCTTTGAATTGCCTTTTAACAAATCCAAGCCAAACAAAAGCAGAAAGCTGCCTTGAACCCGTGTCTGTGGTTTGACGCTTTGACTCCTGAACCCAGATGCCTAGGCTGCTTATCAGCATTAAAAAGTTAAGGAGCTGTGCACAATGTTAATCCTACTCAGAGTAGACCTGTTGGAAATAATAGGCGTGACTAACTTAGGGCTGAGTTGGCTCCCATTTGCAATGTACGTTTAAAGCAGTATCATACCACTTTAAATACTTCTCCAATAGAGGATTCTGTTTCAACTTTTAAACCCCTCTGGGCAGCTTTCAACAGAATGTTAAAAACACGATAAAACATCAAACATTAAAAACTTCCTTAAACAGGGTTGCCTTCAGATGCCTTATAAAAGTCAGATAGTTGTTTATTTCTTTGACATCTGATGGGAGGGCGTTCCACAGGGCAGGTGCCACTACTGAGAAGGCCCTCTGCCTGGTTCCCTGCAGGGTAATTTTTTTCCATTTGTCTCTCCAGCTCTGACCAGCGCACTTCTCGTTTTCTTGCTGTGCATCATTTTTATTTATTTATTTTACTTTCCCCCTGTTTAGTGCTCCTAAAAAAAAAAGGTGATCAAGTGATCTAGGTGCAAAATTTGTGTGTATTCCCGCTCGTTTGTGATGGCTCCAATCGCAACTTTATTTTCTGTCTTTAATAATATGTATTCAATAATACATATTGGAAAGATCCCGTTTCCTTTTACGTATGTCAAATGATTGTCTGATTCATCTGGTTTCCTGGTTTTCTGATTCTCTTCTGATTCCCTGCCATGGGTGGGCGCAGCTGAAGGTGGAGAAAACATGAGAAGCAGGCTATACAGTAATGGAGTCATAGAACTGTAGAGTTGGAAAGGACCCCAGGGTCATCTAGTCCAACCCCCTGCAATGCAGGAATCTTTTGCCCAATGTGGGGTTCAAACCAACGACCCTGAGATTCAGAGTCTTGTGCTCTACTGACCAGGCTATCGCAGTTATATTGATTATAGGAAGAATAAATGGGATAACGTAGGGTTTCTGGGGTCTTTCCCCAAGTAAAATTAGAGGCAAAAATCCCAGGTGGGAACATGCAGTCCCAGACCAAATAGAAAATGTGGCAAAGAGGTATGGACTTAAGAGAAAGTGTGGCTGGGCTCTGAGTTCAAGTGGTGGGAGGCAGAACGGCTGGGACCAGCAAAGTTCTACTCACAGCAAACCCACTGATATTAACAGAGTTAGTTGTGTGCACTAGTCTGTTCAGAGCAGGATTAATAGTGGTTGCAGCCGTATGCCACAAATGTTGAAGTAACGCCATGGATGAGGTCCCTCTGCCAGTTGTGCCTGTGACCCTTTGATTCTCATTTAACCAGGCTTGTTTTCCACTATGATCCCGTTATATGTTGGAGAGCTCGCCCCCGTAAGCATGAGGGGGGCCTTCACGATGATGTCCATACTGTTCTTCACTGTGGGTCTCCTCTTGGCTCAGGCCATCAGCAGTCCCAACATCCTTGGGAACAAGAAACGTAAGTTGGAGAAAAGAGGGCGGGGTCAGGGATGTGGGGGTAGCGCTATGGTCTAAACCACTGAGCCTCTTGGACTTGCCAATCAGAAGGTCGGCCGTTCGAATCCGTGCGACGGGGTGAGCTCCCGTTGCTCTGTCCTAGCTCCTGCCAACCTGGCAGTTTGAAAGTATGCCAGTGCAAGTAGATAAATAGGTACCACTGTGATGGGAAAGTAAACGGCATTTCCGTGCGTTCTGGTTTTCGTCACGGTGTTCCGCTGCGCCAGAAGCAGTTTAGTCATGCTGGCCACATGACCCAGAAAGCTGTGGACAAATGGCGGCTCCCTCGGCCTGAAAGCGAGATGAACGCCGCAACCCCATAGTCGCCTTTGACTGGGCTTAACCCTCCAGGGGTCCTTTGCCTTTTACATCCTATGATATGTAGGCAGACTAGGCATGGCATCCTACTTCATAATTAAGAAGAGCCAATTTTAAACAACTTTTTAATCTCATCGTGTATCATTTCCCCAAATACCCTTGCTTTCTTGCAAGCCCACCACATATATAGTAGATACAGTGGAACCTCAGGTTGCAAACGTGATCCGTGCGGGAGACACGTTTGCAACTCACAGCATTCGCAACCTGCAGCACTGCATCTGCGCACGCGTGGGTCACGATTCAGCACTTCTGTGCATGCGCAAAGCACCGAAACCCGGAAGTAACCCGTTTCAGTACTTCCGGGTTCGGTGCGTGCACAACCCGAAAACGTGTAACCTGAAGCGTCTGTAACCCGAGGTACCACTGTATATACAATCCATCTACCTTCTTTACACTTTCAGCAATTGTTAGGAACCTTCTTATATAGTTTAGATCATTTGTTAAAATGAGTATACCAAAAAAGAAGCCAGAAGCATTTTTCTATGAGGGATTATAGGCATAAATCCCAAAGAAAATGTTAAAGTTGTTTATATATGTAACGACAACAGCTTTATGTGCAGAAATGGAAGGAAGGAAGAAGTTCCCACCAAAGAAGAATGAATAAGTGAGATAATGGACTATACAGAACTGGCAAAATTAAGAGAATCTCACGATGATCGTTTTATGGAAGAATGGATGTCTTTTTTGAACTGCTTAGAGAAATATTATAGTATGATGAACTCACGAGCGAGATGCGAGCAATGAGCAACTGAAGTAATTAGATTATAATATAGAAGATAGGGGGCAGCAGAAGCGGAGAAACCACAAATCCATGGAAAACGGGTTGGGAGGTCAAAAAAATAAGAGAAAAGATGAAAATGTGCTTTGATTGTATATGTTTAAAAAGTTGAAACTTAATAAAACATAATTGAAAAGAAAAACATAACAAGAGCCTTCCAGAGCAGGCCAGTTGCCATCAATCGCCCTTTCCTCCATGAGTTTGTCTTTTAAAACCATCTAATTTGGTGGCCACCCTGGCCTCTTGTGGAAGTGAGTTCCACAGTTCAGCTCTTCCTGTGGTTGGCCCCTTCTTTTCTCTGTCCTGCATTCAGTTTTGCAGGTTGTGTCTTGGTCCTGGCATTAGGAGAGGGGGAGAAAAGTGCTCCCCCCTCCACTGCCTCCACTCCATGCTTCACTTTGTAAACGTACCTTGTCGCGACTTATTCACTTGTCTCGTTTTCTTAGGTCTGCCAGTGATGCTGGGCCTGACTGGGATAGTTGCTTTCTTCAACATCCCGCTCCTGCTCCTGTGCCCTGAAAGTCCTCGCTACCTGTTTATTCAGATGAAGAACGAAGCAAAAGCGAGGAAAGGTAGGCTGGCTTTGTAGCTTTGTGTTATGTACTGAAGTTCTCACCCTGGGCCAGCAGGGGGATACTGTAGATAGTTTTCACTCAGGTCCACATATGCAAATAAGGGATTGAAAGTGACATTCAGTGATTGGATAGTTACAGAAAATGGTTACTGTTGCGTTCTAGTGGAGCTCTATATAAGCAGGCTGGCTGAACCCTTCAGTTCAGTTCTGTTCTGGCCTGTGAATAAACAAGAGCTGTTTGAAACATTGCTGTGTCGTCTGATATGTTCACCCACAACTGAACTCTTTGTATGCAGAAGGCCCCCGGGCCCAATCCCTGGTGTCTCCAGGTAAGGCTGCGAGGAGGTGGGAAGTGATATCGGGATTGACAGTGAAGCGTTTGCTCCTCCTGCCCGTCAAAGTTTGCCTGGGCTGTGACTGATGTCAGACCCTCCAAGTTTCCCTATTTTCCAGGCCTGGGATTACAGAAGCCATCCCAGTTTCTGATTTGATCCTGGAATGTCCCACTTTCCCATAGGACGTCCCTATTTAACATCGGATAAATATTGGAGGGTATGGTAGGGTGGCCCCTATTTTCATCGGCGAAATGTTGGAGGGTTATGGAGTCACGCAACCCTCAAGCGAAGGAGATAAGTAAGTATACAACCTTTAGGAGATAAGTAAGTATACATCTGTAGGCAGTTTTATTATGTTTTTATCCATGTTGGAAGTCTCCCAGAGCAGCTGGGTTCAACCCAGTCAGATGGCTGGGGCATACACAATAAAAGTATGATGGAAAAGGATGTCTCTATTTTCATCGGAGAAATGTTGGAGGGTATGTGATGTTTACGCTCTAGTCTGGACTGTGCATAGTGCATGAATGCTCTTTCTTCCTCAGATTCTCTCTCTCTATCTCTCTCTCTCCCCACCCAGCCTTGAAAATGCTCAGGAACAAGGTTGACATGGAAAATGAGATCGAGGAGCTCCGAAAGGAGGAGATGTATGAGATACAAGAAAAGGACATGACGATACTTTCGCTTCTGAAAAGCCATAGTCTCCGCCGCCAAGTCATCACCGTCGCCATCTTGTTGGGGGGCCAGCAATTTTCTGGCATAATTGGGGTGAGGAAGCCAATGTTCCAAGTGGCTCCGGAGCTGTGGGAGAAGGGATGAGGAACCTTTCTCTGCCGGGAGGGGGCATGTTCCTGTCCCAGAAAGTGCCTGAGGGTCACATGATGTTGGTGAAACTCTTTGGCTCCTGTAATAATGGGGGAGACCCCCTATTTTTTCAACTGGTGAATGAAGGAAAGAAAGGGTTAAGGAAAGGAAGACCTGAAGGAAAGCGGACTGAGGCTTTTACGTCCTTCAGCAGTGAAATGATATAGTAAAGCTGGACCCACAGTTGTGGCCAAAATTGGCAGATTTCAGGGAAGCCAGATAACCTCCAGGGGAGAACTGATATTCTTTAATGGTTCAGGAATATATTTCTTCAAGCTCTTCTCGAACCATTGAAGAATTTCACTTATGTTTGTCAGAAAAACATCCTCTGAGAAGTTTTGCGCTATAATCAGCATTCAGAGGCTGTAACACCAGGTTGCTGATTTGTGTGTGTGCATGCGTGCGTGTGTGCGCACACACACACACCAGACAAGGAATTCCAGAACATTCTCCCAGGTGAAGAAGTGGGGAACTGAATCCAGCTGGAGGAGCAATTTTGACACCCCCAGCTCTCGCAGGCCAAGTTTGACAGGGTGGGGGCAATTGCCTTTGTTATGTACTGAAGTTCTCGCCCTGGGCCAGCAGGGGGATACTGTAGATAGTTATGCAAATGAAAGATTGAAAAGTGACGTTCAGTGATTGGATAGTTTTGAATGCAAATGAAGGATCGAAAAGTGACGTTCAGTGATTGGATAGTTTTAGAAAATGGCAACAGTTACATTGTTCTGGAGCTCTATATAAGCAGGCTGACTGAGCTCCTCAGCTTAGTTCTGTTCCAGCTTACAAAATAAAGAGCTGCTTTGGAGAAATTGCTGTGTCGTCTGCTATGTCAACCCACAACTTAACAGCCTCATGTCACGTGTGGCAACCCTGTGTTGCTGTTTTTTGCCAGGCGTTTTAACTGAATTCCAGTTTTGTCGTTTTAACCGATTTTTATTTTGTTGCCGTGTACACCTCTGAGGGAAGGATGAAATCAAATGTGGGTGTATTGCCTAGAATAGAATGCATAAATAAATATCCTCCTTCATTGGAGGCATTGAAACAGAGCTTGAAGGGCCACTTGCCATGGGTTGGTTAGGCGCGATTCCTTCATTGCAGGAGATGAACCTTGGGCTCCATTCCAATTCTTTGGCTTTATGATTCTAAAATACATTAAAGGCAACTCTCATCAGCGAAGGGTTGTTTGGGGTGGTTTCTATTTTATTTCATTTTGCTTTTTCCTCTTTCCTGAAAATTCCCGGTAGCCGGCATCATCTTCCGCAGCTGATGTCTTTGTTTGCTGTGATCTGCTTGCAGGGCTACTTCTACGCAGAGAAAATCTACAGGTCGCTTCTAAGCAAAGAGAGCCATATCTTTTATATGAATTTGTGTGTGACGTGTTGGCTCTTGTTTGTGGCCTCCATAATGGTGAGCCATCCCCTCTCTCCTTCCCTTTCAAATCTCCAAACTCAATCCCAGAGAGACTTGCATTTGGCCTATAGTTTTCCCACCCTACCAATTAAAGAGAAGAAAGTTACATGATGTTGGCCATTTATCTATTCACTCTGGCTTGTTGGCAAGGAGGGTTTAGATAAGGCCACATCAAAGCAACTTTTCTTTACGTTCCTCCAGAACTTTCCTTATTGCAAAAAGTTTGATCTTTTGAGGGATTTTTTTTTGGGGGGGGAGCAGTTTTGTTGCGCAAGACACCCAATCAATTGTATAGAAAACTTTTAACTCTTTTTATTTATATTTTTATGTTCCTTGTAAGCCGCTTAGCTTTCTTCCAGTCAAGCAGTATGTAAATTTTCTTAAATAAACTATAAACACTTGTAAGAAATCGATCTCTTAGCATGGCAGCACCTATGCTATTGACATCAGGCAGATAGATACCTTTGCTGTCTTCTTTTCAGCAACAAAATTGGTTTAGGCCACAGTTAGTTTCGTTTTATTTCTTTTTCTCCCGTTGGTTTTAATAATATTTGGGATATTTTTAAAAAATACATTTTTATTGATAATTTTTCATATTTCCTGTGAACTAAGAAGCTTCATGACAATCAAGTAGGATATAATTTTTGTTAAATAAATACACGCAGGTATTTGCATGCATTTAGGAAGTTTGTCTTGAGGAAGACAGCCCAGTTCCTTACTTGGTTTGCTGGTTGGCAGCAGCTATTTTCGGGCAGAAACCATGGAGAGAGGGAGAGGGGAGATCTTGGATTTAAAATGTTCCCATAGGAAATAATGGAAATTATCAGCTCATTATGTGAACACTAGCCTAAGGAACGATTTCCTGGGAACGCCTTCTGTCTGGTAAGCGGGACCTGCATGTAAAATCAATAAATCAGCTGTAACTCTGCAACCTGAAGCTGTTGGCTGTGATCAGAGGCTTCCTTTCTCTCTCTCACCCCCCCCCCCGCCTTTATATTCCCTAGATGTCTGTGATTGACTCTGTGGGGCGGAGGTTTCTCCTACTTCTGGGATTTCTGATCTGTAGCGTTGCCTGCGTCTTGCTAACCTTGACCCTCGAACTTCAGGTGAGTAAATCGCGACCGGCAGAATGCAGAGCTGAATGTCGCTCATTAAAATTAGCTATTCTGCTTTGATTAGGCCATTATTATAATTATATAATAATTCTTAATAATAATTCTTAATAATAATTCTTAATAATAATAATAATAATAATAATAATAATAGTTATTCTAACCTGGCCTTCACCATAAACAACTCAGGTCCTCAATACCTGAGGAACCTCCTCCTTCCCAGAATCCTCTTGGATTCTGAGATTTCAGAAGCGGGCGCTTTTGTTAGTTTTGTTAGTTCCTCCACCCGCAGAGCCGCAGGGTGGTGGCAGTGGCGGCCAAGGAGAGAGATTCCTCTACGGTGGCCCCTAAGTTATGGAACTCCCCACAGAAGTGTGTTTGATACCTTCCTTACGAAGCTTCTGGCAACTGCTGAAGACATACCTCTTTGCCTTGGCTTTTGACCCTTGTGGTGTGTATTTTTAGGACGCAGCTAATTTTTTGAGATTGCAAGCTGTTTTAAACTGTTTTTAATATTGTGTTTTAACCTGCCCTGGGACCTTAGGGTAATAAATCAATCAATGACAACAACCCCACGATTCTTGAAAGAGATGTTTCTAACCGAAACTGTTTTTAGATTTTTATTTTTATTTTTAAAAATCTCTTAACAACTTTTATGACTGTTTCAGCTGTTTTTGTGAGAATCAGTCCTACTAGAAAAACCAGCACAGACTGAGGTCAAAAAAGTAAGGGCAGATTTCATTCCATTTGGCATGATTTTATTTTCCATGTCAAAAACATAGAACATATCCACTCTCCCAGCTATAAATGCTGTGGATAATACAATAAAATGGGAATACATGCTTCTTCTTCTTTGGTGATCACTCACAGCCGAATAAGATTGTCCTCCATGAACATGGTTTTAACAGAGCATCTGTAAGTGACTGTAGAGGCCAGTTCTGGGTCCGCACATCCTTCCACAAGTGGGGACATAGGTTTCCAGGGGGGCAGTAAGGTTTGCTGGAAGTACACCCCCTAGAAAATAAGAGATATCGATGTTGATCACATTTTTACCTTTATAAACTTGTTATATAATTCCTTTTATACCGTAAGTGTGAACTGTGTTACTGATGTCTCTGGCCCCTCTCTTTATCTCTCCTTTGAGATTTCATGCCTGTTTTCCATGATGATTTTGTACTAAGCTTGATATTATTTTCATTATTGCATTTATATGCCACTTTTTAATCCAGGTGGTGTACCTGCTTCTCTTCCCCCCCCCATAGACTAGGTTTGAGAGGCAGTGACTTCGTCCAAGTTCACCCAGTAAGCTTCATGGTCGATTGGGGGATTTGAACCCTGGTCTCCCAGGTCCCCAGGATGACACTCTAACTGGCGCTCTGATTTGGCATTTTAATAAAATTGTGGCTGTGTTGGCTGCCCTGGGATCCTCTGAGAGGAAGGGCAGGGTATAAATTCAATAAATAATAAGGTCCCAGGGCAGGCTCCAGCTATGGATGGGGGAAAAGACTCCATTCAGTTTGCTTTCAAGGGGAAATCTATCTAACCTGTGCTTTCCATAGCAATTCGCAAATGGAGGCAAAATTCACCCTGCTCTGGATGCAAAGGAGTTCAAGGAATGTACTCAAAGACATGTATATGGGGGAGTTATGTGTGCGCACAAAGATGCCTATATCGTCCAAATCAAAGGGTGTGGTGATTCCCCACCCCTGCCTCAAAATGAGAGGCAGCCTCGCTCATGCACAACTCTTTTTCTCCAACAGGCCATGCACCCATGGATGATTTACTTGAGCTCCGTTTTAGTCATTGCCATGCTCACTGGATACATGTTTGGGCCAGGTAAGGGCTCAGGCGACACACAAAACTTATTTGAGGCGGGTGAAGAACACAGGCCTTTTTTGTGGCGGCTCCCCATTTGTGGAATGCTCTCCCTGGGGAGACTCGCCTGGTGCCTTCGTTACATACCGTATCTTTAGGTGCCAAGCAAAAACGTCTCTCTTCGACCAGGCCTTTGGCTCATTAAACAACCTATGGCCTTTTAAATGTGTTTTGGGGGGGGGAGGGGAGTTATCGGTTTGTTTTTGTTTTATTATGTGTTTTGAGTTCTCATGTTGTATTTTTGTGTTGTGACCTCTGGGTGAAGGGCGATATGCAAATTCAATTAATTAAGATGGAAAAGACATAGATCCAGCACTGGAAGGGAGTTATAGCTCCAAATATCTGCAGGGCCCTATCTGTACTGTATGTTGAAAGAAGTTTCGTATCACTTTAAACGGTCATGGCCTTCCCCCCCAAAGAATTCTGGGAACTGTGGAGTGGTTAGGAGACCCCCCTGTTCCCTTCGCAGAGCCACAATTCCCAGAGTTCCCTGGGAAGAGGGTGTGACTGTTAAATCACTCTGGGAGGAGGGAGCCAAATTCAACACCCAGCTTTGTTCTGTCCTCCCAGCTATAATCACCTACGTGGTCACTCTCGAGATCTTCCTTCAGTCATCGCGGGCTACAGCCTTCACGTTGGGCGGCATAGTGAACTGGGTCACCCGCTGTTTTGCTGTGGGGATCTTCCTTAAGCTAGAGGTGAGTGGTTCTGCCAGGTCCCTTTTATCGGGAAATAAATAAAACGGCAATAAAAATCACATTTCGTCGAGCCACAAACGGTATCTAGCAAACACAACAGCTCCGCCCCAATGGTAGGAAATGACGTGGGAATGCTGGGAGAATGCAGGGAATCAGTTTGCATCTGTTGCTGTTTAAAAGAGCTCAGCTCCAGCTTGCTCCTTGCTCGAGCAGCTTCTGAGCTCAGTTGCTCCCCAGAGCACAGCCTTCATGTTTGCAGACGGCTGGTCCCACCTTGCCTTCTGCTTGGCTTGAACCTCATCTCACCCTATACCCCGCAGGGCAAGACAACAAGCCCCTGAAATTGGTAGGCCAGGTGAAGTTCCTAAACTGAGGACTGTGGCCGTTCCACTTTTGCATGCTCGACAAAACGACCTTTCCTGGAGGTCCTGGATCGGCATCTGGACACCGTGCATTAAATGGAAACCGAACCCTGGAAAGACAGGATCCCTATGGGTGGGCTCTTCCACGGTCCGGGTGTCAGGTCCACGTGTCTGTTCTGGGTGGGGTGGCACCCCCGTGAAAGCGGAGGTCAGCAGCCTTTCCCATCCCGAGGGCCACATTTCCTTCTGGGGGCCACATGAGATGAGCAGGGCCAGCGGCACAAGGAGGGTGTGTTGAGCAACTGTGCTGGTCCCAAGGGCTAACTGTGCAGCGAGGTCCGAGTCCAGTCCGAGGTCGAGGGTGCAGAATGGAGGCTGTCCGTCGAAGCTGAAGTGGGGTCCAAGGCAGGGAGTCGGGTGAGGTCAGGAACTCTGGCAGAAGAGCAGGACAGGGTTCAGGCAGGAACAGGCTACCAACAATGTTGCTCCCGCAATCTGGGACTGAGCTGGCTGGCTTTTATCTGCCCCAAGGCATAGGTCGGCCCCAGTCCACAGGTGACTCGCCTCTCCTGGCCTGGAGGCGAGCACTCCTCCTGCGAGAACTCCTCCTGCGAGAACTTAATTCCCTCCACCTCTCTGCCCTGAGCCTCTGCAGCTCAGGAGAGGCTGGAGGATTACCGGACCCAGAGGCAACCTCAGCTTCTCCTGACGGGGCTGAGAGTGGAGCACCTGCAGGCAATGGGTCCTCCATCACCTCCAGAGCAGACTCAGCTGGTGCCTGCATCTGAGGATCCAGCACAGGTGAGGACCCTTCAGGCTCAAGCCCCAGCCCCGGCTCAGCTGGTTCTGGAGGTGGGGACTCCTGTGCAGGCTGGGATTCCTCAGGTTCAGCCTCCGAGTCCGAATCCCAGGCCATCACAGCAACACATGCAGATTTCCTCTTTGCATGCTCGGTTACAACTCACAAACTGTGGCGGAAATGCCCAGAGCTGAAATGGAGACTGGGAAAACAAGGAGCCCGCTGGGACACATTGGTCAAGCCCTGCTTACCTCCCCCTGTTCCCTCCCCCTTTTGTCTTTCCAACTCCAGCCGCTCACTGGGCCTTACAGCCTCCTGATCCTTTGGCCTCTCTGCATGGTGACCTTTATTTATATTTCCGCGATGGTTCCGGAAACCAGAGGCATGACCTTTCTTGAAATCCGCAAGTCCATGGATCTCCAAGCCAAGGAGGATAAGGAACAGATAGATAGAAACCCAGATAGTTAGAAACTCAGAAGGCGTCGATGCTGTGCTTAATTGTTATTTTTTAAGATACAACGGTCCAAAGAGATCCCCTTCATGCTGTCCTGCAGTCGCCTCAGCTCTGTTAACACGTACGGCCATTTTCCTTTCAGTCCAGAAGAGCAACCCAAGCTGTTTCCCCCTTCCCTGTGTGCACTTTTCTATTGTTCTACCACAAATGTTGTTTCTTTATTAAATTACGAAGGGTGAGCACAATCAATCCAGAGCCAAATGTGTGAAATGACTCTCGAGCCCACAAAATCATGACCGCCGGCAATGGGCCTTCATTCACCACAGCTTTCCTTGGTCAGAACAGCCACGGCCTCTGGGGAACCCACAAAAGTGGAGTCCCCAGGCCTATAAATCACACAGAGGCATTTGCACACACAGAGAGAAATCAAGTCACGTTCACAAGCAGAGATTGCAGTTAGAATAATAATAATAATAATAATAATAATAATAATAATAATAATAATATATTTATTATTTATTATTTATTATTTATACCCCGCCTACCTGGCTGAGTTTCCCCAGCCACTCTGGGCGGCTCCCAGTCAAGTGTTAAAAACAGTACAGCGTTACATATTAAAAACTTCCCTGAACAGGGCTGCCTTAAGATGTCTTCTGAATGTCAGGTAGTTGTTTATCTCTTTGACATCTGATGGGAGGGCGTTCCACAGGGCGGGCGCCACTACCGAGAAGGCCCTCTGCCTGGTTCCCTGAAGCCTCACTTCTCGCAATGAGGGGACCGCCAGAAGGCCCTCGGCGCTGGATCTCAGTGTCCAGGCTGAATGATGGGGGTGGAGACGCTCCTTCAGGTATACAGGACCGAGGCCATTTAGGGCTTTAAAGGTCAGCATCAACACTTTGAATCGTGCTCGGAAACGTACTGGGAGCCAGTGCAGATTTCTCAGAACCAGTGTTATGTGGTCCCGGCGGCCACTCCCAGACACCAGTCTAGCTGCCGCATTCTGGATTAATTGCAGTTTCCGGGTCACCTTCAAAGGTAGCCCCACATAGAGCGCGTTGCAGTAGTCCAAGCGGGAGATAACTAGAGCATGCACCACTCTGGGTCTTAGGGTCTTAGCCTGCATACCAGGTGGAGCTGGTAGACAGCTGCCCTGGACACAGAATTGACCTGCGCCTCCATGGACAGCTGTGAGTCCAAAATGACTCCCAGGCTGTGTACCTGGTCCTTCAGGGGCACAGTTACCCCATTCAGGACCAGGGAATCCCCCACATAACCAGGCAGGGGCCTTATCAGGAGAGCAAGGGTAACATCCCAGGCAGGTGCTTGAGGAAGAAGAAGGCTGCAGATTCATCTATTGTAAGGTTACCAGATTTTTTTCAAAGAATCCAGGGACACTTTAAAAAAAGAGAAAAAAGGTTATTTAAAAAAAAGTTATTATTTTTTAAAAAGAAGTACCGTATTTTTCGCTCTATAACACGCACCCGACCATAACACGCACGTAGTTTTTAGAGGAGGAAAATCCATAGGCATGCCGCTCATAGGCATTCCCTCCATAACACGCACAGACATTTCCCCTTACTTTTTAGGAGGAAAAAAGTGAGTGTTATGGTGCAAAAAATACGGTAATATCTTCTCTTCTGTGGTCTCCTCTGTCACACGGCCTTCCTCTGGGCCCTGACCTGCTCTCTTGGAGCACTAGCCACCGTGGAGTAGGCTTGGGCCGGGCCTGCACTTGGCCACGTGTCCTTGCCCTCCCAATGCTCTCCTACCTTTCTTCCTCAGTAGCGGTAGAGGTGTGGCAAGGTTGGGGCTCCCCTCTTTTTTGTCCTTCCTCTTTCTCTCTCTTCCTTCTTCTTCTCCTCTCCTCCTTCTCCCTGCATTGGTTCCGGGGTTTACTTGGCCCCAGAGCACTGCTGGGCAGGTGGCCGGGCTCTCTCGCTCCTGGCTCGATTTGGGTCATGGGCGGGGGGGGGCGTCAGTGGTTCCCCCAGTTGATGCGCTGGGCATCCCCCGGTTCCCCCTTGGCAGTGGCGGTGGCAGCAGCAGTCTCAGCAGCCTGGAGCCAGCCTGGTAGCACAGTTGGCTCTGGCTGGCTTCAGGAGCTGCTCGCTGCCGTGGCGCCCGCCATTTTGCCTCGCCAGAAGTCCCCATATGATGTGTCTTGTGCCGTTGAACCAATCACACAACATTCATTCCCTACTAATAAATCTATAACACTTAAAATATAAATCCGGGGACATTAAATGAAATCCGGGGACATTCCAGGGATGGATTTTGTCCGGGGACAGATTTGTAAATTGGGGGGGCTGTCCCCGGGAAACGGGGACGTCTGGTAACCATAATCTATCGGTGTCTGCAAATTCCTTTGCACTTCTCCATGGACATCAGCCTGGATAGCTCAGTTGGTTAGAGCATAGTGCTGTTGGTTAGAGCATAGTGCTGTTAATGCCAAGGTTGCAGGATCGATCCCCATATGGGACAGCTGCGTATTGGTTGGACTAGATCAGGGCTTCCCAAACTTGGGTCTCTAGCTGTTTTGGGACTACAACTCCCATCATCCTTAGCTAGCAGGACCAGTGGTCAGGGATGATGGGAAGTGTAGTCCCAAAACAGTTGGAGACCCAAGTTTGGGAAACACTGAACTAGATGAGCCTTGTGGTCCTGCCCAACTCTACAGTTTTATGATCTCAGGTCTTTTACAACATCCTGCACCCTCCTCCTTTTACTGTCTATGTATCTTCAGTGTGTTATGTCACTATGTTTTCCAACACAGCATGGTGGGTCGGAGCTGCCTGCCTGTCCCTGGCATTGTTGTGGGTTGCCTGGACAGATGTGGGCATGGGGCTGTGGCAACGCAATGGGTGGGAGTAATAATAATAATAATAATAATAATAATAATAATATATATTTTTATTTATACTCCGCCCTCCCCATCCAAGACCGGGCTCAGGGCGGCTAATAACCAATAATAAAAACAAGTTGATTAAAATACAATTAAAAAGATTAAGATACAACATTAAAACTACATTAGGCTGCAGTCTCTTCATAGGAGGAGAAAGGAAAAAGAAAGAAGGGGAGGGAATCAAACTGATTCTAAGCCAAAGGCCAGGTGGAACAACTCTGTCTTACAGGCCCTGCGGAAAGAAATCAGATCCCGCAGGGCCCTGGTCTCATGAGTACCGGATTGGTTCCACCAGTGCTCCCAGCATCTCCAGCACCCCACTGATTCATCATATTGCCAGGACGGATGGAACTCAATATGTACATACCCACTCGTCTCTGGTAACAAAGGTTCGACTCCAGGTGACCAGACCTGATCCAATATAAATGGGATTCCTTCTCTATTTTTTTCTCCCACGCTTCGGGTGAACCAGATACCTTAAAATGATTAGCATTTATGGGCAGGCTTGCTAGCTAAAAGGTTTGTGTGGTCACCTTCACCTTTTAGTAAGCTGATTTGCAAGGCTGGAGTTGCACCATGGGAACAAGCGTCATTGAAATTTGGTCTGTAGGAGATCTGGGTTTGAACTTAGGGCATCAAAAGCCTGGGTAGCAGAGAAGAACAAAAGGTGGTCCCGGGTTCAAATCCCCAACTGAAATCTAGATTTGCCAAGTGTGGCCACACACCCCTCACCTATGTTCCTGATTGCTGAGGTGGACATTGACCACAGTGGTGGCAGCCCAGTTACAGTGAGGGTGGGGCACTGTCCCAACAATTTCAGTCTGCGCTCAGCCAGCCCCCACCTGCCTGATTTCTTTCTTGCTACTTGAGGGGTATTGGCACCAGTAGCGTAGTGGCAAACTGAGAAGTGCAGGGCCCTTTCTTGATCGTCACAGCCTCGCCCCTTCTAAGATTATACAGCTTCCTAATATTATACTGTACAGTAATTTTATAGTTGCACAATAATAATAATAATGGATGCATTGCAGCAATCAATGCAGATCTTTGTGTCTTGCCGTTCAGCTACATACACTATTTTCTGTGCACAGAAATTTGGAGCGCTCCGATGCCTTCTTTCCAAAGTGACTTCAGTTTTGTTTTCCTTGAGGTTCCGTTGTGCATAACGGCACTTGCAATGCATTGTTCTCTCGGAACCAAAGCGCCTTGTGTTCAGAGTGCTCCTAAATGCTCAGCTTTGGCGCAGAACTAACTGCAGAGTGACCCTAGGAGCCAATCCTCAGTGGCCAACTCGACTTCACTCAGATTGTCTCCAAAGATCACAAAGGGAGAGAAGACTTCTTTTCAATGGCTAGCAGGGTTCTGCGTCATGCTGATTGGGCAGCTGTAGGACTCTGGAGGGAAGGCCCCTGTTGTAAAGGGTCTTTGACCTCTACAGTCCCAGATCACTACATCTGTGGGGGGCCCCTGCCTGTCAGCTCCTTGTAGAATTCAGCAGGGAGGAGGAGGAGGAAAGTGGCGACAACTCTAGAATTGGTTGGCTCTAACTTTCTTTGGGATGCGTTTGGGGCTGTGGGTTAAACCACAGAGCCTAGGACTTGCTAATCAGAAGGTCGGCGGTTCAAATCCCGTGATGGGGTGAGCTCCCGTTGCTCGGTCCCTGCTCCTGCCAACCTAGCAGTTCGAAAGCACGTCAAAGTGCAAGTAGATTAATAGGTACCACTCCGGCAGGAAGGTAAACGGTGTTTCCGTGCGCTGCTCTGGTTCGCCAGAAGCGGCTTAGTCATGCTGGCCACATGACCCGGAAGCTGTACGCCGGCTCCCTCAGCCAATAAAGCGAGATGAGCACCACAACCCAGAGTCGGTCACGACTGGACCTAATGGTCAGGGGTCCCTTTACCTTTACCTTACCTTTCATTGGCTCTGACTCCAGTTACCATTTGGGCTCCCTGCCTTCCACTCAGGGGCGTAACGTGGGTTGTCAGGACCCGGGGCAAGGCAAGTAATTTGCACCCCCTAACCCGTGGATTTGCGCCCCCTAACCCTAACCCCCAGATGTTGCGCCCGGTGCGGCCGGGCCCCCCTGCACCCCCCACGCTACGCCACTGCTTCCACTCCACCTTCCAACACTGTCTGACCACGTGGTAAGGCTGTCAGATGTGGTTGGAATCTGTTGTGCACAGAGCTCTCTGTCCAGGGTGCCACTGAAGCCTTCAACATTCCTTTTGTACCACTGGGGGCCATTACTCGGAACAGCACTGTTCTATCCCCACCTCCTTCCTGCCATGATTGGTTCTCACCTCCACTGCCAACTGCCAACAGCTTCCCATGGAACTTCCTGGCGCCGTTCTCCCGATTGGATCTCGCAATGGTGTTTGGTTTCCTGGTGCCGGTTTTCAAGGGAAAATAGGGACTGGCTGACATCATTCTCTACTCACCTGTACAGAAAAGCTGTGGTCAGTCTGCATCCTCTCTGCCTATTTATCCCCGAATGTCCCTGTGGGAATTACAGTGGTACCTCGGGTTACATACGCTTCAGGTTACATACGCTTCAGGTTACAGACTCCGCTAACCCAGAAATAGTACCTCGGGTTAAGGACTTTGCTTCAGGATGAGAACAGAAATCGTGCTCTGACGGCGCGGTGGCAGCAGGAGGCCCCATTAGCTAAAGTGGTGCTTCAGGTTAAGAACAGTTTCAGGTTAAGAACGGACCTCCGGAACGAATTAAGTACTTAACCTGAGGTACCACTTTACTCTCCATCGGTTTCATAGGAACATAAGAAGATGCCTTACAGAGAATCAGACCAATGGTCCATTTAGCTCCAGGTTTCAGGCAGGTGACATTCCCAGCCCTACAAGGATATGCCCTGGGATTCAACCTGGGACCATATGTAAGCAAATCCCTTAAGACAGGGATGGAACAGCTCAGCCCCCTGGGCCAAATCTGGCCTCCAAGCCTCTGTATTTGGCCCTCAGAATTCTCCTCAAGTCACCAACCACCTCGGCCTTCCTTTACACCCTTAGTACTTTTGCTGCTTGGAATGTATCCTTGAACTCTTGCTCACCTGGATAGAGGAGAGAGAGGGGGGTAGAAACTAGCCTACTTGGCAAAGGTCAAGTTCACATTAATTGCTCCACCCACTTTTGCCTCTGGCCCCGCCCACCACCACTGGGCAGCCCAGGCAGTTACCCAGAAGGGAAGGTGACCATTGTGTTGAATTTTTTTTTCCAAATATAGGAAATGGCAGGGACTAGCAGGATGCTGACAAGGGTGCACTGGGGGAAGAGGGGCTGGAATCTGGCTCGGGAGAGCGGGGCAGTAATTCATGGGGACATGTACTAGCCAGGAAGCAAGAATCAAAGGCTGGGGAAGCTTCGGAGTGGGAAGAAGAGGTAAGCGAAGGGCTGGGTGCTTCCCCACCTTCCTCTGCATCACTGTCTCCCAGAACCAGGAGCGGACTGAAGTGAGAAGAGCAGAGGCAGCTTCCACACAGGCGTAGTCTCTGGCTACGTGCACGCAGCTCGGTGGGGGAAGGAGAGTGGTCCCCAGTTGCTGCAACTGCTCCATAGATCATAGACCTGGGAATGGCTGCCTAGACTAGTGTACATAGTTCTGCAGAGCTGACTGACAATAAAGAGTTAACTCTCGGCTGTGTGCATTCCTTAGCTGGGAAGCGCTCTGGACACAGGAAGCTGCTTTCTACTGAATCACACCACTGAGCCATCAGATCTGTGTTGTCTACACCGTCTGGCAGCACCTCTCCAGAGCTTCAGGCAGGGGTCCCTCCCAGCCAGGTCTGCAGATGCTGGGAATTAAACCTGGGACCTTCTGGGTGGGAGTCAGATGCTATACTACGGAGCTACAGCCCTGTAGGCAGGTTTTGCAACTATCCATGCAATCCGTTAATTCATGTATTGGGCTCCCTGCCTTCACCCCTACCAGTCCAAATGGACTCCTGCCACCCCTCTTTGACTACTTGGCAAAACCTCTGGCTTTGCTTAAATCTTCCAAGTGTGAATTTGAGATTTGTTGCCACATATGTGTGATGGCCACTGGACTAAGATGCTGGTGGTCAAAGAGGAGGTCCAAGTTAATATCCATGCCCTCCTTATGAGCTTCCTGGAGGTGGCTTGCTAGTGGATGCTGGACCAGATGGGCCTTTGTTTTCACACTTTTATTCTTTTACTCAACAGCCTCCTAATAATATCCCCCTGCCTCTCCATCCTATAAACCAGGGGTCAGCAACCTTTTTCAACCATGGGCCGGTCCACTGTCCCTCAGACCTTGTGGTGGGCCAGACTATATTTTGAAAAAAATATATCAACAAATTCCTATGCCTCACAAATAACCCAGAGATGCATTTTAAATAAAAGCACACATTCTACTCATGGAAAAACACGCTCATTCCTGGACCATCCGTGGGCCGGATTGAGAAGGCGATTGGGCTGCATCCGGCCCCCGGGCCTTAGGTTGCCTTCCCCTGCTATAAACCATGCTCTGTTCAAAAGCATTGCAGAGCCCTCAGTCTGGAGCACTGAAGGGGAGGTTAAACAAGCAAACCTTATTGTCAACACAAATTGAAGGGCCTCAGAAATAGAAATTCCAGCATGCTGTTATCAAAGCCACTGTTACAAGACGGGCAAGGCCATAACCAGGCAGACAAACAAAGCAACTGTTATAAGACAGGGAAGGCCATAGCAGGCAGACAAACGAAAAATGAGTAAATTAAGAAGTGTTAACCTTCAAAAGGAGAAACATGGAATGTTAGAGCCTGATTGGATAAGAATGTAAAGTCTCACTCTCTGTTTTTTTGTATAGTCTATAAAAAGTGGGCGCACCCTGACTGGGGTGTGCAGATTGCGAGCTTATTGCTCTGTACCTTTGTCCTGCATATGCATTTCAAATAATTCCTTTTGAATCCTGCAAGGTTGATTGCCACTTTGTGTGAATCTGTGCTCCGGGGGCCCAATAGCAGATATGGAACAGGTCCAACAAAATGACCCTGTGAATCTGGAGAGTATCAATAACACATAGAGCAATTCTATAGACTAGGAAGGGATCCCCAATGATCATCTAGCCCAGTCCCCTGCATGGCATGCTCTTGTGCATGGGTCGGCAAGGTTTACCTCGACTGGGTTCGCTCCAGTGGAGATCCCTCCGTGGGCCGGATCAAACACGTGCAGCCACGATTTTCAGCGTCTGCGTCTGAACAGCTGTGATTTTCGGCAACGCAGAAACGAGTCCCCGCACCACGCTGCACCAGTTTAGTGCAGCACGTGGGGACTCGCCAAGCGGGCGGCTCAGTTCAGGGGTGGCTCGCAGGCCGGTTAAACGGCCCCCGTGGGCCACTTTTGGCCCATGGGCCTTAGGTTGCCTACCCCTGCTCTTGTGTATTACACTTTTTATTGTGATGTATTCAATTTTTTTAAAAAAAACAAACTCTTGTTATGGAAATTGCCAGGGTGGATGTGTTTTATGCTTCTTCACTCTTCCAGAGTGGCTAAATATTGTATTTACTGCAACATGTAAAACTTACCAGGGACTGTTTTATTTTTTTAAAAAAAATTAAGCAAACTTAAAACTATAAGTTTTAGTTTTCTATTAAAACTATAAGTTTTCTATGCCTGGCATTCTAAATCATGGAACAGTTATTAGTAATTTTATTGCTGTGCCCTTCTGTTTGGTTTGGCATTGTTTTATACATTTGCACAGTTTCTTTTCTGAATATTGCTCATCGACTGTTAATTCCTCTTCCACAGCTGAGCCCTGGTTTCTGAGCCCTGCTTCAGAGAGAATGAAAAGCGAAGAGGAAGACAAACCCACTGAAAGGGTGAGTTGGGAGAGTGCTCTATCCAGTTGCATTTATAAATCATTGGCCATGTAAAGTAGGGTTGCTGTACATCTGCGATTCCAATGACGGAATCAGCGTCCGGGGGGTGGGTAATCAGCAAAATGTCTGGGTTTTTGAAACTTTCCCAAAGCTCAAAAACTTTTTGTGTCCGGATTTGTATTTCTTGAAATATGGCAACCCTACCTAAAGTAGAGAAGGGGAACATCTGCCAGACTCTAGATTATTATTATTTTATTTATACCCTGCCGATATGATTCAGTTGCCCCAGCCACTCTGGGCGGCTTCCAACACATATAAAAAACCGTAACAAAACATCGACCGTTAAAAATCTCCAGTTACAAGGCTGCCTTTAGATGTTGTTGGACTCCATCTTTTTTTTTAATATAATTTTTATTAACAAACCAATCAAATCACATCAATTACAAATTACAAAGCCAAATTTTTAAATTTTTGTTGGGGGTACCCATGCTTTGAGCTCAGAAAGGGATCCAAACATCTCTCTTGCTGCTTCTTTAATGTTCACAGTTCTGTCCAAATAATATTCACAGTTCTGTTCAATCTTCTCTTTATTATTTCCCTCATCTTCTTGTTATCATATATTCCTTTCTTTGTGACCTCTGATAGTCTCCACGAGCGGGTTGAAAACAAACGTTGTTATATCCTGTGTGGATTTTCCATTCCTCCAAGAGCCATATTCAAACAGACAGATGCCATTTCCACACTTCCGTACAAAACATTCTTAAAGTCTGCCCATTAATCCTCGCAGGCCTGTCAGTCTCTCCTCAATCTTCTTAGGGGGTTCTGCCAGGTCAAACTCACAGTCCGATATAATAACAAAGCCATGGTCTCCTCCCCCTCGATCATAAATCCTGTAGCCTGACCTGCTTCCTAATGAGTCTCTTTTTATAACTGCGTCATTCCTTTCCAGATATTCCACAAGCCATGTCTTTGATTAGTAATTCATTTCCACACAGTTCTTAATCATCTTCCCGCTTATAATCAGTAGTTGCAATGATTCTTCTTGGGGGAGGATTGTTAGGTACTCACATATGATAAAAAAAAGAAAAGTTTCCCCCCTCCATTCCGTCCCGTTCCGACATACTGACCCTTTGATGTGTCTTCTTCGTAATATATTTTCCTGTTAAATCCAGCCCATCGCTCGACTTCACAGAGGTCACTTCAATTAGCAGTCTTGACTCCCGTTCTTCACTCGAAATATGTGCATTTGCTTCTCTCTAATTGTTTATTTTGAGCTCCTGCAACCAGGCCGCGCAATCAGAGACAGCATCCGGGAGAGCCGTCCCACACGGGTGCAGTGCGCCTAGTGCCCTCACCCCCTTCTTTCGAACTCGGGGGTGATTTATGGCAACCGCAGGCGAGGCAGTGTTCCCCATTCCCTTGGGGTAACAAGGGAGGCTGCATACTCCCATATCAGCCTCTTAATTATCTCGTGTGAGCCGGAGAGATGGTATTGTCAGCCATCTTCCAATGCGCCCCTAGCGGCCCCCGTTGTTGGACTCCATCAGCCTCAATTGCTGTGGCAAGAGATTATGGGAGCTGGAGTTCAGCAATATCTAAAAGGCCACACAGTACCCAGCCCTGATCAATCTGATGTACAACAGCCTCCAGATGTCTATTAGGTCAAAATTATCAACTAAGTAAAAAAAAGTCCTTGGGAGTGTTCCCTGTTTGGACTTTTTCTTTTTTACTGATCTATCCATTTCCGGCATCACCACTCCATTACAGTCCCCCATTAATATTCTTTTCTGGTCTACAGTTTCTATCAATCTTTCTTCCAACCTTTTGTAAAATTCCGCCTTATTTACGTTAGGTGCATAAATTCCCACCATGATCAGTTTCTCCCCCGGAATGTAATTTGCACCACAATTATTCACCCCTCCTCATCTTTCGAGATTAACTTAGGTTCCAGTTTCTCTTTAATATACATTACCACACCTCTTTTCTTATTAACTTCCGAGGATATAAACTCAGTACCCAACCTCTTATTTTTCAAAATATGTCTGTGTTTCTTTGCAACGTGGGTTTCTTGCAAACAAATCACGTCTAAATTTCTTTTTTTCAAAACATTTCCCACTTTATTTCTCTTAGATTTCTCATTTAGCCGGTTTACATTCCAAGTTAACAGTTTCAAATTCATAATAAAAAAACACTCAAACTTAAACTTTAATTTAGATTCGGGTGGTTTTTGACCTCTAAGATCTCCTCCTCATCTGCTTCTGCTTCTTCCTCGTCTTCTATTTCTTCCTCTTCCCCTTCATGCTTTTCTTCCTCTTCTTTATTTCTTTCCTTTCTTCTTCTTTTTTCTCTCTACTGGTAAGAATATTCATTTCCTTCGTTCTACACTTATCTACTGCCAAGGGGGGGGGGGAGGAAACCGATTCTCTGAAGCCTGACCATATTTCAAAAAGCGAAAATCCAGACATAAAAGTTGTAGAGCTTTTTTATGTTTTTGAGCTATTTTTAAGGAAATTCACCAAAAACGACACTTCTGACATGGGTTGCCATATGTCCGGATGTTACAGATGTCCGGCCGCTGTTACAGATGGCCGAATCCCATGCATCAGGAGCTAACAAATGTTTATGGAGGATGGACCCCGTACTCTAAAATTCATGGTTTCTGCTGCTCTGTTCCAATAGAAACTGACAAGCATCCTGGTGCTAGCTGCAATGACTGCTGGTTTTGGATCATCTTTCCAATATGGCTACAACGTCTTTGTGATCAACTACGCAGCAGAGGTATGGTCTGTTATTATTTGTTCAGAGCATTTGCACACTATTCTTAATATATGTAGGGTTTGGTGTCAGCGTTGCTTGTGCAGGTTCTTTGCTGTTCGCTTGTGTTCCTTTGGTGGTGAGAGAGGTTAGCGTTGGCCTAGGGTGTGGTTGTTTATTTGTGGTTGGCTGTGGTGGTCTTTGTTTTTTCATGTGTGAGTGGGGGGTGTGTGTGTTTTGGATCAGGTTAGCCATATTGATTTGTATGGATTGGTTGGTGGATTTTTGTCATTGTCTTGTTGGGCTGTGTGTGTGATAAAGGGGAGCCATACCGGGGTGAAGGCGTCTTCTTCTATTTGTCTCCATGTCAGTTTCAGTTTATTGGTTAGTTTTTCTAGTAAGGCTGTTTCCCGTACTATTTGGTACCATTGGTCCATGCTTACTCCTGACAGGTCTCTCCAGTGTCTGGTTATGATGTTTCTATTCTTTAGCCAACAGGACTCCCAGAGTGGCTTAGGTGCAGTTGATTATAACAAAACAATCCCTGCCTGCAGGCTTACAATATAAATTCACAACATGCAAGGAAAAAGGACAGGGAGGGAAGGGCATGGGGAAATAAAATTCAAGCACCAATTCTTCAATGGGAGTTCATCTAATGATCAGCAGGCACAGCAGTGGTGTAGCATGGGCTTCCAGTGTCCGGAGCCATGTGGGAAAGGAAGGGAGGGAACTGGCATGCACATTCAACTCCCTAACGGCATAGCTGTCAACCGTCCCTTATTTAGCAGGAAAGTCCCTTATCCTAGTGCTGTGTCCCACTGCTGTCCCTTATTGATGATGTCCCTTAAATTTCCCAGGTTTCAAAGGAAGCAGCTCCTCTCCCTCCCTCCCTGCTGGCCAGGGAGGAGGGAGGCTCCAGCTGTGTTGCTGGCTGCGTTGCTCACCCAATAAGGAGTCTAAGAACGACTGGGGGGTGGAGCTTGCATGCCTCGTGCTGATCAAATCGGCCGCGTTGCCTGGGGACTCGCCTTTGCTCAGCGCTTCCCAGCAGAGAGGTGACGGTGGTTTTCCTTGCTGCATCCCCTTTGCCGGGTTGCTGCGCTGTGGGAACCACCGCCTGAGGCTTCGTTTGGCTGCTGGCTGGGCTTTCTGCCTTTGGCTCAGAGGGGCTCAGAAGTTGAACATACCTGTGCTTGGAAAATCCCTTATTTTGGCTGCTGATCCCTTATTTTCAAATCTGTAAGTTGACAGCTATGCCTAACGGTGTCTGCATCAACCAGGAGATTGCAGTCACTGAGATAAGAAAAGAAGAATCGTTTCTCTGGGGAGGTCACTTCCTGGTTCGCATGGAGAAGCGACAGAAGCACACAGCTGTATTGCGGCAGCACTAGGTGTCAAAATTTTGCGACCCTAACAATTTTGCGCCCGGGGCAACCACCCACTACGCTGTGGCACAGTTCAGGGGCAGGAGGATGAAGCTGAGCTTTGGGGGCAAAGCTGATGGAGCGAGCTCAGCTTCCCATCTCTCCCACTGGTGGAATGCCTGAGGGAGAGGAGGCACAACAGCCTTGCAGTGTGGGCAACTCCTTGCAGGGGGTCAGTGCAAATGTTCTACCTTTTTCAATTTAGCACAGACATTTCTGGTATTTGTTCTGTCATTTGCAGAAGATGGGGGAGGGGGGAATGGGACCTTGGACCACTTGCACACAATAAGTTTAATAAGAAACAGAGAGACAGAAGGTTCAGGTGAGTAACACGGTCCATCGATACGCTAATCCACACCTAGGCATGTTTTCTCCCTTCATGGGAGAATATATAGTTCTCCCTAACTATATATTTAAAGGTAAATGTAAAGGGACTCCTGACCATTAGGTCCAGTCGTGACCGACTCTGGGGTTGCGGCGCTCATCTCGCTTTATTGGCCGAGGGAGCCGGCGTACAGCTTCTGGGTCATGTGGCCAGCATGACTAAGCCGCTTCTAGCGAACCAGAGCAGCGCATGGAAAAGCCGTTTACCTTCCCGCTGGAGCGGTACCTATTTATCTACTTGCAGTTTGACGTGCTTTCGAACTGCTAGGTGGGCAGGAGCAGGGACCGAGCAACGGGAGCTCACCCTGTCGCGGGGATTCAAACCACCGACCTTCTGATCGGCAAGTCCTAGGCTCTGTAAACTATATATTTACTATATATATATATATATATATGCAGTAAATATATAGTAAACTATATATTTACTGCACATTTAAAGGACATGACTTCCCCAAAGAATCCTGGGAACTGTTGTTCTCCCCTTTTGCAGAGCTACAGTTTCCAGAACCCTAAACCAACTACAGTGGTACCTCAGGTTAAGTACTTAATTTGTTCCGGAGGTCCGTTCTTAACCTAAAACTGTTCTTAACCTGAAGCACCACTTTAGCTAATGGGGCCTCCTGCTGCTGCCGTGCCACTGGAGCACGATTTCTGTTCTCATCCTGAAGTAAATTTCTTAACCCGGGGTACTATTTCTGGGTTAGCGGAGTCTGTAACCTGAAGCGTATGTAACCCGAGGTAAAGGTAAAGGGACCTCTGACTATTAGGTCCAGTTGCGGACAACTCTGGGGTTGCGGCGCTCATCTCGCTTTATTGGCCGAGGGAGCCAGCGTACAGCTTCTGGGTCATGTGGCCAGCATGACAAAGCCGCTTCTGGCAAACCAGAGCAGTGCATGGAAACTCCGTTTACCTTCCCGCTGGAGTGGTACCTATTTATCTACTTGCACTTTGACGTGCTTTCGAACTGCTTGGTGGGTACCACTGTACAGTTCCAAGGATGCTTTGGGGAAAGCCATGTGCTTCAAACGGAGGTTGAGAGAGTGTGCGTTTGCCCACAAGGATGTTGAACGAGAACCACAAACAGGGTAGTCAAGGCTTCCTTGCCCCTCCTGGTCAGATCTGCCTGGCCCCCAAACCATGGTTTACTGTGGCTTAATGTGCAGGAAGAAGACCCTGACGCTGACTGTTGCACGCTCTTCTCTCCTAGTTCATTAAAAGCTTTTACAACGAGACCTACCGATGGAGGAATCACATCAGCATAGACCACAGCTTGCTCCTGTTCCAGTGGGGTCTGACAGTTTCATTCTTCCCAGTCGGAGGCATGGTTGGGTCTCTTTTGGTGGCTCGTCTGGCAGATAATTGTGGCAGGTACAGTGATAACCCTGGAGATGGAGGTTAATTGGGAGAGAAAAGGAAGGCATGAAGTAGGGCAGATACCCCACCATGAGAATCTGTGCAATAACTGGCAGTCTTGCAAAAACTGAAGTGTACAAGCGACACACATAGTCTTCTTAGTCTCTCTATTTTGCTTGCTTTCTTGCCACCTGGAGATTCAAACTTTCCCTCTACTGCCTGGAGGGGGACGGACGAACCTGGAGATCTGGCAATCCTAGTGAATGACCTTCTTATCCCAGGGCCTATGAAAGCACTATGGGGAGGGCATTGGAGGGGAAAGGTTGTGTGGCTTCTCCTGATCCATTCTTTTACAGGAAAAGAATCTACATCAAAGCATAGGAAGCTGTCTTATGCTCAATGAGGCCATTGGCCTATCTAGTTTTGCCAACACTGACTGGCAGCAGCTCTGCAGGCTTTCAAACAAGGGAGATTCCTTGCCCTACCTGGAGACGCCAGGGATTGAACCTGGGATCTTCTGCTTGCAAAGCAGGCGCTCATACTGCTGAGCGATTACCCCTCCTTTAAGACAAATGGTCCACCTAGCTCAGTATTGTCTACACTGACTGGCAGCAGCTCCCCAGCTCAGCGTGGTTTACGCCAGTGTTCTTTGACCTTGGGTCCCCCAAAATCGTTGGACTACAACTCCCATCATTCCCAAGACAGCTTAACCAATGGTCAGCGATGGTGGGTGCAGCAGTTCAGCAACACCTAAAGTCAAAAAGTAACGACCTACACTGACTGGCAGCAACTATCCAAGGGAATCAGAACAGGGGTGTTCCTAGTCCTATGTGGAGATGCTAGGGAGCAAACCTGCTTGCCCTTTCCAACAATTAACGAAACCAGGACAAAGTACCAGTAATTAAATTGTAACAGTAGCATAGCAGTTGCAATTTCCTCTCCCTTATGCTTTTCCATCTGCTTTTATACATCCATCAGTATCCACCCTGCCCTTTCCCTCCTTGCCTTTTCAGAAAACGTACTTTGCAGGTGAATAATATTTTGGCCATAATCTCTGCTGTCCTCATGGGCTGCTCCAGAGCAGTGCACTCCTTTGAGTTCATCATCTTTTCACGTTTGGTTATTGGAATATGTGCAGGTGAGTCGGAGACAGGAGGTGTTGTTTAATATATATGCTGGTGATGCACTTCCTTTGACCTGGGCCTCTCCAGACATCCTGTATATTGTGCATTCACAATTATTGTGATCATGATGGTATTGGGGTGGTATTGGCTTGTTTACAATACTGTTTTGTTCCTGAAAATGTTTTGGGGGTGGCTGCTTTGCTTCCAACAGACAGCTGTATAGTGGTCCGTGTTCATAGGGGCGGGAAAAGAATCATAGAGTTGGAAAGGGTCCCCAGGGGGTCATTTAGTCCAACCCCCTGCAAGGCAGGAATCTCACCTAAAGCATCCTTAACAGATGAGCATTCAACCTCTGCTTTCAAAACCTCCAAGGAGAGCCCACGGTTTTCCCAGCTAAGTTATACTCATAGGAGACCCATTGAAATTAATAAATTTCAGTGAGCCGTGTCCATTCACTTCAATGGGTTGTTAGTCCAAGATTAGTCCTACTTAGAGTAGACCCATTGAAGATAATGGGCATGGCTCACTTACTGTAGGTTTATTAGTACCTATGAGATCATATTACCCCATATATGCTCACTTGATCACTTTGATCTGCAGAACTGGCACTGTTGCAGGTTTTATTCTGCGTTTGCCAATAAATTGATTTTTTACCTACACTTTGGAACTCACCGCCTATTGATATCAAGCAGACACTTTTTGGCATGTGTGTCTCAATGTGACTTTTAGCTTATTGTTGATTTAAATCCTTTTTCTTTTTTTTTGAAGGTTATAAATAGTTGGTTTTAACCAATAATTTCATTGTTCTATTCTTTTTGTAAACTGCTGTTATAAGACTGCTTTAAGATTGGTTTTTTTTTTTTAAAGTATTATATAATTTTTGTGAAATAATTAAATAATTTCCAACAGGTCTACTTTGAGCTACACTAAGTGTCTTTTAAACTTTTTGTACACGGTTTGTATTGTATGTTTTTATGTATTTTCAGTGCTTTTCTTCGGGGCAGATGAAGGGTTACGCTTACTCCTACACATTTTGTGAATCTAAGTTTGGCCTCACTGAGGGGCAGTATTTCAATATGAGTAGGAAAATGAGAGTACCCCTAAATATTTTTTAAGAAAAAAAGCACTCTGTCTTTTTGTTATAAATGGCCTAAATATTTTCAGAAATGGAAAAAAGAAATCAACACCTGCTTGGCAGCAGTCCAATGAGTCTTGTTATAGATCTGGGGCCGTGGGGGTGGGGGATGGAATCCTCCTAAGCCCTAGGAATGAAGGAAATGTTCGGATTATGATTAATTGGGATATGGACTAAGACACCAACTGCAGAGTTGGGCCAGACAGGGAAATCCTGGGCTGGCTTATGCAAACCAATCTTGATAGCTACAGCTATCAAGAGTACAACAGAGGCCATTAACAATACAATGGAACTCCCTTGTCGCCCCCAGGTGTGAACAGAGACTGGGGATTTGGAAGGTTGCCAGGGTAACTGCTCTGGGGGAGGGCAAGGGGTTTTCTGGGAGGTAAAGGTAAAGGGACCCCTGACCATTAGGTCCAGTCGTGACCGACTCTGGGGTTGTGGCACTCATCTCGCTTTATTGGCCAAGGGAGCCTGTGTACATCTTCCGGGTCATGTGGCCAGCATGACTAAGCCGCTTCTGGCGAACCAGAGCAGTGCACGGAAACACCGTTTACCTTCCCGCCGGAGTGGTACCTATTTATCTACTTGCACTTTGATGTGCTTTCGAACTGCTAGGTTGGCAGGAGCAGGGACAGAGCAATGGGAGCTCACCCCGTCACGGGGATTCGAACCGCCGACCTTCTGATCGGCAAGTCCTAGGCTCTGTGGTTTAACCCACAGTGCCACCTGCGTCACTTGCTGGGAGAAAGAAGGGGCAAAAAAAAAGCTGAGATCCATCTTGGAGAGGGAGGTGAAAAATTCCCTGTGGGCCATGTTGTAAGATCCGGACTTCCTCCATGCAGACAGAAGGTGTAAATAGGTGAATGAACCATATTTCTTGAAGCACGACAGTCTCCGCCGCATCTTCTGTTCTCCAAAGGGACACAGACCCTGCGTGTGTGCCTGGGACCCCATGGGCTCTTGCCACCACTTGGCAGAGGGAGGGGCAGGCACCCAGCTTTTTAAACAGTCTGCTCTGAGTAGGACTTTGCATTGTCTGTGAAATATACTCGGAGTCGAGTGTGGATTTCATGCTCTTTATTCAGCTCATAGTAGTGAGGAATGAATGTTCCCCCAAAATATCTGCTTTATATACATTATTTACACAATGGGCTGCACGTGATTGGCTAATTCCGGGATTCTCCCGTGGGCCAATCAGGTTGCGGATTCACTTCCACCTGGAGCTGGATTGGGTGGCTCCTGCTGACCAATCATACTGCTGCATTGTTCTAGGACCAATCAGACTGCTGCATTCTGAATCCTATTGTTATAGGACCAATCAGACTGCTGCATTTTGGATCCTATTGTTCTAGGACCAATCAGACTGCTGCCTTTTGGATCCTATTCAACTCAGTACATAACAGTCTGCCAGCCCAGAAATATGTTCAGATACTTCTGTGCGTAGCCTATGCACATTCAATTATCTTTTGCTTTTTACCTTGTCAACAGGGATCTCCTTCAGCGTGGTTCCCATGTACCTCACAGAGATTGCCCCTGAAAACCTGCGAGGAGCCATAGCCATCACTGGCCATTTCTTTATCATCTTTGGTAGCCTGATGGCTCGCATATTTGGCCTTGACAAACTCCTAGGGACCCAAGAAGGTAAGTCTGAGAGATGCCCCTTTTGGCCTCTTGGGCTCACATTGCTTCAAGGGTCAACCCTCTAGCCACGCCCACTTCTACACTCTGGCCATGCCCACAAAGTTTGAATGTGAGCGTGGCCGGCCCATTTAATTTTTAAACCCACCCACTCACGCACACTTGGCATCCTGTCCAGACATGTAGTTATTGACATGTGGTTTAATAACCAATCTCAGTGGCGTAGCGTGGGGGGTGCAGGGGGGGCCGGCCGCACCGGGCGCAACATCTGGGGGGGGTGCGCTCGCACTCGCAGCTCTCTGCCCCTACCTGGCTCACTCACTCTCTCTCACAGCAGTGCTGGCTGTGCGAATCCGATCCGAGCCGCTGGGTCGCCGCCCACTGTGGAGGGGGTGGGTGCCAGGCATGTGGTGCGGAGAGAGAGCGAGGGACTATCTGGGGGAGGGACAGTGCAGCGGCCGCCCAGTGCAGCGCTGAGCGCGGGAGAGAACCACACCAGACCAGCCCAGGCAGCAGCAAGAAGAAGCTGGCAGCGGCGGCAGGTTAGGGGTTAGGGGGCGCAAATTACTTGCCTTGCCCTGGGTTAGGGGGCGCAAATTACTTGCCTTGCCCCGGGTGCTGACAACCCACGCTACGCCGCTGACCAATCTGTCTGCATAGGGAACTCTGGGAACAGTAGTTCTGTGAGAGGGAATAGGGGCAACTCTCAGGCCCTTTTGCAAACTATAGCTCCCAGAAGTCTTTGGGGGGAGAAGCCATGAGGGTTTAAAGTGGTATCATAACACTATAAATGTATGGTGTGAATTTGGATCCTGTGTGCAACATGGTGTTATGTGAAAAAAACTGCTCCTTTTTCCTTATGTGGTATTCCCCTATAGAGTCCTTAAGTGGGTTTCCTATTGGTAGGAGAAAGTAACAGAGGCCAACCAGAGTATATTGAGAAGCCAAGTGGCTAGTAAGCCTGATCTTTATTCAAGGAACTGTTGTAACAAGGTCCCCACTCACCACACACAGGAGAACCCTGAACAATGGTGCACAAGCCCTTATGTAGACTTTTGAAATTGCCCACCCTGTAGCCCAACCACCCCCATAAAAATCATACATCACAGAAGGAGGCGGTCTACAGCAGAAATACATCACAGGAGGTGGTCTACAGCAGAAATCCTGTCTGCCAGGATACCTGATAATGGTCTTTGATTGCATTACCTGGGCAGTCCAGCCATTCTTTTGTGATGGTTAATACTTTAGTTCCTGAATCCAGGTCACAGGCTCATCCTATTCATACACAAATGCACCCTTGAGACAGGATTTGTAAGCAAAAGACAATGGGAAGGCTTTCCCCATTTGCCTCCCTGACTGCAGAGGAATATTTAAGGTCATTGGGAGAGTCAAAATGGCTTCAGGATTGCTCTCTCGTACTATTTCAGACACCTGGTAAATATTTTTAGATATGTGTTCATTTATGAATATTTATTCTATATTTGAGACCTTAAAATTCTTATAACAATGGTCTTCAGGTTTATGCCTTGGTCCTATAATGCTTGGCTTATATTGTTTGGTTATTCCTATCCAGTCATTGTTTGCTTTTTCTTTCTTATTGTTTATAACGAAAACACCATAAAAATGATTTTTTAAAAAAAAATTCACATTGAGGTGGCGGAGCTGGGCGGGGGACCAACACACACCTTGGCAGGGGCCAGAAACTGTCTCTGGTCTATGGATTAGCCACCTAGTTGTGCTATCACATTTCATGTCTCTTACCATCTATGTGCAGGTTGGCCGTTCCTGCTGAGCCTCACTGGGGTTCCGGCATTATTTCAGCTCATCTTCCTGCCGTTCTTCCCCGAAAGTCCTCGGTACCTCCTGATTCAGAGGCATGACGAAGAAGCAGCCAGAGAAGGTAGAAACTGAATGGGAAAACATGTGGATGCGGTTATTATCATCAGTCTTCATGCCCCAAACCTTTAAGCCCAGGGTTGTACGCCACTAATTAGAGTAGACCCACTGAAGTGAGTGAGCACCAAAAGCGCTGCTGTTTTCACTTTCTGTGTGAGGTAGCCTAATAAGAACCTCAATGAGAAGGAACAAGATGCCTCAATGAGAAGGAACAAGCAGAAGATATACAGTGGTACCTCAGGTTAAGTACTTAATTCGTTCCGGAGGTCTGTACTTAACCTGAAACTGTTCTTAATCTGAAGTACCACTTTAGCTAATGGGGCCTGCTGCGGCTGCCGCGCCGCCGGAGCACGATTTCTTTTCTCATCCTGAAGCAAAGTTCTTAACCTGAAGCACTATTTCTGGGTTAGCGGAGTCTGTAACCTGAAGCGTATGTAACCTGAGGTACCCCTGTAGAAGCATGATTAGTCGCACCAACAGGGTAAAGAACAGCTTCTATCCGTGGGCTGTTAGGCTGCTGAATGAAAAGATAACAACAGGGCAACTGACTTTCGGGTTTGGTGGGTGTGCGTCAGTAAACGAGGGGAATTAAGACTAAGAGAGCTGAGTGGGGGTGCTCGTGTAATCTCACTGTATTCAAGTTATAGACGTGACAATAAAGTACAGTGGTACCTCGGATTACATACGCTTCAGGTTACATACGCTTCAGGTTACAGACTCCGCTAACCCAGAAATATTACCTCGGGTTAAGAACTTTGCTTCAGGTTGAGAACAGAAATTGTGCTCCAGTGGCGCGGCAGCAGCGGGAGGCCCCATTAGCTAAAGTGGTGCTTCAGGTTAAGAACAGTTTCAGGTTAAGAACAGACCTCCGGAACGAATTAAATACTTAACCTGAGGTACCACTGTATTTCAATTTCACTTCAGGACCTGAGCATGAGCTCTTCCCCCTCCTGTGGTTTCCAGCAACTGAGATTCAGAAGCATTCCTGCCTCCAACCGTGGAGGCAGAACGCAACCATCAAAACTAGTAGCCGCTGATACTATAGCCTTCCTCTCCATCAATTTGCCCAATCCTCTTTTAAAGCCATCCAAGTTGGTGGCCAGTCGCTGCCTCCTGCAGGAGAGAGTTTGGTAGTGCACTGAAGTCGTTTCTTTTGTCTGTGCTGAATCTTTCAACACTCAGCTTCCTAGGATGTCGGTGAATTCTAGAGAGAGAGGGGGGGGGGAGAAGCTTCTCTCCATCCACTTTCTCCATGCCACACGTAGTTGTAGCGCAAGAAAATTTGCAGGGTGCCTTCCGAACTCCTGCTACTTTGCAAGAGGGATTCCTGTGCATCCTTGAACAGTTTTGCACATTGAAAGTGATTTTAAAATGCTATTTTGCCCTAGGACAACAAATCTACTTCTTCTTCTTTTTAAAAAAAAAAAATTGACTTTTGGTAGTTTGGAAAGTGATGGAGGAAAGTATGGAATGAATGAACGGTTAAAGGGAAATTGTAAAAACAACCCAAAAGCAAACCAGAGAATGCTCCTTGTCATATTGTAAAGGTAAAGGGACCCCTGACCATTAGGTCCAGCCGTGGCTGACTCTGGGGTTGCAGCGCTCATCTCGCTTTATTGGCCGAGGGAGCTGGCGTACAGCTTCCGGGTCATGTGGCCACCATGACTAAGCCGCTTCTGGTGAACCAGAGCAGCGCACGGAAACGCTATTTACCTTCCCGCCGGAGTGGTACCTATTTATCTACTTGCAGTTTGATGTGCTTTCAAACTGCTAGGTTGGCAGGAGCAGGGACCGAGCAACGGGAGCTCACGCCGTTGAGGGGATTCAAACCACCAACCTTCTGATCAGCAAGTCCTAGGCTCTGTGGTTTAACCCACATCACCACCCGTGTCCCCCTTATCATATAACCACCCCGTAAAGATATCTGAAAGAATGTTAAATATAGACTGATTGTATGCTGTAGTCTAATCTCTGCATGAACTGGCTATGTTCTCCTTAGGCTCAGTGTTGAACTCAGCAGGGGGGGAGGAAGAAGATGGGGACAAAGCTAGAATTCATTGGCTTTACCTACCATTGGCTCTAGCACCCCTAGCCGTCTGCTCTGGTGCCCCCTACTGTTGACCTCCCTGAGCTCTGCCGTATCAGTTCCAGCGGGCACCAGCCTCCACTGCAGGAAGAGGCGGTGTGTACAGACTGGGGGTGGGGGGCCCTAAGAAGCCTCCAAATGCTGCTGAGCTGACATGGGTGGTCTGTGGCACTCGTAAGCCAGTTGTCTCCTTCCACACAGCCTTAGTGAAGCTAAGGGGCTGCGACAACGTGGAGGATGAAATCGAAGAGCTCCACGAGGAGGACCTCTCCGAGGAAGTGGAAAAGGATATGGACCTCTTTACGATGTATCACTTCGATGACATATGGAACCACCTCGTCTCTGCCGTCGTCTTGATGGGCGGGCAGCAGCTCACTGGCATTAACGCGGTAGGGCAATCTCCCCGAGGAGAACGGGCCTTTTCGGTGGTGGCTCCTTTGTGTGGGATGTTTTCCGCAGGGAAGCCTGCCTGGTGCCCTCGCTGGCTGATTTGAGGTGCCAGGCAAAAATGTTTTCAGCCAGGCGTTTGGCCTTTAGCCTGGGGAACTGTAGATATTGTGGCCTCTTCCAGTGGGTGGGATATTGAGCAGTGAAAAATCCCCCTCCTCACTGGATCTCTGTGGAGAACTGAAATTAAGACTGAAAAAACGACAGAAACTGAAATGGACAGATTTGTCTGTATCCTGATAGGGGGTCATCATTCCGCTAAGAATGTCTGTTTCTCCTTTCAGGCCAGCTATTATATGGAGATACTCTACATGTCTATGGGGTTAGAAAAGAAAATTGTCGGGTATATCAGCATAACGATATACATTTTGCTTATGTTCATAACTCTCCTGGTGGTAAGATTCTCTCCCATTTCTACATCAACGCCAACATGGTGAGCTCCAGGTGTTGTGGACTACAACTCCATAATCCCTAAGCATTGGTCACACAGGCTGGGGCTGATGGGAATTGTAGTCCAAAATGTCTAGAAGGCACCATGTTGGTCTCCCCTGATATGAATGTTTAGCTCCTCCTTGTAATGCTTCTACCCTTGGCCTACTCCAAAGGCCAGCACTTCTATAGTGTGCGTCTGTGTTAAGCTGGCCGAGTTGTTCCAGTTTCCTACAGACAAACTACACGTCCAGGTTCGGATGGCATGCAAAGACAAACCATGGCTTAGCTCACAGCAGGAGGATCAGAGAAGGGGCAAAACGGCTGCCATCGCCTCTCCAGAGATCTGGGTGGAATATAAAAAACGCTGTGGAAATGCTTTTGAAAAAAGTTTTGGAAAATTTATTGGATTTGCCATAGCTCACCATCGCCATCTAGTGTCACATTTGTATAATGCACTTTACAACACAGTTTAAATGTTTTATTTGCAACTGTATAGCTGAGTCCCTGGTTTGGCTTAGGGTTAAGTAAAAACAGAGCTTCCGTCTCTGGGCCCATCCAGGCTGTTGCTAATTTTGGGTGGGTTTCAGATGGGCTCAATCCCCAGTTGCATCTCCAGGTTGGGATGGGAATGTACTCTGCCAGAAACTCTGGAGAGCTGCTGCCAGCCAGTGCAGACAATACTGAGTTCGATTGGCTAATGGGCTTCACTCAATATAAGATAGTTTTTTATATTCCTACGTCTGTAGGGCTATAGTTCAATAGTAGAACATCTGCTTTGCAGGCAGAAGGTCCTAGGTTCAATCCCCAGTATCTCAAGGGAAGACACCCTGGCTGAAACCCTTCAAAACTACTGCCAGTCAGTGCAGACATTGCTGAGCTAGAGGGATGCAATGGTCTGACTTGGCACAAGGGAGCTTCTCAGGTTCCTAATCACATACTAGCCAATTCACATCGAGCAGCGAGAGCTGATTGGGAGGTTTAGCGCAACAAACCCTCTTCCCAAAAATGCAGGAAGCGACAAGGAAATGCACTGGAATTATCTAATCTCCCTGTAAGATAATAAATATGGCCACCCATTAAATAGCTGACATCTCCCTGCAAATAAATCAGAATGTATGCTCAATAGACAGGCCATCTTGAAGCACCCTTCCTCTCTCTTTCTAACTTTTCTGCTTTTTTGTATCCTTTAGATACGTTTTGCTGATTCTTCGGGGCACAGAAATCTGCTGCTCAGTGGCTTGGGGATTTGCAGCATCACCTGTGTCCTCTTAGCCATGGCGATTGAATTACAGGTCTGTATTGCAAGTCTACAAACTCTTGATGTCTGACGCTAAGCACCCACCAATGCAGTGCCCTCAGTTCTTAGGATAATGATGATAATAATTTATCTGTTGCATTTGTTAGTCTTTTTTGTTTGCAGAAAGTAAAGTCCCAAAGGGACTTGCACTGTAAGACAAGAATGAAAACCAAAACTGAAATAAAATAAAAGCTAAAAGCACTCTTATGCATGAAACAAAGGAGGCCATAACAACAACAACAACAACAACAACAACAACAACAATTTATTATTTATACCCTGCCCATCTGGCTGGGTTTCCCCAGCCACTCTGGGCGGCTCCCAATCAAGTATTAAAAACAATACAGCGTTAAATATTAAAAACTTCCCTGGACAGGGCTGCCTTCAGATGTCTTCTGAATGTCAGGTAGTTGTTTAGCTCTTTGACATCTGATGGGAGGGCGTTCCACGGGGCGGGCGCCACTACCAAGAAGGCCCTCTGTCTGGTTCCCTGTAACCTCACTTCTCGCAATGAGGGAACCGCCAGAAGGCCCTCGGCGCTGGATCTCAGTGTCCGGGCTGAACGATAGGGGTGGAGACGCTCCTTCAGGTATACATGACAGTATCCCAAACTCCCCGAGCCTGGCTGAAAAGAAACACTTTTGCCTGGTGCCCCCAAGTAGTTAGTGATGGTGAACCTCCCTGGGAAGAGAGCATTTCATAAGCAGGTGCCACCACTGAAAAGACCGTTCTCCAGTTGCCACTCTATGGAGATGGCACATGGAGGAGAACATCAAATGATGAATGATGCTGATTTTGTGTAGTGGATGCTGCTTTAATGGAAATTATGGGTTGCAGTCAACTGAATCCTACTCAGAGGGAACCCATTATAATTATGTGGTGTGGTGGGGAGCTGGTGTAGTGCAGTGATTAGTCAGGGGTCAGCAAACGTTTTCAACAGGAGGCCGGTCCACTGTCCCTCAGACCTTGTGGGGGGCTGGACTATATATTTTTTGGGGTGGAAATGAACGAATTCCTGTGCCCCACAAATAAACCAGAGATGCATTTTAAATAAAAGGACACATTCTACTCATGTAAAAACACGCTGATTCCCGGACCGTCCACGGGACAGATTTAGAAGGTGATTGGGCTGGATCTGGCCCCCGGGCCTTAGTTTGCCTACCCATGGATTAGATTGTCAGATTGGGGTGTGGGGAGAACAGGGTTCGAATCCCCACTCGGGTCACAAAGCTCACAGGGTGTGACTTTGAGGCCAGCCTCTCAGTCTACCATACCTCACCGGGTTATTGTGGGGGGGATTAAATGAGGAGAAGGAGAATCATGTGTATGCCACCTGGACATCCTTGGAGGAAAAGGTGGGATAGAAATGCAATAGATAATTAAATAATAAATGAAGAAATCCATTAACTTCAGCGCTGCATACCAGCCAAGATGAGCTAAATTCCATTAACTTCAGTGAGTCTGCTCTGAGTTGGACTGGCATTGGATAAAACCCTATAATTTTATTTATTTGTTCATTTATTTCTACAGTCATGGAACATGAACATTTACACATTGACAAAATGGGAGCTCTATGGGGGAAGCTCAGGAATTTCTGGCACCAAACTGCACTTCTAAGAATTGCTTGCAGGAGGTGACAACAATTGAACTGGTATAAAACTGAGGAATTTTGCAGGACAGAGCAGATAGGCTGTTAATTAAACCATGTTGTTGTTTTGTTGTTGTTTTGATTTTTCTTCCTCCCTGCCTCCCAAAGGAGCCCAGGGTAAAAACATGCAACAATGATTATTTATTTTATAAAAAAAAAACCGACGCAACTCAAAGCAGTTTTAAAACACTCTAAAACCAGTTAAAACCCTTTCTATGTATTAAAAGAACAGTTAAAAACACTCTTAGCTGGTGATCATAGGGTTGCCAGGAGCAGTGTCTTTCAGCTATCAAATGCCTAGGTTAAACAAGAGTGTTATTAAATTCCTGAAAGTAAGTAATGAAGGGAGAGGGTGAGAAACGCATCACACCAGGGAGGACATTCCACAGGCAAGGAGCCACCACTGAAAAGGCCCTGTTATGTGTCAACACCAACCGGGCAGTCCCCAGTGGCACCACCACCAACAGGGCTTCACCTGCTGATCGTAGGGCCTAAGATGGTTGATACTGGGGAGAAGAAAGCACCACTGAGTTCAATGGAGCTTATGCCCAGGCATAGGAACACAGTCACGGTCCTATTAAATAGGGTTTTCTGATGATAATGACTGCAGTAGTGGAGTATCTATGTCATTTGCAACCACAACACTGTCTCTGCTTGAACTGTGAGTCCTTTTCTCCAACAGAAGACCATCTGGTGGATGTCATACGTCAGCTCATCTTTCGTTACCCTCTTCCTCATTGGACAGTCCATCGGGCCAGGTAAGCTCTCTGATGAAGATGATTTATGAGACTTGTCCATCTCTCGTTACACTGAGCTCTCCAGTACAGTGGTACCTTGGTTTACGAACTTAATCCGTTCCGGAAGTCCATTCTTAAACCAAAGCGTTCTTAAACCAAGGCATGCTTTCCCATAGCAGGGGGGGACTCACTCAACAGGAAGCGGAACATGTTCTGCTTCCAAGGCAAAGTTCACAAACCAAAACACCTACTTCTAGGTTTGGAGCATTCTTGATCCAAGTTGTTCATAAACTAAGCTGTTCTTAAACCAAGGTACCACTGTACTGACATAGTTGGACAAAGACATGCTCAGTCCATAAAAATATATGCAATGCCACACAGACACATCCCAAACAGCTATGTAAGGGTGCTGCCAAACATCATAAGTCTGAAGGGGAATCCAACATTCGTGCTGCCCAGAGTAGATCCATTGAAGCTAGCAAACGTGGCTAACTTCAGTTCGCTAATTTCAGTAGGTCTTTTCTGAGTAGAATTTCACTGGCTACAACCCTAAGTCTTTACCTGGGCCACATTCCCAACCATACATTTAAAGCAGAATCATAGCACGTCAAGCAGTCATGGCTTCCCCCAAGGAATTCTGGGAGCTGTAGTTTGTTATGGGTGCCGAGAGTTATTGGGAGAATCCTCTACTCCAGGCATAGGCAAACTCGGCCCTCCAGATGTTTTGGGACTACAACTCCCATGATCCCTAGCTAACAGGACCAGTGGTCAGGGATGATGGGAATTGTAGTCCCAAAACATATGAAGGGACGAGTTTGCCTATGCCTGCTCTACTCCCCTCACAGAGTTCTCTGAGAAGAAGAGTTGGTTGTTAAACCAGTCTGAGAATTTCAGCTGGGGTGGGGGGATAGGGGCCTCCTAGCCACTCTCTGCACCTCTAACAAATGGCAGCTCCCATAATTCTCTCTCTCTTTTTTTTAAATGATATTTATTCCAGATTTAAAATTACAAAAAAGAAAAAGAAAAACCATACAAAATACAAAGAAAACTTTAACCATAACAAAGCAAGAAATAAACAAGTAAAAAAGAACAATAAGATACAATAAAAAAGAAGACTTAACAAAAAATATAAAAATACATTGAGTTAAAATAAAACAAAAACAGATTAAACCTTTACATAGCCTTTTCCCTTTACTTATGTCCATGACCTCCTCTCACCTCCCAGTTTTGTATTCTAGTTCAGATCGTATTTCCAGCAAATCCTTCTAACCTTATTTTCAGGCAGCTCCCATAATTCTCTGTAGGAAGCCACGACCATTCAAAGTGGCATTGTAGCGCTTTAAATATATGGCCAGGATGTTCAGGGCTCCTTGAGGAAGCACAAGAGATGAGTAGCATAGATAAACTTCCCTGTTTAGGAATTTTTTTAATGACTGATGTTTTAATGTACAGTGGTACCTCTGGATGTGAACGGGATCCATTCTGGAGCCCCGTTCGCATCCTGAAGCGAATGCAACCCACGTCTGCGCGTGCGCGGGTTGCGATTCGCAGCTTCTGCGCATGCACGTGACATCATTTTGAGCATCTGCGCATGCATGAGCAGCGAAACCTGGAAGTAACATGTTCCATTACTTCCGGGTCACCGTGGAGTGCAACCCGAAAACGCTCAACCTGAAGCAACTTCAACCCGAGGTATGACTGTACTTTTAATATTTTGTTAGAAGCTGACCAGAGTGGCTGGGGAAACCCAGCCAGATGGTCGGGGTATAAATAAAAAAATATTGTTATATTGTTATTAGCGAAAATGAAAATGGGGCATTCTCTCTCTCCTGGCCCAGATCCGGTTCCAGTGGTGATTGTAGCAGAGCTGTTCCTTCAGTCATCACGGTCCACTGCCTTCATGGCTGGGGGCTGTGTTCACTGGTTCTGCAAATTTGTTATCGGAGTCGTGTTCCTTCAGATGGAGGTAAGTGGGTTTGGCTAATACATCCAAGGTTCTCTTAGAGGAGTCCCAGGTCATCGAATCTGAGCTTCCACAGACTTTACCCGTCATGAGGCACCATTGGCAGCAGCAGCAGCAGCAATGTTCTATGCTTATGATAATATTTTATTCTCCGGATAATTGTGCTGTTTTAAATGTGCATTTGATACTTGACTTCCTTTAGCAATGTTTTCTTTTGAAATGTTTAAGATAATGGTTTTTTGTGTGTTGACTTTGCTGCATTAAATGTGCATTCTGTAGCTGGCCTCCTTTGCAATTAAGATACAGATTTCCAAAATTTCTCAAATTAGATAATTACATAACGACTATGTTTCATAGATTGGCTTCCCTCCCACCCACCCCTTGTGTTTTTATTCAAACCCTTTTCTGCTGCGTTATATAACAAACTCTTATCTGTTACCAAAAAAAAATCTCTCTAGTGCAATTATTTTATCTTTTTTTGTCCGCTCCTCGTATCTCGAAACCTGCCCGCAATTTCATTTGGCTATAATGCTTTTTCAAATAGTCCCCAAATGGCCTCCACTCATCTATTGAAAAGTTTGTCATTTCGACCTCTTGGTTTTGCTGTCAGCTTTGCCATTTCTGCATAGTCTGTTACTTTCAGAAGCCATTCCTCCTTCAGAGACTGGTTTGCTGAAGCACCTGCCCCCTCCATTAAACCTTGCTTTAGCTGTGTTGAACAAGGGTGTTAAGTTGTCTGTGAACATATCAGACGACACAGTGGTTCTTCAAACAGCTCTTGTTTATTCACAGGCCAGAACAGAACTGAACTGAAGGGTTCAGCCAGCCTGCTTATACAGTGGTGCCTCGCAAGACAAAATTAATTCGTTCCGCGAATTTTTTCGTCTAGCGAATTTTTTGTCTTGCGAAGCACGAAATCCCATAGGAATGCATTGACAATCAATTAATGCGTTCCTATGGTCAAAAAAAGTCCAAACAAAGCCAAATTTGGTACAACAAGAGTTTATTAAGTGCTCTTTAAAGTCACACATACTGTAAAGAGCATTTCAAAATTCAAACCCAGAATTTTTTTTAAAAAAAGCAGAGTGGCCCAATGGTCACAGAAAATCATAAAAATTCAGAAAAAAACCACACAAGCTTCCAGATTCTTGCAAACCCCTCCCCAACACCAAGTCCTTGAATTCCAAACACCCCAACCCAAAATCCAACCCCCCCCAAAAAAAGTTTTAAAAGCTTAACTTACCAAATGGCTGCAAAAGAAGTTTTGGAAAAGCTTCAAAAATCACCAAAGTCTTTAAAAACCTCAAAAAAGGCTACTATGTACACTGCATTCTATGAGTTGCTCCTCGAAGTCAAGTCGCAACTGTATTAACGGTGTTAAGAAAAGGAAACAAACTTGCAAGACATTTTCGTCTTGCAAAGCAAGCCCATAGGGAAATTCGTCTTGCGAAGCAGCTCAAAAAACGGAAAACCGTTTCGTCTAGCGAGTTTTTTGTCTTGCGAGGCATTCGTCTTGCGGGGCACCACTGTATAGAGCTCCACTAGAACGCAACAGTAACCATTTTCTGTAACTATCCAATCACTGAACGTGACTTTCAATCCCTTATTTGCATATGTGGACCTGAGTGAAAACTATCTACAGTATCCCCCTGCTGGCCCAGGGTGAGAACTTCAGTACATAACAAAGGGTGCTTCAGAGAACAGTTTGCCAAACTGCTCTGAGAAGTGCCTCCAATCTCTGCCCCGTTAAACAGCTTGTATGGGCTGCCTGCCACCCATGCTGCTTGCTTGCCTGCCTGCCATTTTGCTTGAGTTGGTGTGGCTGCTACTATCTTTTTCTCTTACACACATTCCATATCGTGCCCAAGTCCTATATCTCTCTATCTTTTTCTCTCTTTTTTCTCTCCAGATACACATTGAGCCTTACAGCTTTCTCCTCTTTTGGCCTCTCTGCGTAGCCATCTTAATTTATGCCTTCAAGCAGATCCCGGAAACCAGCGGCCAGAACTTCCTGGATATCAGGAGGACCGAGGCAATCCGAATGACCAGGACCCTTCTGCTCATGCAAATCTCAGAGGACTAGAAACTTGGGAGACAGTCCATGCAGCGATTTAGAGATATTCTGTTCGGTTGGCCCATTGGTGATCGCAGCAGTTTCCCTTCTGGTCTGACTGAACAGCCTGGACTTTATTCCTTCTTTTTCCTACACTGGACTCCGACTGCCACCACCTCTCACTATTGGCTTATACACCTACCTGACGGGTCATAGGCTACCCATCCGTGTTTTAATCAGTCTTAATAAAAGCTGGATCAGCCACTCATGCAGAGACACAGCAGGGAACTTCATTTCTGGATGATGCGTCCAGCTCTCAGGCACCTGTAATCCACATATGGGGGACCAGATGTCTCCAGATGTTGCTGAACTGTGACTCCCATCACCCCTGACCACTGGCCATGCTGGCTGGGGCTGATGGGAGTTGGACTCCCACATCAGGAGTCCCCCATCCCTCCCACAACATCACGAGTTCCCCATCCCTCCTCTAACAGATATAGAGTTATGCCCAATGGCCATCCTGCTCAGAGTAGGCCCATTGAAACTAATGAACTCGGCTTCCTCAACATCTTTTTTTAAAAGAAAAAACTGTCTAACCTCAGGCTATTTTTCTATTGGTGCTTATTGCTCAGCCTTCATTATCATTATTACATTTTTGTTGATAATAACACATGCTGTATAAACAGAAGTATAATAATAATAATAAATCCATGTGTGATGTATATCCCTGTTTCCAGGAAGTCTGTGTGTTTCTTTTCATAGAATCATAGAATTTTAGAGTTGGAAGGGACCCTGAGGATCATCCAGTCCAACCCCCTGCAATGCAGGAATATGCAGCTGTCGCAGACAGGGATCAAACACACAACCTTGGTGTTATCAGCACCACACGCTAACCAAGTGAGCTATCCAGGTTCTAACAACCACAAAATTACAATCCTGCCTGCTTCTCCAAGGAGCTGAAGGCAGCATCCATGGTTCTCTCCTCCATTTTGCCCTCACGACAACCCTGTGAAGCAGGTTAGGCTGGGAGATGGTCCCAAGGCCATCCCAATGAGCTCCCAGATACTCTTTGCTGCGAGAAGCCACAATTGACGCCTTTGCCTCGAAGGCCTGAGATAAAAGTGTCCCAAAGGTTTCTTAAATTCAGTCATGAGGCATGTGGAGGAGATGCCATGGAGGCGACGGGTGGATTCCAAAGAGATGGTGGGGCCAGCAAAGACGGAGGTGGAGTTAGATGGCCCAGAAGAAGGCCTGTGTGAGGTGAGGGAGGCAGAATTGGGGCGTCAGGGAATGTTGGAGCTTGCAGAAGTGACCAGGGATCAAAAGGCTCAGGAGCCGGATTCTGGGGAAGGTTCTGGTGGGTTGTCAGTGGGCTTGCCGATGAGAAGGTTGGCAGTTCGAATCCCCGCAACAGTGTTGCTCTGTCCCAGCTCCTGCCAACCTAGCAGTTCGAAAGCACGCCAGTGCAAGTAGATAAATAGGCATCACTGTGGTGGGATGGTAAACGGCGTTTCCATGCACTCTGGTTTCTGTCACGGTGTTATGTTGCACCAGAAGCGGTTAAGTCATGCTGGCCACATAACCCGGAAAGCTGTTTGTGGACAAACGCCGGCTCCCTCGGCCTATAGAGCAAGATGAGCGCTGCAACCCCATAGTCGCCTTTGGCTGGGCTTAACTGTCCAGGGGTCCTTTACCTTTTTACCTTGCTAACAGCAACCTGCTGGATCAGGCCTAGTTCAGCATCCTGTTCCCCAAAATTCCTGTGAGAAACCGGCAAGTAGGATCCGAGCGCAAGAACACCCTTCTGTGGCTCCCAACAACTGGACTTCTGAAGCATCACAGCCTCCAACTATGGAAGCACAGTACAGCCATCTTGGCTAGTAGCCATTGATAGCCTTGTCCTCCATGAATTTGTCTAGACCTCTTATAAAGCCATCCAGTTTTGTGGCCATCACTGCCTTTAGTGGGAGGGAGTTCCACGAGTTAAATGCACACTGCATGAAGCAGTCCTTTCTTTTCTCTGTCCCAAATCTTCCAACACTCAGCTTCGTTGGGTGGACCTGGGTTCTAGTGTTATGTGAGGGGGAGGGGAAAAAACCCCTTTCCTATATGCTTTCTCCATATCACAATGCGTAATTCTATACATCTCTTGTCAGGTCACCTCTTTTTTATTCTCTAAAGTAACAAACCCACAAATGTAATGTTTCCTCCCATAAGCGCTACACGAATGCTGAAGACTTGAAAGCCCCATACTAATTATTATATTACCCTTTAAAATCCTCCGGGATTTAATGGGAAATTCTAGCAAAAGAAGAGTAGCTCCAGGCAATGAAAGCAGCGCCGTTCCATCCCTACCGGGATGAACATCTTATATCTTCAGCCATCATGTAAAGTAGATCAATATATTTAATATTGTATTTAATTGTTGTGGGGCGAAGGTCATGTTGTTGTTGTTGTTGTTGTTGTTGTTGTTGTTGTTATATAAACATTTCAAGCTCCTGCTTTGCAATTTGGAGGGGAGGAAGTGCTAAACTCAAGAGTGTGTGGCTTTCCTAAGGCCATTTTGTGTGCTTGTGTTAAAGGTGGTTTTAAGTCAGGATTTGCTGATGGTCCCTTAGCCTGGTTTCTTGCAGAGAGGATACATAATCCTGTTAATACTCTGCAGGCAACCTCTGAGTAGCTATGCTACACCAGCTGTATTACTCAGGTTGCAAATCATTCAGATCTGATACGCTCCAACATGGGCGTCCTTTATTGGGCCTTCCAACTGTCAACAGCTTCCCCTGGAATGTTCCAGCCACCATCCCCTGATTGGCTCTTGCAACGCCGTGAACCTTCCGAATGACTTGTTTCAATGGGAAATAGAGCCTGGCTGCCTGTTCCGCCATTCACCAGTTCCGAAAGCTTGGGCTAGTCTGCGTGTCCTTTGCCTCTCCGTCCCCTACCCAGCCTAAGAAGGAAGGATGACTGCCAACAACCTAGAACTGGAGAACCCGTTGGACGCTCCAAATGTTGGACTCGAACCCTCGACTGCCAGCCTGACAGAGGATAAGGTATGATGGGAGATGTACACCAATGAGATATTCAGCGGGACAAGGTTATCTCTGCATACAAACTCAACAGGGAGGACAGGGAAGGATGTACTGTAAGTGACATCCCATAAGAAGAGTCCGCTGGATCGGGTCAAAGGACCATCTAGTCCAGCATCCTGTTCTCGCCATAGCCAACCAGTTGCCCCAATGGGAAGCCCATAAGCAGGACCTGAGTGCAGCAGCAACTCACCCTACTTGTGGTTCCCAGGCACTCCCAGGCATACTGCCTCCAACAGAGGAGATAGAACATAGCCATTGTGGTTAGTAGCCATTGTTAAACTCTGGAATTCACTGTCACAAGCTGTACAATGGTCACCAACTTGGATGCTTTACACTCCAATGGCAAATTGATGGGGGATAAGGCTATCAGTCGTGGGACTTGGGTGGCGCTGTGGGTTAAACCACAGAGCCTAGGACTTGCCGATCAGAAGGTCGGTGGTTCGAATCCCTGCGACGGGGTGAGCTCCCGTTGCTTGTTCCCTGCTCCTGCCAACCTAGCAGTTCGAAAGCACGTCAAAGTGCAAGTAGATAAATAGGTACCACTCCAGCGGGAAGGTAAACTGCGTTTTCGTGTGCTGCTCTGGTTCGTCAGAAGCGGCTTAGGCATGCTGGCCACATGACCCAGAAGCTGCACGTCGGCTCCCTCAGCCAATAAAGCGAGATGAGCGCCGCAACCCCAGAGTCGGCCACGACTGGACCTAATGGTCAGGGGTCCCTTTACCTTTACTTAAGGCTATCAGTGGTTTTTTGGCCTTGATGGTGTCCAGGTATTGTCAGGGACTGGACTGAGGAGGAATGATAGGGGCCGACCTCCCTTCTCCTGAACCTTCCCAAGAACAGGAGGACAGTATAGATTTAGAACAGTGGTTTGCAGAAGGCCATAGTTCAGAGGTTGCAGAAGGGAAATATTGAGAGAAGAACAGCAGGAAGAAGAAGCGCTGGGGGAGAAACAGCTGACAGACTCAGTGTCTTTGGAAGGCCTTCCTGAGCCCCCCTCTTCCAGGACTAGGCGGGCATTGAGAGTAGTAGAACAGAAAACTCAGAGGCAGAAAGCTCAGTTCAGCCATCGCAGGGATGACGGAGGGGGTTGGACTTTACTCGGAGCGATGCCATTATTTAATAGAGACTGCATTCCTTCGTCTCTCTCTCTCTCTGTGAATACTGAATAAATGACGTGGTAAGAACTCTTCTTGTTTATCTGCTTTTTGGCTGCCATCGGGGGAGGGATCGGATTCACTGAAGCCTGACAGGTATTTTAATTGCTGGTTTTAATTGTGTTGTGGCACCCTTTAATTTATTTTAAACAGTGTGTATTTCTTACTCTGTACCTTATAACTGAACTTTTAAAATGTTGTAAGCTGCTTTGAATCCCTACTTGGGAGAAAGGCAGGATATAATATATTTATACCTTATAATATTTTACCTTATAATATATTAAATAATGGCAACAACAACATTTGTTTGTTTGTTTGTTTGTTTATATGCTACCCAACCACCACTCCGGGTGGCTTCCAACAACTTAAAACACAATATGACATCATACATTAAAAACTTCCCTGAACAGGGCTGCCTTCAGATGTCTTCTAAAAGTTTGGTAGTTGTTTATTTCCTTGACATCTGACAGGAGGTCGTTCCACAGGTTGGGCACAACTACCAAGAAGGCAACAGAAGGCTAATGCTATGTTCTAAAGTAATTTGCAGCAGTCGATAACATTTTCCTTTTCCCCAGGTAAGCCAGTCATCTGATACTCAGCATCGAAAATCCACGGCAAGCATTTCAATAAGGAGAAGAAAGTCCGGATCCCGCAAATGGGTAAGTTCAGAGGGTTTGTTCACCCAGTGAGGTTTCGTTAAACAAACTGATGTCTGTTTGTTTCCAGAATGCAAACAGGTCTGGCAGGAAATCCCATCAAATGTATTTATTTTATTTATTGGGGGCGGGCGGGGCGGGAATGTGTTAATGCGAAAACTCTTTTAAGGCTAAATGGGTTACATAGTAAAATGCAGTTAAAATGAGCAAAATGTTTCAAACCAAATATGCATAACTAAATCCTTTTGTCTGGGTCAGGCTGCTGTCTAAAATGATATAGCGAGGGTGCTTGCCTCATACAATATTATTGCTAAAACTTGTTAGAAACAAAGGAGAATAATTGAGGAAATAAAGTAGCAGAGCAGGGTGTAAGAGGACAAAATGCTTCTGGGTTTCTTTCACTGAGACCAGCAGGACATTTTTCAAATACAGTCGTACCTCGGCTCCTGAAAGCCTTGGGAGTTGAATGTTCTGGCTTCAGAACGATCGAAAACTGGAAGTGAGTGTTCCAGTTTTCGAACATTCTTTTGGAAGCTGAATGTCCGATGGGCGAGGACTGTGGGGAGTGGGACTGTGGGGAATGGGTGAGCTGGATGAAGGGTGATGGAGACAATTTTGGGTTGGAATCCCCCAGAGACCTACTCCTCAATGAGAAAGGAAAGAAACTAAGACAGAGACCAACAAGAGACAAGGAAAAGGGCAAGCACAAACAAGATGAAGAAGAATTGCAGAAGGGACATGGAAGAGATTTAAGGGCCTCGGACATAAGGCTTCCAGGTTGATGGACTAGACGGAATGGACAATAAGGACTGACATGACCCGAGACCAGGAAGAAGAGAAGCTGGATGATGATTGGAAGAGAATTGATAATGGAAACTCTTTTATTTTAGAATCAGCTAATGAATATTAGGGAAAATGTGGGAATGAAACTATACGACTCTAGCAGAAATGATATTAGGAGTTATGTATATTTGAAATTTAAGATTTAAATTTTAAGGCACTTAGGGGTAAGATAAGGTTAAATAAATTAAGGTAATCTGAATAATAGAATATGGGGAAAGATGGTAAGGATTTGTTGAGTTAATTATTAGGTTAAATTGTTAAGACAAATTTTATAACAAAAATTGAGAAAGATGGAAAGAATTTGCTGAAATAATTACTAAACTAGAATACAAAAACGGAGGTGTGAGGAGGTCAATGAAACAAGCAAATGGAAATTATGGCTATGCAATTTGGGATTTGTGTCCCCCCCCTTTTTTTCTTCTTTTTTACTTTTTTTATTGCTGTATTGTTATATTGGTTTTCACATTTTGTGCTTTTCTCTTTTTTTTATTGTCTTCTTTTTCTTTTTTCTTTTTTTGTATTGTAGTGTTGTTTGCTATTTTTTATTTTTCTTGTAATTTTGAAATTATCAATAAATATTATTTAAAATAAATAAATGAATGTCCGATGGGGCTTCCGTGGCTTCTGATTGGCTGCAGGAGCTTCGTGCAGCTAATCAGAAGCCGCACTTTGGTTTCCGAGCATTTCGGAAGTCGGACGGACTTCCGGAACGGATTCTGTTCGACTTCCGAGGTGTGACTGTACATGCATCTCAGATCAGATGCATATGTAAGCAACTCCCCACTTTTGCAGCAGTTGCATTCCGGTGCCCCATGCACATAACTGAAAATCACATAAGTGGGGACCACCCTCCAAACACCCTTTAAATGCCCTCTCGGACACTCTCTATCCAATCCAAATTTTAAAAAAATACTGTACCACAATATATCCACAACTGGAATTGGAGCTGTGGGCATAGCTGTCAACTGTCCCTTATTTGGGGACTCGCCTTTGCTCAGCGCTTCCCAGCGGAGAGGTGACAGTGGTTTTCCTTGCTGCATCCCCTTTGCCGGGTTGCTGTGCTGTGGGAACCACCACTTGAGGCTTCGTTTGGCTGCTGGCTGGTTCTTTCTGCCTTTGGCTCGGAGGGGCTCAGAAGTTGAACATACCTGTACTTGGAAAATCCCTTATTTGGGCTGCTGATCCCTTATTTTCGAAGCTGCTGGTCCCTTATTTTCAAATCTGTAAGTTGACAGCTATGGCTCTGGGGCTGGCTGGATGCTGGAGGATGTGTGGAGAAGCAGCTGCTGCTGGGCCGCCACATGCATCAGCTGTTGGGCGGGGAGGCCGAGCAGTCTAAACAGAGCCCTGCTACATCTCCAGTCTCTTCTCCACCCTCACTGAAGTCCCCTTCAGGCTCTGGGGAGGGTCTCCTTGTGACTCTCCAGCTCTCACACTCCATTTCCTGGTATGAATTAAATTACTTAATTATTTCCCAGAGCTGCACAAGTGAGGAGCCCCCCCGTATTCTTTTCCCTGCACACTTTCTCTACACCACGTGTAAATATCATAGGGCACCCGTGTTGGAACCTGGTAACATTTATTTGTAAGCAGTCCTCTTACAACCTTCAAGCAGAGTGTTCATAAAAAGCTTGCAATGTCAGCACTTAATAATGCTTTCTGCAATATTATAATAGGCAGTGCCTTTTTTTCAGGGGATACTCAAGGCACCTCTTTTTGTTGTTGTTGTTACAGTAAGTGCCACACTTTTTAACAACTTCATGGCAAGTACCGGCACCTATTTTTCTAGGGGGAAAGCACTGGTAATTGGTGATTTAAAGATTTAAAGGTACTACTGGGTACAAACTGCCCATGGATCCTCTAAACACCAGAAACACCAGAAATTAATGGTAAAAATGTAAGAACATAAGAGCCTCCTGAATCAAGCCAATGACAGCCATATTCTTAATTAATTCTAATTATTAGTTTGCTTTTTCCTCCCTTTTTAAAGTACTTATTAATGTCTGTAAATAAGAACAAGAAAGGGGGGGGGGGAATTTGCATGCAAACAAAATAAAAGAACAGGAAAACATATTGCAAGAAACCAGTGTTTTTGCAATATAGCACGCCTTTATTTTATTTACAAATGAAGACACCCATGATTGTATGATGCTTCCTGTTTATCCCAAGTTGTGGATTTTGTGAAAGTATGTTTATGTTGACATATATTCTTTGTCCTTAAATTTCTGTTGGGGTACTAGCAGTTGGGAAGCAAGGGAAACAATGATGTCGACTTTTCATTCCTTCATTTGTATGTGAATTCCTTAGTTTATGGGAATGTTTCCTTGCAGGAAGAACCCAAATAATAATAATAATAATAATAATAATAATAATAATAATTTATTTATACCCCGCCCATCTGGCTGGGCCTCCCCAGCCACCCTGGGCGGCTTCCCAAAAAATATTAAAATACTGTAATACATCAAACATTAAAGGCTTCCCTAAACAGGGCTGCCTTCAGATGTTTTCTAAAAGTCTGGCCTTTGCCACTTAGAGATGTTTGTGCTGCTGAAATGTCTGGCCCAGATCCTTGCTTTTTGGATTTCTCTGCTAGACCAAACCAGGACAGCGTCAGACCTCTCTTTTACTATGTGTTTAAGTTTCTTTTTCTGAAGTTCTACATTTTTGAATAAACCATAAATTTAAAAGGATGCTTCACCCTCTACACTCAAAGGCCTCAGTATCTACTTCTGCTCCTTCCCATAGGCGCTGACAAGGCAGCTTCTGCTAGTTACATTGCTTACTTCCTCTGGCTCATCTCTACAATATGGTTACAACCTCTGGGTGGCCAGCCATCCATCTACGGTAAGATCAGACATGTAATGGTCTGGGATTGCAGAGGGTCAAAGATCTGTTACTATTTCTGCAGCAGGGACCCCATGTCATCTGAAACAGCATGAAACAGGAGCTTTTTAGCCACCTGTCAAAGAACGAGCCAGCAGCAAACTTTATTAGCAAAAACACAATCTGCACAGCATTGGCTGAGTGTCAGGCCTAGTGAGCACAGCAGCTCATCTCTGTTAGGCCTTATCCCATCAAATCCCTGCCTCTCCAAGTACCATCGTCTCCAGGGCTTTCCCCAAGCAATCAGAGACTACTCCTGCATGCAACCTGCCACTGCTCCACCCGTTTCAGCCCTCTTCTGGTTCTGGGAGACAAGCAGGGAGGGGAGCTTGCCGCAGCAGGAGGGAGAGACACACATGACTCTTCACCAACCTGGCTCTTGGCCTCTCCCCTCCCACTTACTGATTTCAGTTTCTGCCTCTGATTCCAGACTTCTCTCCGCAATCAAGTCAGCGGGAGTCAGCATCAGAAACGCCGCTGCTTAGGGTGATATGAAGGGTCAATTGTGCAAGGCCACCTACACCTCGTCGGTAGCAATTCTATCTTCCGCATTTCCGCTACAGTGCCAATTTGCCCTCAAATTTAAAACCCAGCCAACGAAAATCCTCCAGGCGAATGGGCAGCACCCAAAATGCCCACAGCATGTGTCCCATGTCCCATGAGATTATGCTTCACAGCAGGAGGAAGCAGGGGAGGTGGTTCGGGAAGCTGCACAACCTGTTCCAAATCTATACTGTCCTCCTGCTGGGAAGTTTCAGGATCCTGATCAGGAACAGGAGCAGAGGGAGGCTCCCACCATTCCTCCTCAGCACGGTCCCTGACACTATTGCACGAAGGAGTTGAGTGCATACCAGAACTTGATTTGTGGGCAAATCAAGTCCATTAAAGGGCTCTGCTCTCCCAGGGCAACCATTCATATCTACTCCTCCCTTTCCTAGCTCATATCAAACTTTTACAATGGCACATATCAACAGAGGAAGAATGCCAACGTAGATGAAGAAGACTATATTGATTTCCTCTACACTTTCACCATTGCAATCTATTCCCTTGGAGGCCTGATTGGGTCCCTTCTGGTCAGCTTCATGGTGGACAGATATGGCAGGTAAAGAGGGAATATGTTTATGGGGCTCTGGCACAGGGGTGGGTCCTTTTAGGCTTTGCAGGCCAGATGCTTCTCTGGTTCTAGCCTTAGAGCTGCTTGCCTGTCAGTCGCCAAATGTCACAATGGCATTAGGTGATTGGGTGCTTTGAAGTCCCAATGTCAGGACTTCAAAGCACCACACAGGAGCCCATGGTGGTGCTCTGAAGTGCCCAAGGCTTCTATTTTAACCAAGCTGACGGGTGATAGAACCAGTGTCTGATTTCCCTTGCCAATGCCACTTTAAGGCTCCTCCCTGTGCATTGGCAGCTATGCCTCTATCTGCCCCACACTTGACGTTACATATGAGGTCAAGCAAGGACAAGTGGGTGTGCTTTGAGGGAAACAGCCTCATAGGCCAAGTCTGGCCTGTGGGCTGGAGATTTCTCGCCCCTGTGTAGTGGGGTAGGAGGTGTTTATTAGGGGACATTTGGGGGTGGGGGGGAATGCAAACAGATGTGAAAATGTGGAGAGCTGAAAAAATAGGAAATGGAAATAAACAGATTTGCCCATCCCTAGCCAAGATGCAAAAGCAACTTAAATAGAAATACTTGCAAGTATAAGATTGGCTTAGGATTTAAATATGTGATGTTATAGAATAATATGTTTAAAGTTAATATGAAAAGAAAGAAAGATGTTACTCGACTAAGTAAATTTTATGAGAAATTAGTTTTGGAAAACCGTTACAATGATACACACTGAAACTCAGCCAGGGGGATTTGAGGAAGTCACTTAATAATGTTAACAAAAGTGGAATTATTACAGTTAGGATTTATGTTTGTCTGTTTGTTTATAAATTTGGAAAATCAATTAAAAAAATTAGGGGGGGGAGATGAAAAAGCAAGTTGCTAGTCCATGTGAAGTTGGCAGCTGAAGTCTCAGACGTCAAAGGAGGGGGTTGAATGGGGTTTACAGTAGTTGGGGGTTTCCAGGAGCTCTCCTGCCTTGCATAGCTCCTTGTCCTTCCCATAACTATTGAAAATAGACCAAATTGTCCACCAAAAGACCTTACTGCAATTCAGCAGCTCCTCTCCTGCTTGTTTGACGCTACTGTACATGTATTGGCTCCCTCTACCTCTCCTACCCCTTTTCCCTGTCTTTTCAGGAAAGGGGCCTTGGTAATAAATAACATTATGTCCATATTCTCTGCTGGCTTCATGGGATGTTCTGCTGTGATACATGCCTATGAATACACCATATTTTCACGCTTGGTCACTGGAATGTGCTCAGGTGAGAGAGGGCCCTGGGCTTAGTGGTTTTAGCAAAGCCACTTAAATAATGCAAGGGGCATTATCAGGGTGCAATTCCAGCGAGGCAGGAAGCACTGGAGGAGGGTTTAAAGCTGGGATGGTGAAGGGTGTGCCCTGGGGGGAGGCGTGCATCTTGGGGAGAGTCCTCAAGGCCAGATAGAGAGGCTTGGGGTGCTGCATTTGGTCATCAAATACCGTATTTATTGATTATTGCAATGTCTATTTCCCCCGCCCCCCAAAGTAGCAATTTAAATGCCTGTTACATCATGGACCAATCTCCACTACCCAACATGCAGGGGCACAGAATGCCACTCTGAAGAATGCCACCCAAAGCTGGGGCGAAGATCAATTGGCCACCTCCACCCAGCGGAAGAACCTCCCATGTTCCTTGAAAATGTTGCTGTGTCCCATCCATGCTGTTAATCGTCCCTTTGTCTACCATCTAACCAGGCATGTTCTCCTGCATCGTCCCACTATACCTTGGAGAGATATCCCCTAGAAACATGAGGGGGTCCATTATGACGGTCCCTATGATCTTTGTCACCATTGGCGTCATGGTCTCACAGATCCTTAGTCTTCAAGAGCTTCTCGGGACTGAGAAAGGTAACCTTGGCAGATCATCACAAGGGATGTTGGAGAGTTTCAGCAGAAATGGAAAAGGAAGCAGGACGTGCGGGTGCTGCTGGTCAGGATGGCGATGCTCGGCCTCCACAGTTCCAAATACCTGTTGCTGTAAGCCACAGGAGGGGAGAGGGGTCAAATCCTGCTTGTGGGTTTCCCACAGGAATCTGGCTGGCCACTGTGAGATGAGGGTGCTAGACTAAATGAGCCATTGGCCTGATCCAGCAGAGGTCTTCTTATAATCTTATGTTTATGTGATGAGGAGGAGGAGGAGGATCAGGGGAGCCAACTTGGGCCCCCGATTATGGGTGCCCAGTGTGCGTGAAGTCATGATGTCAGGTTGTAATGTGATGTCATGATGTCACGCTCGCCCACTGGCCTCAGAACGTGATTTGTGGTGGTACCGGAAGTCAGGTTCCAGGACCTCGCAACACCTCAGAAAGCCCCCCAATTTCTGTTGCCACTGGAAGTTGGGTTCCAAGGTCTCAGAAGTTCTCAGAAAGCATCTCCGAGGCCTTGGAGATGCTGTCTGAGGCCTTGCAAGACATCAGAAGTTGTGGGGGGAGGCCCTGTGGTGTGGGTGCTCAGGCATTCAGAGCCCCCCATATTTGGCACGCCTGATGATGATAATTTTATTATTTATATGCCACCCATCTGACTGGGTTGCCCCAGCCACTCTGGGCAGCTCCCAACAAAGTATTTAAGCACAATAAAACATCAGTGATGTTTGCTTATCCATCCCATGACTGGAATGGAAATCAATCAATCTGGCAAACTTAATCATTGTTGCCGTGGCTTTCTATTTGCAAATGATACATCATGGATTATGGTCCATCCATGTCAAGCTGCTGGTTGTCCAGGAATGTACAAAGACAAGGGAATGTTTTTTACCGTCCTATTTTTATTCAGTATTTAGAGAGAGGCTATAGAACCCAGCCTCTTGGATAATGGCATTGTCCCGAGTGAATCTCCACCACCTGTCTCTCTCACTTCCTCATTCATCACTTCTGCGGGTGCTGCTATGTGCCCTCTGTCTTTGAGCTCTTTGCTCTCCTACTTTCAAGGCTCGCCGGGTTCTGGGAGAGGGTAGGTCTCTGTGTCTGTCAGCTGTTGCCCCATCTGCTGCTGCTTTCTCCTCATCCTCCTTCTCTCCCATTATTTCCCAACTTTCCCCCTCATCTGCCTCAAACCCCTGCTGTAAATCTAAACTCTCTTCCTCTTCTCTGGAAGGGTCAGGCTGGGGAGGCAGTCTCCACCATTCCTTCTCTGCCCAGTCCATTCCGCAATTTGCATCGAGTTACGCTACTACGAATAAAATGTAGCAGCGTACTGGCAACATAATTTCCATCATTAATTGCACAAATGCTGTGGGTTACATAATTCCCACACAGTGGACAGTGAGAGGGAAAATACTGTTTTTGGCAGAAGGCAAACTGCAGAGGAAAGGAAACAGTGCAGCTTGAGTTGGAAAGAGGGCGGAAAGGAAAGGGATGCCTTCTCTCACCCCCAATCTTCTTGTACAGGTTGGCCGCTATTGCTGTGCTTCACTGGAATCCTGGCGGTGTTTCAAGTCATCGTCTTGCCCAGCTTCCCCGAAAGCCCAAGGTTTCTCCTGATTCAGAGGAATGATAAGGTGAAAGCCAGGCAAGGTACAATCGCCTTGAGTGCACAGGAACATTACGGCATGGGGACCCTACATAGAGGCCTGTGGGAGTCTCTGAGCAAAGGCTGGCAGCTCCCGCTCTCCCATATACAGCACTGGGAGCATCCTCAGACCTACCCAGGAGACACAAGGGGGGCGAGGAAGATAGGAAGCTTCTCCCAGTCCCACCAAGAGATGCTGGGGACTGAAACTGTGGCCAGAGCTGGCCCAGCCATTGGGCAGGGTGAGGCCATTGCCTCAGGGAACAGAAGCCCTACCAGGTAGCACCCCTATGGGCACCCTGCCTGCCCTGCCGTCTCTGCCATTGGCACTGATTTCAGGCAAGATCTCACACGATTTGGAGTGAAAGCTCCCCCCCCCAATCATTGCAATCTTCCTTGAAATCAGCGCTGGTGGTGGTGGTGCTTCTCTGCCGGTGGCAGAGGTGGCAGGGTACATGGAGTTGGCAGAGCAAGTGGGGGCAGCGGCAGTAGCAGGGCAGGGTGGCAACACATAGGAACATAGGAAGCTGCCTTATACTGAGTCTGACCGTTGGCCCATCTGGCTCAGTAAGAGGAGGCATTGTCCACACTGACTGGCAGCAGCTCTCCAAGGTGTAAGGCAGGGGTCGCCCCCCCCCGGCCAATCCTTACCTGGAGATGCCAGGGACTGAACCTGGGACATACAAAGCTCTACCACTATTCTTCCGCATTGTTGTTTCTTCATCTCTTCCTGCCCTGGTGGCTCAGCATAAATCCATTCCCTGCTCCCTTCCAGTCTTGCAGAGGCTGAGATGCCATGATGATGTGGAGAGTGAGCTTGAGGAGCTCAACCAGGAGAACGTCTCGGTAAGGGTGGAGAAGGAGATGAATGGGATGAAGCTGCTGTGCAACCAAGCCATGCGTTGGCAAATCATCTCCGTGGTCATCCTCATGAGTGGCCAGCAGCTCACAGGTGTCAATGCGGTAAGAGAGGCAGCTTCCCAGTTGGGCTAGAAGGCTGAGCGAGTGTTAATATTCATCCGAATGACCACTCATGCAGAGATGCAGCAGGGAACCTCCTTCTCTGCGTGGTGATCCCAGCTCCCAGAAGACTCTAGTCCAGGTCTAAGGCACCTGTGGACTCCCAGTGGTTGCTGAGCTACAGCTCCCATAATCTCTAGCTATTGGCCAGGATTGCAGGGGCTGATGGGAGTTACAGCTGAGCAACATCCTGAGGGTCCAAGTTCCCCCATCCCTGGACTAAAGGCTCCTGGAAGCTGAGAACATCGCCCAGGAAAAAAGAGGTTCCCTGCTGTGTCACTGTATGAGTGGCAGCTTTGGCCCATAGGTGGCTCAAGAGTTGCATAAAATTATGCAAGGTGTGCAAAAAGTAGAGAGAAGTTTTTGTCCACCTCTCAGCTACAGATGGAGGATAAATTTGATTTGGCCTTCATTTCATTGCAGACTTGCCTGATTCATACTTTCCAAAGCAATATCAGAACCAAAAGACAGCCCTCCATCAAAATCTGCACTCCTTTGAATTTTGCAATGCATTTCTCTGTCGTACTAACATGTCCAAAAGTGCATACAGTAGGATTAAAGTGTGTCTTAAGGTGCATCTACTGGTGAAAATAACAGAAAAATGTGTATTATATTAAATTGCCTTGCAGGTATGTGCATATTAGGGAAAACTATCCAAAAATATGTTTAATTGGGAGAAAAATGCACTAAAATGCTGATTAATTTTTAGGAGGACTTAGCAAAAAAACCCAACAACATGCTGGTGAAGAATACATGTGTAGAACTGGAACTCCAACTTGGAAAAATGAGAAACCGGGAGAAACCAAAATGGACAGATTCAGCCATCCCTAACCACAAGTGCTGGTGGAATTTTGACTACAGCTCCCACAATCCTCCCTGATTCTTGGGCCATGCTGGCTGGGGCTGATGGGAGCTGTAGTCTAGCAACATCTGGAGGGCCACAGGTTCCACAACTGCTCTGGAGTTGCAGACACATGGGTTAATGACATGTTGCAGAATACAAACACTGTATATATATCCCAGGATGCATTTCATTCGCTCCCACAAAATGCTGGCAGTCTGGGAGTTAAGAGCATCAGAACATGAGAAGAGCCTACTGGATCAGGCCAATGGCCCACCCAGTCTAGCATCCTGTTCTCACAGCGGCCAACCAGATCCCTCTGGGAAACCCGCAAGCAGGTCCCATCCCCAAGAGCCCTCTCTTTTCTTGTGGTCCGCAGCACCTGGTAGCCATCATGGCAAGCAGCCATTGAAAGCCATGATTTTGTCCAATCTTCTGCCATCCCTTCCTCCGGTTGGAGGGCATTCCATAGTTGTGGTTTGCTTCCAGGTGTTCTATTACTCAGAGAGAATCTATGCAACTTTGAGGGTCAAGAAGCAGGAAGCCCGGTATATCACTGTGTTGGCAAGTATTTTCATCGCAATCTCGCTGATGATCGTGGTAAGCCTCTCTCTCTCTCTCTCTCTCTCTCTCTCTCTCTCTCTCTCCCTAAAATCAAAAGTTCCAATCTGTTTCAAATGGTGTTAAAATTGCGCTGTTGTCACTTCAAAGAATCCCTGGGGGAACCCTTATAGGACATGTGCAGATGCTCCAAGTGTCCCTATTTTCCAGGGACAGTCCTGGATTTACAGAAGCTGTCCTGGTTTTCCTTAGGATGTCCCTATTTTCATCAGAGAAATATTGGAGGCTAAAGTAAAGGTAAAGGACCCCTGGACAGTTAAGCCCCATCAAAGGTGACTATGGGGTGTGGAGCTCATCTCGCTTTTCAGGCCCAGGGAGCCGGCGTTTGTCCCCAGACAGCTTTCCGGGTCATGTGGCCAGCATGACTAAACCGCTTCTGGTGCAACGGGACACCATGACGCAAACCAGAGCGCACGGAAACGCCCTTTACCTTCCCGTTGCAGCACTACCTATTTATCTACTTGCACTGGAGTGCTTTCAAATTGCTAGGTTGGCAGGAGCTGGGACAGAGCAACAGGAGCTCACCCCGTCGCACAGATTTGAACCGCCAACCTTCTGATCAACAAGCCCAAGAGGCTCAGTGGTTTAGACCACAGCGCCAACCACGTTGGAGGGTATATGGAGTTATGGGACCCCTGAGCCATCCGAAGGCAGCCCTGTATATGGAAGTTACCTCTGTTGATTCCTGGTGGCCTCATTTTATTCTCTTTCTCATTTCTGTACGCAAACTCTCTTTCTTCTCTGTTCTTATACCCTCTAGGTTTATGCCGTGGATTTAGTGGGTCGAAGGATCCTCCTCCTCACTGGATTTGCGATATGCAGCATCCTCTGCATTCTGTTAACCATGACCCTTGAACTTCAGGTTTGCTGATCAAAACCTGGTGTGATTTAGCCAGTGTCACCAGCAAGGGAAGGGCTGTAGCTCCATCACAGAGCACCTGCTTGGCATGCAGAAGGTCCCAGGTTCAGTCCACCGCAGCATCTGAAACCCTGAAGAACCACTGCTGGTCAGTGTAGACCAGGGTTTCCCAAACTTGGATCTCCAGTTGTTTTTGGACTACAATTCCCATCATCCCTGACCACTGGTCCTGCTTGCTAGGGATGATGGGAGTTGTAGTCCAAGAAGAGCTGGAGACCCATGTTTGGCAAACCCTGGTGTGGACCAAACTGAGCCAGATGGAGCATTGGTTTCCTTCAGGATAAGGCAGCTGAAAATCCACTCAGATTTGGTGTCAGGTGGAAGAGCGGGAAGGAATGTTGTTGGCGGGTCTTTCCTGCAAAAATGTATCTGGCTCTTGCATTCCCAGCCCTCCATGCTCTGCTGCAAGTGCCTTGGAACATAACCCCCACATAAATGCCGAGTTGCCTGGATCTTAATCCAGGGGTGGGGTCCCTCAGGCTGGGGAAGGGGCGCAAATGTGGCCCTCTGGCTCTCTTTGCCTGGCCCTCAGAACATTCACTAGGCCACACCCCCTCTCACCAGGCCACACCGCTCTCTGGCTGTGCTTTAACCAGGAGGGTTTTTTGCCTGTCCAGAACGTGTCCTTGAACCCTGATCACGCCTCTCGCTTGTCTTGATGGAGACATGTGTGAATGTGAGTGAAACCAGCCTACTGGGAAAGGGAGATTCCAATGGGCTCTCCTTCCCAGGAGGCTTTTTAATGTTGGATGGCCACCAGTCAAGGCTTCTTTAGCTGTGATTCCTGCATTGCAAGGGGTTGGACTAGATGACCTGGGGAGGACCCGTCCAACTCTATAACCCCTTGTCCACCCACTTTTGCCTCTGTCCCACCCGCCACTGATTTGTGGTTCGGAAGGCCCTCAATCTGAGAAGTGCTCCTCCCTCCTGCTTTAATTTAAGGCGTGCCAGGCACTCTCATTCATACATGTCTGAAGAACGCTCAACTTTTTCCCACAGGAAACCATGCCATGGATGACATACGTCACTTCAGTCTTTTTCCTCATCTTGATCTTTGGGCACATCCTTGGGCCAGGTAAGGTGACCTAGAGAGTTCCTTCAAAGAGGCAAACAGGGTGGGCCGCTTGTTTTATTTCTGTTTAAGTGGGTTTTTTAAAAAAAAATATTTATTGAAAAACAAAGAGTACATAATTACAAGTGCACAGAGTAAGATTAGACATAAAAAGAAGAAAAAATGGTACCCATGTAGAAAACAAAACTAATAATAATAATAATAATTCTATATATTACAGAAGAGAAAAAGATAAAGAAAATTGTTATTGTAGTTAACCAGACCATAACCTAATACAGTGGTACCTTGGGTTACAAACACCTCGGGTTACAAACACTTTGGGTTACAGACTCTGCTAACCTGGAAGTGGTACCTCAGGTTAAGAACTTTACCTCAGGATGAGAACATAAATCGCATGGTGGCGGTGCAGCGGCAGCAGGAAGCCCCATTAGCTAAAGTGGTACCTCAGGTTAAGAACCGTTTCAGGTTAAGAACAGACCTCCGGAACGAATTAAGTTCATAACCAGAGATACCACTGTACAGTAGAGTCGTACCTTGGTTCTCGAACACCCCGGAACTCGTACGTTTTGGCTCCCGACAATCGAAAACTGTGAGTGTTCCGGTTTTCGAACATTCTTTTGGAAGCCGAACGTCCAACGGGACTTCCACGGCTTCTGATTGGCTGCAGGAGCTGCCGCCACCACCAGGTTTGTGGTGTGGTGAACTGGCTTATACTCGAGTCAATAAGTTTTCCCAGTTTTTTGTGCTAAAATTAGGTGCCTTGGCTTATATTTGGGTCGGCTTATACTCGAGTATATACGGTATTTGATTTTTAGAAGACATCTGAAGGCAGCCCTGTTTAGGGAAGTTTTTAATGGTTGATGTTTTGTTCTGTTTTTAATATTTTGTTGAGAGCTGCCCTGAGTGGCTGGGACAACCCAATCAGAAATAATAATAATAATAATAATAATAATAATAATAATAATGGCAATGGCTCCCCTGCAAAAAGGATCCTGGGAACTGCGCCCTCAGTGAGCTACCATACTTAGCAAACTACGGTGGGAGTTTTCCAGGGAACTTTGCTACTATTTCCCACCCAGTGATCTACACTCATGGTTTATAACCTTAAGGAAGGGTTAAGGAACGATTTTCATAACGTAATGGACACTTATGTTTTCCTTGTAACGTGAATAACGTGTTATTAAAATGTGATACCTGAGGACGCTGCAGAGCAACCAGGACCCGGCAACAGGAAAACTGCATTGTTAAAAGGAAGCGACGTTTTTAATTTACCAGTTGCCCTGTGACGTTTTAGAACTATATATCGTTCTAATAATGTTTAAAAGGTCAGTGTAGATCCAGCCAAGGTTTCAACTAGGCACTTGAGAGCTCTTAACTGCATGGCACCAGTTCCTTTCGAACTGCTATGGATGAATGAGCAAGTCCATGAAAAACAGCCTCGAATCCTTTCTTCCCCGCCCAGGTCCCATACCCAACGTGATCATACTGGAGCTGTTCCTCCAGCCATCCCGCTCCATAGCCTTCATGCTCGGGGGCTTTGTGCACTGGTTCCTGCACTTCATTATGGGGATGATATTCATTCAGATAGAGGTGAGTTGTTTGGATGAGAAGAGGGTGGTCTGAACTGGTTTGGGAGCACAGGAAGATGCCTTCCACTGAGTCAGACCATTGGTCCATCTAACTCACCCAGGTGAGGAGCTTTTGGCCTTCCAGGTGTTGCTGAAGCTCTTCCCTTGTAGGCTCGTCAAACCAGAGTCTGAACATCTTCCAGAAACTACAAATGATGTCGATTTTTTTAAATGAAACTACCTGGAGGTGGACATAATATTTCTTACCTATATATTGCATTTATATCCCACCTATCCTCCCAGAAGCTCCAGGCGGCTTGCCTGGGTCTCCCCTGCACCTTTCCATTTCATCCTTACAAAAACCCTGCAAGATACTTAGGCTGAGGGTTCATGACTGGCCTAAAGTCGCCCAGTGAGCCCCATGGAGCAGTGGAGATTTGAACCCTGGTCTCTCCCAGCTCCCGGTTCGACACTATAACCACTCCACCTCACTGGCTGTGTACTAGAGGTGGGGAATACTGGCCTGCAAGATGTTGATGAAATAAGTCCTACTCCAGGGAGAGCTGCTGAAATTAATGGACTTTAGTAGTTAGCCATGTCCATTCACCTCAATGGGTCTACTTCGAGTAGGACTATCTGTATATGTGTTGTTGCTGGCATCTTGAGAGACAATGGAGTGGGGGGTGAAGTCAAACCGCTGCATTAGTAGCACCAAAGTGACCTCTCTGGGGTGTAAGCCTGGGTAGAGTGTATGGAGCTCCTGAGCTGCCAAGAAGTCAAGACACTTGACATCATCAGCCTCGATGATGTAGTCCAAAGGAAAGCAAAGTAATACGCCGGGCACCAGCTTGGCTGCAGGAGTTGCCAGAAGGAGGCATACAAGGCACCACCCAACCGTCTTAGGGACTCCACTTCTCCTGAAGATATCCCACAAGGCTGCAGAGGTTTAGGACAGGGGTCAGCAACCTTTTTCAGCCGTGGGTTGGTCCACCATCCCTCAGACCTTGTGAGGGGCAGGACTATATTTTTTTGGGGGGGAGGGAAATGAACGAATTCCTATGCCCCACAAATAACCCAGAGATGCATTTTAAATAAAAGGACACATTCTACTCATGTAAAAACGTGCTGATTCCTGGTCCGTCCGTGGGCCGGATTGAGAAGGCGATTGGGCTGGATCTGGCCCCCGGGCCTTAGGTTGCCTACTTCTGGTTTAGGATAACAGTTTTCCTTCTCCTAGATGGGTTGCCTTCCCAGGTTGGCGCGTCCTATCTGCTCCTCACTGGAAGTTGGGTTCAGGGGGCTTTCCAAGGTCTTGGAACTTGATTACCACCGCAATTCAGTTTCCGAGGCCGGGTGTGTGTGTGCATGACGTCATGACGTCACGTTACGACCTGACATCATGACTTCACGCAGGCTGGGTACCCATAATCAGGGGCCAAGTTGGCTGCCCTGATTATCATCATCATAATCATCATCATCACATAAACGTAAGATTATAAGAAGACCTCTGTTGGATCAGTCCAATGGCCCATCTAGTCTAGCATCCTCATCTCACAGTGGCCAACCAGATGCCTGTTATATATTGTGGTTATGCCCATCTCCCTTCCCACCCCCACCCCTCTCATTTTCTTATTTCAACGTTCCTTTCTAGACACGGATTGGTTCCTACACCTTCCTCCTCTTCTGGCCTCTCTGCGTGTTCAGCTTCGTTTACATCTTCAAGGTTATCCCAGAAACCAACGGCAAGACCTTTCTGGAAAACAAGAAGTACATGTCGTCAATGGCCAAGAAGGTGAAAGTCCAGGTCCAGTTCCCAATCCGGCGGACGTTACAGGTATTTTTAGTCTTTTGTTGGAAGCCGCTCGGAGTGGTTGAGGAAACCCAGCCAGATGGATGAGGTATAAATAAATTATTATTATTATTATTACTACTACTACTACAGGACAAGGACAGAAGGCGGTCAACACGCCACAGCGTCAGAAGCGACAGCGTCAGAAGGGATAGCATCAGACCCGATAGCGGCAGACAGGATAGCATCAGACCCGATAGCGGCAGACGGGATAGCGGCGGCAGACGGGAAAGCGGCGGCAGACGGGAAAGTGGCGGCAGACGGGAAAGTGGCGGCAGACGGGAAAGCGGCGGCAGACGGGAAAGCGGCGGCAGACGGGAAAGTGGCGGCAAACGGGATAGCAGCGCCAAACGGGATAGCGGCTCCAAACGGGATAGCGGCTCCAAACGGGATAGCGGCGGCAAACGGGATAGCATGAAACACAAAGAAAGCCTCAAAAGAAAACAAAGACCGTCCGTCGTTTCTTAATGCTACCTGCCCTTCGCTGGTATACGAATGACGGTTGCTTCTCTTCCTATCCAAAACCTACTCTTTTTCTGTTCAGACTTTTCTACTCTCCTACCATGAATTACTGCTATTAATATTATTACCAAATACACACCTAATTGTAGAGTCAATTATATATCTATATATAAAATCACATTAGAAACAGGTAACAAAGAAAAGACAATCATTTGCAAACACCAGAGTGAAATACTTTATACAGCAGTCCCTCACTTTACTCAGGAGTTCGGTTCCAAGGGTTTCATGTTCACATGAAAATCAAAGCAAATCCTTGGAGCTGCGCCACTCCTCCAGCAAGGCAGAGAGCGTAAAAGGTCATTTTGTACCAGGTCCACTCAGGGTTACCTGGCACAAAAAGAGCTTTTAAGCTCTCTGACTTCCTTGTGGGGTGAGGCCCTCTCAGTACGCTGGCTCTGGAAGGCTAGGGAGACCACGTGGGGAACTGACATTGCTCCGCAAGACCTCATGAGAACACCCCAGAGCTTTCCAGAGTTGGTGTGCCCAGTGGGTCTTGACCAGCAAGCTTAAAAGCACTTTTCACACCAGGTAGCCCCGAACCGACCTGGCACAAACAGAGCTTTTAAACTCTTCACCCTGCTTGGGACTTGACTTGTGCAATTTCAGCCTCCCAGGATTGAACTCACATGCAAAATGAGCAGTTACTCTTTGCCATATCGGCTTCTCCTACAGTTCTATTGTTCTATCTCATTCAAGGATTAAAAGGTATTAAAGAACAATTATAAGGCGGTATATTATTGCACACCGAGTATTACTCATTGCCCTTTTGTTAATAATAATAATAATAATTTATTATTTGTACCCCGCCCATCTGGCTGGGTTTCCCCAGCCACTCTGGGCGGCTTCCACAGAAACCAAAAATACACTAAAATCACACACTAAAAAACTTCCCTGAAACTTCCCCTGTTCTAAGTCAATGTCAGGTTCCCATCCCAAAACACGACGTCTCTTCCTTGAGAGTAAAGGGGAGATCTTTATATAGGATAACAGCAGTATTGACTCAGCAGCCAAGCACTGGGTCCGGAAGTCAGGATTCTGAGGTAGTCAAGATCCCAAGGTGAGTGGGCATGGCAAGAGGTTCATAACCGAACAGACACTACAAAGATGTCCCTACAGTTGATGTGCTCTTCCCGCCAAGCTCTTAAAGACAAGGCAGAATGAGCTCATGCACAAGACTCTCTTGCCCATTGCTCTGGGTGGGTGAGTCTGATCCCACCTACAAAGGTGTCCCCAGGCTCTTGAAGATTAGACAATCATTATTATTACCTTTGCGACCCTGGTGACGCTGTGGGTTAAACCCCAGAGCCTAGGATTTGCCGATCAGAAGGTCGGTGGTTCAAATCCCCGCAACGGGGTAAGCTTCCGTTGCTCGGTCCCTGCTCCTGCCAACCTAGCAGTTCGAAAGCACGTCAAAGTGCAAGTAGATAAATAGGTACTGCTCCGGCGGGAAGGTAAACGGCGTTTCTGTGTGCTGCTCTGGTTCGCCAGAAGTGGCTTAGTCATGCTGGCCACATGACCCGGAAGCTGTACGCCGGCTCCCTCGGCCAATAAAGCGAAATGAGCGCCGCAACCCCAGAGTCGTCTGCGACTGGACCTAATGGTCAGGGGTCCCTTTACCCTTTACCTATTATTACCTTTATAGCCCACCTTTCCTCCAATGAGCCCAAGGTGGTGTACACAATTCTACCTCTCTTCACAACAACCCCATGAGGTAGGTCAGGCTGAGAGATGGTGACTGACCCAAGGTCACCTAATAAGCTTCGTGGTCAGTTGGAGGTTTGAACCCACGTCTGCCAAGTTCTAGTCCAGCACTCTAACAGTTACACCACCATGGCTCTCTGGTCATCAGTTTCCAACTCTGCCTCTACCCCTACCTGTTCAGCCCCTTCCCCTTGCTGGTCAAGAGGGGCAGGGGAGAGAGTCAGCAGTTCTGCCCCCCCCCCGCCTTGTACCTGACACAGGGACCTTCCTCTGCCATCCCTAGGTACCAGTCTTACAGCCCGCCACCTGCTCCTCCTTCTTCCTCCCATCTTGGGCTGCCAAACCAGGCCAGATTCAAGGGCCTGCCAAGGATATTTTGACACCTGAGGCAAACCACAAAATGGTGGGGGGCACCTCCCAAAGGGCAAAAGGGGTGAGGGAAGATCTAATATCAGGAACAAGGAAAAAATAACGATCTGTATCAAAAGCAAGGGTGGGAAGAGATGAGCAGTGCCTCCTATTTGCCAAGATGCCTCTGTAATAATAATAATAATAATAATAATAATAATAATAATAATAATTATTTATACCCTGCCCTTCCCGGTTCAAAAACCGGGCTCAGGGCGGCTAACAACAAATTTAAAACAATTGTAAAAGCATCTTAAAATACAGCATAAAAACATGAATAACAATAAAATTCAAAATTCAGAAATCAATTTAGGGGAAATAAGCATTAGATAATCCCCAGGGCTAGCTGGCTGAATTGGTCCTATTTGGGCCAGCAAGGAGGCCAGGGGAGAATTAGCTGTGGGGTCTCAGAGCGGGTAATCTTTATAAAAGAGGAGGTGAGGGAAGAGAAGGGAAATAAAATATCAGGCTGAATTCAAATTAAAGGCCAGGCGGAATGGCTCTGTCTTACAGGTCCAATGGAAGGAGTTAAATCCTGAAGGGCCCTAGTCTCATGGAACAGAGCATTCCACCAGGTCGGAGCCATCACTGAAAAGGCCCTGGCCCTGGTAGAGGATAGTCTGACTTCCTTAGGGCCCGGGACCTCTAAACTATGGTTATTCATGGACCTTAGGTCCTCTGTGGGGCATACCAGGAGAGGTGGTCCCGTAAATAGAGGTGGCATTGGGGGGCTGCTGGCTTCCAAGGAGCATGCTGGGGCTGTTGCTCTCACCATGGCAGTGGCAGCAGCCAATGCATTCATTGGAGGCCGAATCTGCTGTCCCTATGAATGCTGCCTCCTAAGGTGGTTGCCTCAACTTGCCTCATGGTTGCGCCGGCCTTACCAAATCCTTACAGGACTGAGGGGCACACAACAGTAAGCTTTGTCATTTACGTAATTTCCCACTTCCCACCCACCCAATCTACTGTAGCTGGAAGATTTTAGTTTTTCCAGAATTGGGCCATACATCATCATTATTTTGCCCCAATCAGCACACTACTGAGCAGTCCTGTATTAGGGGCTCTTAGCTTCTTGTTTGCAGTGTTTTGAGGTTTCCTGTAACTGCATCCGGGAGAACTGCCTACAAAAAACGTGTCTGTCGGGGGAAATTTGCCCCAAACCCCTGATGAATCTTTGTGAGGGCTTTAAAAATCAGAAACCGGTTTAATCCCCACAACAACCCTGTGAGGTAAGTTAGGCTGGTCCAAAGTCAGGCCCAAAGAGCTTCATGTGGTCAAGAGCAGGGGATCCGCACCCTGGTCACCTATGTCCTAGTCCAACTTCCCAACCACTACGCCATGCTGGCTCTTTCGATGGGTCTACTCTGAGTAGGGCTCGGCTAGCGACAACCCAATAATAACAATCTTGCATGTGGCTGAGTTAAGGCCGCCTGGCATGCTCACTGCTCAGCTGCTCAGCCACGATGGGATCCTGGTATACCTAATTCAATCACCTGGCCTTCCAACTGCCAACAGCTCCCCCAAATGGAATCTTTCAGCATCCTTCCTCTGATTGGCTCTTGCAATACTGCCTGCCCTTTGATGTCTTTCTTTCAAGAGAAAACAGGGCGGGGCTGATTTCACCCCTCTACTTCCAAGAACAGAAAGCTGTGGTAAGTTGCTGTGCCTTGCATAGCTGTCAACCTTCCCTTTTTTGGCGGGAAATTCCCTTATTCCAGCGCCGTTTCCCGCTGCTTCCCGCTGCTATCTCGGATTGTTAGATATCCCATAGACTGTCCCCGGGACAGGTGAGGCTGCTGATCCCTTATTTTCAAATTTGAAAGTTGACAGCTATGGTGCCTTGAGGGGGTGGGTTGGCTCCCTACAGACAGACTTCACCGCTACCCACTTCTGGGACTGTTGACCCAATGGATTACCTTGGAGGACAACTGCTTCGGTTTTCCCTCCATCGTTTCTGACTTGGTTTAAGTCTGGGAGTAGGAAACTTGTCCCCCCCCCCCAGGTGTGGTTGGACCACGACTCCCACCCCTGCTTCCTGTTGGCCATGCTGGCTGGGCCTGATGGGAGTTGAAGTCCAAGAACAGATGGAGCCCACAGGCTCCCTATCCCTGCCTTAATCAGTTGTATTAAAAAGCCAGAACAGGCACTCATGCAGAGACTGAGCAGGAAGCCTCCTTGTCTGGGTGGCACTCCCAGCTCCCAGAAGTCTGCCTCTCTGTGTTCGTGATTTCTTTAAACATTCAGGAGACAAGTCACAGGCTTTAAGCATGTCCCTGCCACGAGCATTCACTACCACAAGACATACCTCTAGCTTTTTAGACTTTTTTTGTTTCCCACCCTGGGACTGAAAATATTCAGTGAAAAGTGGACTATAAACACCACTATTAAGTAAGTAAGTAAGTAAGTAAGTAAATGCATTTTGTAGGAGGGTCTCCAGCACACAGGAGAAATTTAGGTTTGTGCAATTGAAGTGGATTAAAAGGCAATATCACCCCAGTGCAATAAACACATTTTTGAAAAGAAAAAAGGAACAGACTTTTTGCAGCTTGGAAAATGATGTGGAAATGCCTAGAAAAGTGTTGAAGGAAGGAATGCCTGACAAGCAAATCAGGCTGAGTGCTGAGCTCACCATCATATAATCACCCTGCGAACAATGTGGTATAGTGGTTAGAGTGTCAGACTAAGGCCCAGATGGCCAGGATTCAAATGCCTACTCAGCTATGAAGCTCACTAGGTGACCTTGGGCTGATCACTGTCCTCTCAGCCTAACCTGCCTCCCAGGGCTGTCATGAGGAGGTGGAGAAACATATACCGTATGTCACTTTGAGCTTCTTGGAGATAAAGGTGGGATGTAGACTGGATAACTTATTTAAAAAATAATAAGTGAAGAGGGTAGTGAAATTAAATTTTAAAAGTTTGAAGAATTGCCAAGTATGTTAATAAACTGGTTGCAATATTATCAACTAAATGAATTGTTTAAAACAGATAAAAAGTTAGGTTTTGGGAACCAATCATTCCAATTGGAGAAAGACCTGCTAGATAGTAATATTAAGGTAATTTCAGAAACGTATAAGATAAGCAAACAAAAGATGAGCAAGTGAAATCTTCTATGATACACTGGGCAGTGGATAGAAAAAAGGAATAAATCTGAATCAAATGTTTGCTGGAAGTGCAAAGAAAAAGAAGGTACCTTTTTCCATATGTGGTAGACTTGTAAGAAGGAAAAGCCTACTGGGAAATGATATACAATGAGCTGAAAAAAATGTTTAAGGTAACTTTTTATAAGAAACCAGAGGCTTTTCTTTTAGAGATTAGAGATACCTAAACAATATAAAAACTTTTTTATATATGTGACCACAGCTGCTCGTATGATATTTGTCCAAAGATGGAAAGAAGACAATGTTCCAACCAAAGAAGAATGGCAACAAAAAATTATTGGAATATGTAGAAATGGCAAAACTCACCGGAAGAATAAGAAATCAATACAACAAAGTATTTGATTTAGTGTGGAAATTGTTTATTGAATATTTTATAAACTATTGCAAACAGATACAATCATTAGCAGGTTTAACGTAAAGACGTGCAGTGTGATAAAACTAATTTCCAATATATGGGTAAACTAATAATTAGGCTTAAACAGGGAGTTGCTGTAAAGATACTATAAATATAAGAAACCACAGAAAGGGAGGAGGCAGGCAGAAATGGAGTTTTGAAATTTGATGTAAAACAATATCTTTTTTGTTTGATGGGAAATGGAAAATGATACACACACACACACACACACACACACACACACACAAATATATATAGGAGAAAGGTGGTATATAAATGCAATAAAATAATCGATAAATCAAAGTGAACTCTCAGCAAAGACTGATGATTGGCAACTTCCGGGTTGGCGCCTCTGGCAATGGCGGATTTCCTCCGATCGGGAGGAATCCGCTCCGTGGAAAACAGGGTCTGAACCGCCACGGCGAGGCGGAGACCCATCAAAAACCACAGGTGGGAGAAGCCTGTGGACGTGGGATTCGGCTGGCACCTTTGCGCCCCCCCTACTCGCGGGAAAACCCTACTTTGGGGATCCGGAGCGACGTGGGGTGAGTGGCGCGGTGCTTTGAATCGACTGCTTCTTTCACGGAGTGAAGCTGCATTGCTGTTGCCGGAGAGCGCTGACTTTTTCCTGTGGACAATTGGATTTCAAACAACTGCCCGTGAGTAGAACGGAAAATTGGACTATGAAATTTCTTAATTAGGCACCAAAAGCAGGAAGGTCTAAACAGGAAGTCCGCCTTCCGCTTTTGTAGATAGATTGAAGCAAAAACACGGCAAGCTAGAGTTCAGAAAGTCGTTTGGAAAGGACTAAATTTTCATCATTTAAAATTACTGAACCCCGCTTGGAAGCAGGAGAAGAGGGGGGAACCTTTTTTAGACTGTTTAAACCTGCAGAAGAGAGAGTAAAGAAAGGTAATTTTCCATCGTCTTGAACCTGGGAGCGGGGTGTCAAGACAGATGTTTTGGAGAAGCTCCTTGACTATGGACAAACGTTTTTGACAGATAGTTAAAAGAACAGAAACATATTGATTCCATTGTTCCCTTTCGCTTTTAAAAGGAACAAAATATCAACAAAATATCCGAAAAAGGAAAACTTTGTTGCTAAATCTGCTTTAAAAAAAAAAAGGGAAAAAAAGATGGATACAAATAGAAATTGTTTCCCCTAGAGGGAGCTTGTGAAACTGTTATTAAAGTCGAACTGGGGAGTTTTGCAGCTGTAAAAGATTAAAGATCGTGGGACCAGACTTCGACCTTGAACAAGAATGTGCTCAGAGGCTCTGGTGCTTGCCTTTTGCAAGACAAGTGCTTTATTGGAACAGTTACATGAGAAAATGGATTTGATGACAGTTGCGATAGGAAATTTTGGACAGGCAGTGGGTACCTATATAGAACCCACTCAGGAATTAATCCAGGAATGTGCTTTGACAGATGAGATGAGGGAGGAGGCTGTTGTTGGACCTTGGGTGGCAGAGATGGAGGGAGCTGTGGCCCAGCAGGAACATGAGTCGTTGGATTTGATGAATGAACCTGGAAAAAGTCAGATTTGGAGAGATGGAGTTCTGCTTGGTTTGGAGATGGGGGGCTGGATGGACCCCCCTATGCAGAGATGTTTTGATTTTTCAAGTCTGGCTTTAGGCTGGGAGGAGCTCGGAGTTGTGGGGCCCCTAATTTTGGAGGGGCCTTGAAACATGCTTTTAAATACCACATGGATTTCAGTGTTGACTATGGAAAAGGGGCTGACTTGTCGAGAAGGGACAAAAATATTGTCAAGTTGGAGTCTCCCAGAGTGAAAGGAGCAGAAGACAAAGTAAAGTACAGGTATAAACATGAAGAAGACCTGCGGAAGGGACATGGAAAAGACTTAAGAGCCTTGGATATAAGGTCACCAGGTTGATGGACTAGATGGATGGGATAGAAAGGACTGACAAAACCCGAGACCAGGAGAAGAGACGATGGATGAAGATTGGAAGAAAGTTTTAAAAATTTATTTAGAAAAGTATCGTAAAATTAATGAGTATTAGAAAAATGTTGGAATGAAATTATTTGGCTTTAGCAGAAATGTTAAAAAGAATTATGTAAGAATATGCTATGGTTAAAAGAATTCGGTATAAATAAGATTTAAGTTTTAAGTTTTAGGGTTTTTTATGGTAAGATAAGGTTAAAATAGATTAAGGTAATTTAATGACAGAATATTGTGAAAGATGGAAAGGATTTGCTGAGATAATTAACAACTAGAATACAAAAAAGGGAGATGTGAGGAGGTCGATGAAATAAGTTAATGAAAGTTAAGGATTTGGGAATATTGGATTTGTTTTTAAATTTGTTGTTTATTTTTGTTTTTTGATTGTGTTGCATTGTGTGTTTTGTTTTTTCTTTTTGATTTTGGTTTTTATTGATTTGTATTGTTTAATTGTTACTTTTATCTACTTTTTTCTTTCTTTTTCTCTTTCTCTTGTTTTTTCTTTCTTTTTTTCTTTGTAACTTTAAAATTCTCAATAAATATCATTTTTTAAAAAAGACTGGTGATTGGCATACATTTAAAGGGGACTGTAGCTTGTAAAGGGTTTGGGGAACTGTAGGTCAGTAAGGGGCAAACTATAGTTCCCATTATCCTTTGGTGGAAGCCATAGGGTTTAAATGCGTGGTGTGTACATAGCCATAATCAAACCCCTGCAAAAACAAATCAGGAGGGATGCCCAGTAAACAGGCTGTCAGGAGGAGCTGTCCATGGACCATTTAGTCAAGCATAGGCAAACTCCGGCCCTCCAGATGTCTTGGAACTACAATTCCCATCATCCCTAGCTAACATCCCTAGCTAACAGGACCAGTGGTCAGGGATGATGGGAATTGTAGTCTCAAAACATCTGGAGGGCTGGAGTTTGCCTATGCCAGGTTTAGCTATTCTTATGTTCTTAAAGAAGTTGCAAGAGATAATAACCGCCTGACAAAATGTCCCTCTTCTTTCCCCCACAGCTGAGACTCAATTATGAAAACTACCGGAAGAAGCATTGATAGCAAGGCAGTGCTGGAACCAAAGCCCGTAGTCCGCAAATGGGTGAGTTTGGACATGGCCAACTCCCTGCAATGCAGGAATATGCAGCTGTCCCACATGGGGATTGAACTTGCAGCCTTGGCATTATCCCCACCATGCTCTAACCGTCCAATTTGACCTAAGAGGCCATTTTTAAAATTCAACCCTCCCACATCAAACAAGTGACATCACACAACCAGAATACTGGGGAGTGTTCTGCTGTTGCACTCAGGTCCTGCTACGTTCTTTTCTAAATGATGCTGCCGGCTCCCAGAAGCCTTTGGTCCAGCAATAGGGGGAACTGTGGGCCTTCTAGATACTGCTGAACCGCAGCTCCCACTAGCCCTGACTACTGACCATGCTGGCTTGGGGCTGATGGGAAATGGAGTCCAGCAATGCCTGGAGGGCCACAGGTTATATCACCTTGCACCATAAACACTCCTCCTATGAGCAGAACTCTGCCCACACTGCCTTAAGATCCAAGCCATTTGTCTTTCATTAACTATGTCCTATGCATTGATGGGGACACGGGTGGTGCTGTGGGTTAAAGCACAGAGCCTAGGGCTTGCCGATCAGAAGGTTGGCGGTTTGAATCCCCGTGACGGGGTGAGCTCCCGTTGCTCGGTCCCTGCTCCTGCCAACCTAGCAGTTCGAAAGCACGTCAAAGTCCAAGTAGATAAATAGGTACCACTCCGGCGGGAAGCTAAACAGCATTTCCGTGCACTGCTCTTGTTCGCCAGAAGCAGCTTAGTCATGCTGGCCACATGACCCAGAAGCTGTACGCCGGCTCCCTCGGCCAATAAAACGAGCTGAGCATCGCAACCCCAGAGTCGGTCACAACTGGACCTAATGGTCAGGGGTCCCTTTACCTTTACCTTACGCATTGATGAATGCTTTGCCTGACAGCTGCTCTTATCTGCTGCTTTGATTTCCTGTAGGAGGTGACAAATTCGCTTCTCCGAACAGTGCTGGTCACCAGCTTGGGATCTATCCAATATGGTTACGTCATCTGGGTAGTCTATTCCCCAGTGCTGGTAAGAGGACCCTGCGGCACAGGCGGTTTCTTACAACAGGGGCTTCTGACTAAGCTTCTGGGAGTTAGCAAATCATGGAACAGTAGAGTAGGAAGAGACCCCCAGCGGTCATCTAGTTGAACCCCTTGCGATCCAGGAATCACAGCTAAAGTCATCAGAGATATTTTCAGGTTGTATCTAGGGGTGGAGAGAAATTTGAAATAGTTTGTGTTTTAAGGGCACAACTACCTAGAATACACTTTCCAAAACTGGAACACCCTTCAAAATTCACACTTCTCAGAATTTTGTGGTGCAGTGTTTCAGCTAGTGTATACAAAAAATAAAATGTGTATATTATTAGTGCAGATAAATGCATATATATTAGTTAAAATAAGATAGGCTTCCCACCAGGTTTTACTCAGCGTAGTGCCATAGGGGTCTCCTAACAACTCTCAGCATCCTTAACAAATGAAATCATTTGGTGACGATGGAGCCTTGGTCTCTTGCAGCAAAAACTCGAAAGTGTCTAGTGGGACTTTAAAACAGGTGTGGAGGATCTTTCTTCAGCCCAAGGCTCACATTCCCTTCTGAGCAACCATTGGTAGATGCCGTTGGTGGACAAGGCTGGAGGAAGAACCATTTACAGAAAGAAGAAAACAATGAAATGCTTAGGTTTTATTTTACAAAGTTGAAATCAACTATTTAAAACCTTTTTAAAAAATGAAAATTAAAATCAATGGTAAGCCGAAAACCGGATTCAAACAGACACCAACGCTCTATGTGTCTGTATAGGCTTTCTCAAAAGAAAACGTTTTTAGCAGTCGCTGAAAAGAATACAGTGAAGGCGCCTGCTTGATATCAAGAGGCAGGGAGTTCCAAAGTGCAAATGCTGCCACTCTAATAGAGAGAAGTTCTACATATGAGTATTATGTGGCACCTGCAAGGGTGCCAGTTCCTTCTGATTAGGATGTGTTGTGGATACACTAACCCTGCCCATGATATGATTTCCTCTCTTAGCTCATGGAAGACATGGGTAATGCTGCGAAGAATCCAGGAGAGCAGCAGTATCTGCTCTTCATGCTAGGCCTTGCCATCAGTTTGTTCCCTATTGGAGGCCTTACTGGAGCACTCATCGCAGGAGTCATGGTGGATGAATATGGAAGGTATATATAGATGACCTGGTGATTAGTGAACTTCCAGTCCTAACTTTGGACGTGGGGCAGGTGGGCAGGGGAGTGGGGCTTCTGCTGAGCCCTGTCTCCCCAGCCGAGGCTCGATTTAACTTCTGGCTGAGGAGGTTCACCCTGTAAAAAGGCATCCCACATTTTAACAAAAGATATTCAGCCAGCTGAAATAATGCCATCATTTGGGTGGCATTCGACAAAGCTTTTACTCAGAGCAGACCCATTCAAATGAATGAGCCAGACTGAGTGAGCCCCCCCTGATTTCAGTGGGTCATCTCTGAGCAAAACTCAGCCAATGACTGCCCTTAGATTTTAAGCGGAAATGCAAGGAATCTTGCAAAAGATGTACTGTATTGCCATTGAGATGGCTGGTGTGGCTCAGACACCACATCAAAGAAAAGGAAAGAAGTACCAGCCTCTGCTTAATGGTTTCCCTCATTCTGTGGACTTTCTCCATGCTAATAGGGCTGCGTACATACCATGTATTCGAAGCACAAGGCTTTCCCCAAAGAAACCCGAAGACTGCAGTGTACCTTTCACAGAGCTACACTTCCTGGCACCCTTAACAAGCTACCATTCCCAGGATTATTTGGATTACAGGAACTACTGTTTAGAAAGTGCCCAAGTTTTTATTTGGATTTTCCTATTCCCTCCATATCCCTTTTCCTTCCGTGACTTTTGTTGTTGTTGTGAGAGGGGTTTTTTTAGATTGTAAACCTGCAGATAGGGACTGGCTGCCTTGCTTTGGTTTTACTAAGCCTCCCTGGGATCCCTTTTGGTATAAAATTAAGCTAAACATAGGATCAGAATTAAATAAGTCTTGAAAATAAGTAGCCGGGTTGCCAGGTTATACAGCTTTATGATCCCAACTAATTCCCCTCCCCTCTCTGGTCCTGCACCCACCATGTCCTCGGATGATTCTTCTGGGATGAACAAGGTACGCAGGTGTATCTTTGACTGAGCCGGGATTAGAAATTTAACGCCAGCAGAGCCAGGAGTCAGCCCGCTGAGACGCACAACCTCCTAAACTGCTCCTCCTGGCAGATCTTGCTTCCCCCAAAGGATGCGTGGAACTCTTCCAATCATTCCACATGTTCATTGGCCCAGTCATTCCCTTCCTTTCCCCACTCTTTCCAGGAAAGGTGCCTTGCTGATCAATTGCTTCTGCTCCATGGTGTCCTCTATGTTTATGGTTTGCGCCACTGTGGTGCAAGCCTTCCTGTTCACAATGGTTTCACGCTTCATCGTTGGAATAACCATAGGTGAGTCGGGCTACTTCCTGGATTTAGTAAGGGTGTGGGGTTAAGAGAAAAATCTGAGTTGGGAAGGAACCAGTGCTTGCAATTCAAAGACGTCCTGTGCACATATCAAAAGAAGAACCTCCCCACCACCACCACCTTAATAATAATAATAATAATAATAATAATAATAATAATAATAATTTATTATTTATACCCCGCCCATCTGGCTGAGTTTCCCCAGCCGCTTTGGGCGGCTCCCAATCAAGTGTTAAAAACAATACAGCGTTAAATATTAAAAACTTCCCTGAACAGGGCTGCCTTCAGATGTCTTTTAAAGATAGGATAGTTGCTTATTTCCTTCACATCTGAAGGGAGGGTGTTCCACAGGGTGGGCACCACTACCGAGAAGGCCCTCTGTCTGGTTCCCTGTAACTTCACTTCTCGCAATGAGGGAACCGCCAGAAGGCCCTCGGCGCTGGATCTCAGTGTCCGGGCTGAACAATGAGAGTGGAGACACTCCTTCAGGTATACACTGCTTTGGGGAGCCTCCAGCCCATGGGCCAAACCTGGCCCATCAGCAGGGATGTAGCTAACAATAATGATAGCAATTATAAATATTTTTTAAAAGACCGTTTAGAAAGAGCAACAGCACACACATCGGCCAGATTTGGATCCAAGACAGATACCAGCTGCTGAAATAGCAGGTGCCAAAAAAGCAATAGAGAAGGTGCCTGCCTGATACGCAGTGGGAGGGAGTTCCAGAGGCTACGTGCCGCCAAACTAAAGGCATGATTCTGGCCATCATGTGGAATGGACCTCCTGGTAGGATGGCATCTGCAGAATGCCCTCTCTTGCAGAACACAATGTCTGGTTGGGTAAGTGGGAGATGTTTGTATGCTTCTATGGCTGTCACATGCCTACTGTGAATAATGCCTTGATTTATCCCCTAACCAGGCATCTTCTCCATCGTGGTCCCATTATACCTCATAGAGATCTCCCCACTGAACATGAGGGGAGCCATTGGCATGCTGCCTCACTTCTTTCTAGCTGTAGGTGTCCTCCTGGCTCAGTTACTCTCTTTTCCTGAAATGCTGGGGAACGAAGAAGGTAAATCAGAGAAGAGCACCTCTTAGCCCAAAGGTCATGGTAGAATTGTAGAGATGGAAGGTATTGCCAGGGGTCATTTAGTCCAACATGCTGCAATGCTGGAAAGAGTCTCCAACAGATGACTCAACTCCCAATGAAGAAGAGCTCGCCACCTTCTGAGGGAGACAGTTCCACGACCCCTCCAGTTCCATGTGGTGCTCACAAGCACCAGTGAACCCCCACCAGTACCACCTATGGTGCCCACAAAAAGTCTTACATGTGCCCACTTGGATCCCAGGATCGGACAGCCAGCGACCCATCAGTTCTGAACAGAGGAGAAGTACAGTGGTAGCTTGGTTCTCAAACTTAATCTATTCCGGAAGTGCGTTCCAAAACCAAAGCGTTCCAAAACCAAGGCATGCTTTCCCATAGAAAGTAATGCAAAACGAATTGATCCGTTCCAGACTTTTAAAAACAACCCCTAAAACAGCAATTTAACATGAATTTTACTATCTAACGAGACCATTGATCCATAAAATGAAAGCAATAAACAATGTACTGCAGGCACACAATCAATCAGTAGCTGAACTGGGTTCCACACAGTCACAAAAACAAAAAAAGAGCCGCAAAAACAAAAACGCAAAATAAATAGCAAAAACAAACAGACCTCAGCGTAACACTCAAAACAGAGCACATTTGCCTTCTGAAAAAAGTTCACAAACTGCAACACTTACTTCTGGGTTTGCAGTGTTCGGGTTTTAAGTTGTTTGAGTACCAAGGCATTTGAGAACCAAGGTACCACTGTACAGAAACCTTCTCTCTGTGAGCAAGCATAGCGATGGCTGATATAGGTGCCTCCCCCTGCCTGTTGATGTGGGGCACACCCATGGTTATGTCTCTTTTCTTTGCTTTTCCCCCCTTTTAAATGTGGCCACCATAACACCATGCCCCCACAACAGCCATTTCCCCACATCCCCACGGCAGCCATTTTGTATTATACCCCCATGGCAGACATTTTGTGTCATGCCACGCTTTCCCTCATGACAGCCAATGGCTAGCACCGATGGCACTTCCCCAAAGGTGCCCACTGACCCAGGAAGGCCATTGATTCCCTCCCTTAGCGTTGGGCAATTCTGTTGTGCCATCTGAGCTGATACCTTTCAAGAGCCAGGGTGGCATGGTAGTTAGATTGTTGGGCTAGGACCTGGGAGGCCAGGGTTCAAATCCTGACTCAGACCTTGGGCCATTCCCAGTCTCTCAGCCTAACCTCCCTCACAGGGTTGCTGTGAGGATAAGATGGGGAGGAAGAGAAGCACGTACGCCACCTTGAACTCCTTGGAGGAAAGGTGGGGTGTAAATGTAATAAATAAAATTAATTGCTCCTTCTTGCGCAGATTGGCCAATACTGACAAGTGTCCCTGGAATACTGGCATTATTTCAGACCATTGTCGTTCCTTCCTTCCCCGAAAGCCCCAGGTATCTACTGATTCAGAAAAATGATGAAGAAAAGGCCATGCTAGGTAATCACATACATGAACCACTTACATATTGGAGGGTGAGGGATAATAACATTCAAAGTCTTATTAGTGTTTACCTGAGAAGACAATCTGAGAATACAACTGATAGCGCCTAGTGCTTTTTCTGGATGAAGCATGTATGTTTGGTGGGGTGAGTCTGGATGGCCTCTTAGGCAACACTCCAAATCTGTCATTCTTGGTTCTCAGAGAGAGAACAGCTGAAATCATTATCCTGAATCATACCATTGGTCCATCTAGCTCAGTATTGCTTACACGGACTGGCAGCAGCTCTCTGGGGTTTCAGGCAGGGATCTCACCTAACCCTTCCCGGCGAGCCTTTTCAGTGGTGGCTCCCCTCTTGTGGAGGGCTCCAGTTTCTTCTTTGGAGGTGACCTCAGTTGTGTTTGTGGGATGTAATCCATTGGTGCAGTCAAATGCAACATTCCTTGTTTCCCTAGAGTGGGCACAGGCAGGGGACATCCAGTGTAACTTCCTGTTCCACTGCTCTGGAGCATCCTCCTCCTGCATGTGACCTGGGAGATGGGCGTGGCTCTGGCTGACTCCATAAAAGAGCCGAGTCATGCAGCTATTTTCTCAGTCTGAATTACTTGCTTCACTTGCTCTCTTGCTTGCTGCTCTCTTGCTGCCATGCTGCTCTCCTGCAGCCATTTTGTTCTCTTATTAATGTACCGTATTTTTCCGTCTATAAGACGCCCCCATGTATAAGACGCTCCCTATGTGGGGCGACTCTGATTTAAGAAAATGGGAAATATCTATCCATGTATAAGACACCCCCAAATTTTGGACATTATTTTTTAGGGAAGAAACCTAGTCTTATACACAGAAAAATACGGTAATTTTTGCTGTCTACTGGCACTCAGCCAGCTCTGAACAACAACAAGCAACACGTTGGCTAATAATATACCGACAATATTTTTATAACACTATAAACAGAAGACATATAATATGTGCATGGAGTCACAAACGAATAAGAATCAGATAAATGTTCCATAACCAGGAATGGTAGGATTGGTAAGTCACTGTCAAGGATCACTGAAATAGAGGAAGAATGCCTTTCCACAGTCAATATCCTATCCAAAATATAGTTGGAAGTAAGTTGGAGCACGGTGGTGCTACGGGCACAACACTACAAACGTGAGATGATGGGTGCTCCAAATGTCGCAATAGGGTGCTCCAAGCACAGCACCAGACAGAACAGTTCTTCCAGGATAATGAACTGTTTCAATGATGGATCTTCGCCAGCAAATTAATAATCCCCAAAGGTACATCAAATGGCCGTGGATCAGCTATCACTCAAAAGTAAGCACATGAGTTCAGTCTTCATATGAGATGAACTCACAGTTTGTTGTGTAACCACTAAGTAAAGCCTGCCTTTCTGGGATCAAATTGTGAACTGAAATGTGAGTAAACTTTTTGTTACTTTACTCAGAAAGACTCTTGTGTCTTTATTCTTTTAAGGGGGAATAAACTTAACTAAGAGATTCAAAAGAATCTGCAAACTAGCTTCCAGCTATATTGAGGGGAATTTGCTCTGCTACATCACTTCACTAGCCTGAGTGAAGAAAGGATAATACTTATTCAATATATCCTTTCCTACTATCTTTAACATTCCCACAGTGTTTTCCGTGAAGCTCCATTGAATGTAGCAGAACACCCATCAATCGATTGATCGATTGACAGGTAATAGAACTAGAACACCATTCTCTTGAAACGGAGGCAGCTTATGTTTGCAGTGCTCCCAAACGCTTAGCTTTGGCGCATGCAGAACAGCTCCTCCTTGGTGTCTTTCTCCAGAGTGACCCTAGGAGCCAGTCCTCAGTGGCCGACTCACCTGTCTTCACTCAGATTGGCTCCAAGCATCACAACGGGTGAGGTGGAACATCTTCTCAGTGGCCAAAAAGCTGGCTGGGTGTCTCTGGGATGCTGGAGACCGGGAACCCGCTGCAGAATTTGTAACTGGTTTTTGCCCCCCCCCCCACTACACCTCTTGTGTTTGGTACTGCAAGAAACTCTCCCCACCAGCCTCTGTCCCCCGCTATTCAAAGGCTTTTTCCATTGCTGCTTCTTTCCAGCCTTGCAGAAGCTGAGGCACAATGAGGATGTGCAGGAGGAGATAGAAGAGTTGCAGCAGGAGAAGATGGCTGAGAAGACGGAGAAGAGCATGAACTCACTTAAGCTGCTGTGCTTCCCAAGCCTGCGGTGGCAAGTCCTCTCAGTCATTATCTTGATGTGTGGCCAACAGCTCTCTGGAGTCAACGCAGTAAGGAAGGCAATATCCACAAGCGGTTAGAACAAGGGAGGGGAAGTGGGACCCTTGGCCGTCCAGGTGCGGCTGGACTACAACTCCCATCAACCCCAGCAAGGACGGCCAATGGCTGCGGGTGTTGAGAGTTGGCGTTCCAGGGCACTTCCAATGAAGCTGAGCTTTAGAAGATTCAGGGCGGAGGGAAAGAAGGACTTCTTCATAGATAAACTATGGAACTATGGCCCCACACAGGAGGCCGCGATGGCCACCACCTCGGGTGGCTTTAAAAGAGGATTGGGCAAATTTGTGGCACAGGCAGCGCCGCATTTAGGGTCACAAGCAGTATGGGCTGAGCTTGTTTTGCATCCAAGCTCCGTCAGCCTTTTGGGGGCCCAGTGGCCATGTTTGGAATGTTGAGGGGAGTGCCGTGGGCACCAGTCACAAAATGGCTGCTGGGCAGGAAGGAGACATGAAACAAAATGGCTGCCACATCCAAAAGAGCAGAAAAGGGGGCATCACCCCCCAGATGGTGTGTGGATGCTGTTACAACCGCTGCCCCACCAACGGAGGTGGGGAGGAAGGCACCTACATCAGCAACTCTCAACCGGGACAGAAGCTCTTTGATGCTTGTGCTTGGCTTGCGAGTTTCCTGTAGGCATTTGGGTGGCCACTGTGGGAACAGGGGTATTTTTATGTTCTCATGCCCCTTCCCCGTTTTCAGAATGAGAAGGAAGGGTGAGTGTTCAGTCCTGGCTTCCAGTGCCTTTTGGGCATGTTTAAGGGGGCATGTTCAATGCACGAGTCTTCAGGAACTGAGCACAAAGAGCAAACAATCTCAAGCAGATTGTAGATTTTTGAGAGGATATTTATCAAGAGCGTTCACAGGCACCACAAAGGGTACTGGTAGGTACACCCGCCCCTTGTGGGCACGACTGCAGTGACCTTTGATTCCCATATAGTCAGAGATTCAGAGGGTTGCCTGCCTATGTATGTTGGCAACTGCAAACAGTTCTTGTCTGTGCAGAAGAAATGTGAAGAGCTGGATTTAAGGCTGGAAAAGAAACAAAAACGGACCAATTTCCCATCCCTAGTTTGGAGTTGGAGAGAAAAGATCTTAGGCTTCATTTTGTAGACAGTGCCTCCAAACCCTGAGTCAGCAACAGGACCATCGCCCAGTAAGCTAAAAGTCTCAGTTGTTTTGGTCTCATTTCAGGTATACTTTTATACAGAGAGAATCTACCTGTCTACAGGAACTGATCTAAATAATGTCCCATACATCCGTGTAGCGTCAAGCGTTGCCATCATCACTGCAGTCTTTGTCGGGGTAAGCCTGCCTTACTTTCACCTTTTTTTCTGCCCCTTAAAGTCTCAAAGCTCAGTCTGCTCCAAAAGATGTTCCTGCGCTGCAAACATTAGCAGCAGTTTTGTGCCGGCACTTAGGAATACAAGAAGGCACCTTATTCCAAGTCAGACCCTTGGTGCATCTAACTCTGTATTGTCCACACTGACGGGCAGCAGCTCTCCAGGCTTTCAGCCTTTCCTGGCCCTACCTGGCCTGAGCCTTGGAGGGAGGGGCTCACAGCATTGACACTCCAACAGATCTTGCCTCCTCGTGAGGTTCCCAGGGAGATCACCAAGGCTAGTATAGAGCAGTATGTTCTTCTGTATGTCCAGCTTCCAGCATCAGCCAAAGTTCATACATACTCTCACGACACACAGCCCCACTTGGCTCCCTGTTCTCTATCAAGGTGAGGTGGTAAAAGACCCACCCGTTTGTTTCTGAGCCCTCTCTCTCACCCCCATTTTAAACTTACTAAGAACCCTGCAAGGTTGGTTAAGCTGAGACTGAGTGCTGCGTCCTTCCTTTTTCACATGCTTTCTTTCCCTTGCTGTTACATTCTCTAGATATTTTACATCGACTCAATGGGGCGAAAGTTCCTGCTGCTCCTTGGTTTTGGCATGTGCACCATCCTCTGCATCGTATTAACCATGAACCTTGAACTTCAGGTTGGTTGGTTTTTTCTGAACTCTTCAAGCACCGATGTCCTTGAAAGCCAAGCGTTACTCCGTCGATTGCTCCTTGGCTATGTGCACGCTAGCAACTGAAAGAGCATCACTCCTTTTGATGGCTCTTTCGCTGTGTACACATTAACACTTTGAAATGCAGCGACGTCGCTTCTCTTCTGCTGCGTTTCAAGTTGTGTTTTCACATTGCTGTGCACACCAGAGAGGAGGCACCTGGTGCATATTGCATGTTGGGTTTCCCCACCTCTGCAATCCACCTGCCCCCAGACAGATGAAGCTGTCAACTGCATATTTCTTTCACAAAATTTATATACCACTTGTTCATTAAATAAAAAAAGCCCTCAGAGTTTCACAATAGGAATAAAACAATGAAATTATTTAAACAGTTTATAACCACTACAGTCGTACCTTGAATCCCAGACACCCTGGAACTCGAACGTTTTGGCTCCTGAATGCCGCAAACCCGGAAGTGAGTGTTTCGGTTTGCGAACATTCTTTTGGAACCTGAATGTCTGGAGGGGCTTCCACGGCTTCTGATTAGCTGCAGGAGATTCCTGCAGCCAATCAGAAGCTGCAATTTGGTTTTCGACTTCCAAGGTACAACTGTATCTTTAAACCTTTATTAAAAAAATTAAAACATGTGCTGGCATTCTACATGTCACCTAAACAGTTGAGCTAAGTCTGGGACCTTTTGCAGACCAAGAACTGCATGTCAGTGGTGGGTGGGGCTAGAAGCAAAAGTAGGCTGAGCAATGAACTCACATCATTTGCCTTTGTAGAGTAGGCTGGTTTCTGCACACACCTTCCCAAACCCCTTCTCTCACCTCCTTCCAGGCATGCAAGAGGCATGATCAGAGTTCAAAGAGCACATTTCCAGCGGGGCAAAAACACACTGAAGGAGGGTGTGTGGAGCAAGGCTGATATGGCCTTGGAATAGGTCGCAGCTCTCTATAAATGAGTGTGAGTGATCGAGGCCTCGCATTAACATCACTCCTATTTACACAGTTGATATGTGGGGACCATACCTTATCAAAATGGTCATATTTGGTTTGGATAATAATAATAATAATAATAATAATAATAATAATAATAATAATTTATTATTTATACCCCGCCCATCTGGCTGAGTTTCCCCAGCCACTCTGGGCGGCTCCCAATCAAGTGTTAAAAAACAGTACAGCATTAAATATTAAAAACTTCCCTGAACAGGGCTGCCTTCAGATGTCTTTTAAAGATAGGATAGCTGCTTATTTCCTTCACACCTGAAGGGAGGGTGTTCCACAGGGTGGGCGCCACTACCAAGAAGGCCCTCTGTCTGGTTCCCTGTAACCTCACTTTTCGCAATGAGGGAACCGCCAGAAGGCCCTCGGCGCTGGATCTCAGTGTCCGGCCCTCAGTCTCCACTCCGCGATGGGGTGGAGACGCTCCTTCAGGTATACAGGACCTTCAGGCATACAGGACCGAGGATTTTAACAACCCTTCTGCGCAGCACAAGGTGCTTAAAAAAGGACCAGATCTTTCCCTTGCTATCCCATCAGAGATGCTCCTCTGACACTGGCACGTTTTCAAGAAGGGGGCCAGGCCTCCCCCAAACCCTGCGGCAATCCTCAAGAGGACGCACCAGGACGAAAATGCTTGGCTGTACCGCGTCCTTTTGAGAATCGCCAGGGATGTGGCAGGGTGAAGCATGTTCGCAGGCCAAGTCAACCTGGCCAGGTTTTGGGGGGGGGGTGTCATGCGTGTGACATCATGCACATGTGATGGGCACAACTCATTTTGGGCGCAACTCAGTGCCGCTGTCCTCTGGAGTCTTCCCAGTCGGAAGTGATCTCTCCTGAGTAAACAGCGTCTGACTTACCAGTAGTATCAGCGATGACATCAAAAGCACTTGGCCCAAACCTAGCAAGCTTGACATGCTCCCACAACTCTCTCCAACAGGGAGATGCCTTGTGGATGTCTTACGTCAATGCGTTTCTCATCAATATTTTCCTCATGGGACATGCCGTCGGACCTAGTAAGTGCTCAGGTGATAATCAGAGTTCCTTGGAGGAGGCGCAGGATGTGAAGAGCAGAAGGTTTCAAGGATCGAGGGTGGTCAGGCATCCAAAGCCTTTATTTATCCTCAGCCCCTTCCACCACAGTGTGTCAGGAGCCAGAGTCAGGTGTAGATCAGCAATAAAAAACACACAGTGCCAGCAAAAACTCTTACAAAATAGCGCAGCCCTAATGATCCCAGCAACTCTTCCCTTTCCAGTGAGGCTAGGCCGACTCTCTCCTTGTACTTCCACTGGCTGGTGAAGACTGTTTTATTCTGGCAGGCCTTTGGGAACTGAGTGTTTTGTTGTTTTTAAGGAAAGGGCCTTGGTGTTTTTAGTGTTTTTATTATCTGCATTTTAACAAATTTTGGGCTTGGTTTTTTTCCATTGTTTTAATCCTGTTACAGTTTAATGCAGAAGTCAGCAAACTTTTTCAGCAGGGGGCCGATCCACTGTCCCTCAGACCTAGTTGGGGGCCGGACTATATTTTGAAAAATATGTATGAACTAATTCCTATACCCCACAAATAACCCAGAGATGCATTTTAAATAAAAGCACACATTCTACTCATGTAAAAACATGCTGATTCCCGGATCGTCCGCGGGCCAGATTTAGAAGACGATTGGGCCAGATCCAGCCCCCGAGCCTTAGTTTGCCTACCCATGGTTTAACGTAATGGGATTAAATATGAGATTACAGTTTCGTAAGATCCCTTGAGTCTCAGGTTCTGTGGAAAGAGCAGGGTGCAAATTAATAATGAAAATAATAGTAGATGGGTTTCCAAGACTGAAGAATCTACTGGGCTTCGTATTGAACCGCAGAAGTGCCACGATCCTGTTTTCTGTTGATGTTTGTTAATGGTATGTTCAGAAGATCTCTGAATAAAAGTAGTTTGTAGCACTTTACATGAAAAACCCATTAAAAAAATGGAATGCCATTTTGAGGCCAATGGTTTTATATTATTCATGATTGTTTGAAAGATTTCTAATCTGCTTTTCGGGTGGGGGGGGGGCTTCACAAAGTGGTGTAGAAAATAAGCATCAAAGTATGGCCCAACTTAAAAACTTTTTAAAAATCCACTTTGTGGTTAAAATATATATAACAACAAATGACCCCAACAAAATACCTCAATGTATGGGGGGGGGTTCTTGTTTCGTTGTTTTTGTTTTAACTAATTACTTGTGTTTTTACCTTGTATTTTATCCTGCGAACCACCCTGAGATCTTGTCATGAAGGGCAATATATAAAGCCAATAAATAACGATGACAACAACAACGAGAAAATAAAACAGATAAACAGTTAAGCAGTTACTAAAAAACACAGTAAAGACAGAGGCAAGATTAAACCACTTAAAAAAAATAGTTCTCGTTTTAAAAAATAAAAATAAAAAAATCTCCTCCCAACGAGCAGTGAACCCTTTTCTCTATGCAGGTGCTCTTCCCAACCTGATAATAGCAGAGATTTTCCTTCAGTCCTCGCGGTCCTCAGCCTATGTGGTCGGGGGATTTGTGCATTGGTTCCTAAACTTCTTCAGCATTGTGACCTTCCTCAATATACAGGTGAGTGATTCTGGTAGTCCGTGGGTGTTCTGAACCTTCTGCAGCGAAGGGCTGTAGCTCAGCAGTAGAGCATCTTCTTGGCATGCAGAAGGATGTTGAGGACCTAGGAAGCTGCCTTGTCCCTCGCTAGTCCATCTAGCTAAGGACTGTCTACACTGACTGCCAGAGGCTCTCTAGAGTTTCAGATAGGGAGTCCTTCTCAGTCCTACTTGCAGTCGTCGGGCGTTGAACTGAGCAACTTCTACATGCAAGGCAGATGCTCTGACACTGAGCTATGGTATTTCCTGTAAAAAACCCAAAACAAAACGTAAGATTCTAGTCCTCCTAATTCTAGGTAAAGGGTTGAATAAGAACATAAGAAGCTGCCTCATATCAAGCCAGATCTTTGGTCTAGCTAGCTCAGTAGTGTCTACACAGACTGGCAGTGACTCTCCAAGGTTTCAGAGAAGGGGCCGCTCCCAGTTTTACCTGAACTTGCCAGGGATTGAATGAGGGTGGCGCTGTGGGTTAAACCATAGAGCCTAGGACTTGCTGATCAGAAGGTTAGCAGTTCGAATCCCCATGACAGGGTGAGCTCCCGTTGCTTGGTCCCTGCTCCTGCCAACCTAGCAGTTTGAAAGCACGTCAAGTGCAATTAGATAACTAGGTACCGCTCTGGCGCAAAGGTAAACGGCGTTTCCGTGCACTGCTCTGGTTCGCCAGAAGCGGCTTAGTCATGCTGGCCACATGACCTGGAAGCTGTATATATTTATTGACCCTCAGCCAATAAAGCGAGATGAGCGCTGCAACCCCGGAGTCGGCCACGACTGGACCTAATGGTCAGGGGTCCCTTTACCTTTACCCCCGAGCCACAGCCATGGGCGTAGCCTGGGGGGGGGCAGCTCTCCTCCCCTCCCCCAAAAATCAAGTAATTAAATAAAAATACTTAAGTAAAAGTATAGGGACCCGGGTGGAGCTGTGGGTAAAAGCCTCAGCGCCTAGGACTTGCCGATCACCTGGTCCCAATACTTCCCTTTTGTGGTGTTACGAGAGAGAGAGAGAGAGAGAGAGAGAGAGAGAGAAACCAAGCCTTATGAGGAACAGTTGAAGGAGTTGGGTATGTTTAGCCTGGATAAGAGAAGACAGAGCAGTGATATAGAACTGTAGAGTTTGACTCAAGTGTCCTCTAGTAGCTATCTTCAAATATCTGAAGGGCTGCCACATAGAATACAGAGCAAGCTCCCCCCCTCCCCTGTTGCTCCAGAGGGCAGGGCCCAAACCAATGGATTCAAATGGCAAGAAAGAATATCCCAGGTAAACATCAGGCAGAACTGTCGACAGTGGAACCAACTATCTCAGAGGATTCTCTGGCTGTGACTTCTGCATTGTAGCAGGGGGTGAGACCAGAACACCCTTGCCAGGGGGTCTCTTCCAACTTTACAATTCTATGATTCTACGAGATAACCCGGCCTTGAGTTCCTTGAAGGAAAAAAGCACTGGGAAATATAATGTGCTAAATTAATAAGCTTATGCCTTTCTGCGGGTAGATCTACACACAGGGAAAAACCCCCACTATAGATAAGTCATAAAAATTAAATCTTTATAACAAAAGGAAAAAAAACCTGTATGTAAAATCACATAGAAAAGTTTCCTGCTCTACAGCGCCATCTGGTGTTGCATGTTTATAACACATTTAAAACTCAGTTTTTTTACTCATGTTGCTGAGCCCTGTTTCTCTGTGTGTGTGTTGCTGCTCCTGTTGCTTTCCAGAAATACATCGGATTCTTCAGCTTCCTCATCTGCTGTCCGATATGTGCTGCCACCTTCTTTTTCATCTTAAAGATGATCCCAGAAACCGCGCACCAGACTTTTCTGGAAATCAGGAAGCAACTGCCCATCTACGTGGCCCAAAGGCAGATCACCAAGATGGAGCGAATGCCGAGGAGAAATACCAGGCGGGCGTTGGGGGAGGGGCAAAACCCCGTGTAGAATTTGATTATAAACATTTATAATTGAGCCATGATCCCAAGGGAATCTCTACGGTTGTCCATCAGCTGTCTCAGCACCATTGACACGCCAGTATTGAGGTTTTGCCTCGGTTAATTCATTGCCCACCCTCCACCCTAAAGTGTGGGCTCCAAACTTAGGTGGGGTCCGAAAAATACACATCTAAAGGGTCAAAAGCCCAGGTAGACAGGTGCATCTTCCGCATTTGATAGAAACTGCATAATGCCAGGCACATCGCTGTGGGGAGGGAATTCGACATCTTAGCGGATGACACAAAAAGGGGGGTAGCGTGGGGTGGGTGGGAGGCCATGGCTCCGGGCACAGATTTCTGGGGGGACATGAGGTGAGGCAACCACGTGCGCCCACAACAGGCTCCTTCATCAAGGCCAGAGCCAAAGGGAGGCAGGGCAAGGTGCACCCGGGCTTGGCCTTCAGGGCTGGGGTGGTAGTGGCGCTTCTTTCTTCTTGTGACCAGCCAAGGAATGCCCACGTACCCCCCACCCCTGGGCTGGCTGAGAGGGAGGGAGTGCGGGCCTTGCTGCCGTTGCCCACTGAAAAGAGGTGAGAGGCTCCACCTGGATGGGGAGGGCGAGAGGCAGGTGGGAAAAGAGCAGTCACGTTCTCCGGTCAGACCATTGCGGCTCAGTCGCTCCGGTGGCGTCAGCGGTGAGGGCTGAGATGGTGCAGCAGGCTCTGTTCAGCCTCCATTAGGGCGGTTCATTAAATTTTTTTTTTTAAATGCCTGCTCCAAAGGTCTTCTCTTATGACATTATGGATTATATAGCTATATCTGAAATTTCATGCATATCAGTTAACATCTTGACCCTCCTCCACGAAAATAGCTATTTACTTGGCCGTTTTCCTATGTCGTGAAGGCTGAAATTTCAATTCAGTGGAGCAGGGTCAAGATATTAACTGACATGCATGAAATTTCAGATATAGCTGTATAATCCCTAGTGTAGTAAGATAAGACCTTTGGGGCAGGCATTTTTTTAAAAAATAAATTAGTAATTTATGAACCGCCCTAGCCTTCGTGCCCCATCCCAGCATGCCCCACCCCCCACCATGCTCCCACGCACCTCGGCCTGCCTACACCCACCTGGGTGCTGTCAACCTACGATACGCCACTGGACACAAGGCTGTCGCCCTACCTTACATGAGCAGGCAAGTCTTTAGCATATGCGCCGCCATAGCTGTCAAGTGTCCCTTATTTGAAGGGACAGTCCCTTATTCTAGCGCCATGTTGTCCCTTATTGATGGATGTCCCTTAAATGATGTCCCTTAAATTTCAAATGAAGCTCCTCTCCCTCCCTCCCTCCCTGCTGGCCAGGGAGGAGGGAGGCTCCAACTGTGTTGCTTGGCTGTGTTGCTCACCCAATAAGAAGTCTAAGAACAACTGGGGGGTGGAGCTTGCATGCCTTGTGTGTGGCTAGTTAATGCAAGCTGAGGAGGTTTTTGAATGCTGGACGCCATTTTGTTGCACATGCTGCTGCAAACTTTGCAGTGCAAAGCCAGGCCGGGGAGCCATCTTAAGTTGAGGCTGCATAGGCCTAATGGTGCATGTGATTCAGATTCTATTCAGTTGTATCTCTGGTTACAAAGTTGGTTGGACAGTGTTCTCGAAGCTACCAGCATGAGTTTGACCAGACTGCAGGAGGACAGGAAGACTGGAGTGCCTGGAACAGGTGAGGCTGCAGGTCCCTTATTTTGGCTGCTGGTCCCTTATTTTCAAATCTGTAAGTTGACAGCTATGTGCGCCGCCGGGGTGCAAAGATCCGCCCAGCGCCCCCAAATTTAGTTTAGCCCCCAAATTAACTTTTATTATGTTTATGTCAGACACCACACTTACGCCTTATCTCTTGTTTACAAAAGAAAGTAGGAAAAAGAAACAAACTTTTTAATGTGCTCATTTATTTACAATACGCTTATACTTCAGTACAGTCATACCTCGGGTTACATACGCTTCAGGTTACATATGCTTCAGGTTACAGACTCCGCTAACCCAGAAATAGTGCTTCAGGTTAAGAACTTTGCTTCAGGATGAGAACAGAAATCGCGCAGTGGCAGCGGGAGGCCCCATTAGCTAAAGTGGTGCGTCAGGTTAAGAACAGTTTCAGGTTAAGAACGGACCTCCGGAACGAATTAAGTACTTAACCCGAGGTGTATATAACACCACCACACTTAAACTTATAAGTATTGTTTAGGCACCTACTTAGGAGAAACATCAGTCGTGTCAAAGGTGCCGCTGACCCCGCTGTCGCATAGCAGCTCAATACGATACGTAACATAATATTTTGATGTAAGAGTTAATTTCATGTGCATGGCGCTGCTGAGAATGACAAGTGCCGCCGTTGTGAATGACAGGCGTCGCCGCTAGCGTGGCGCATCTTTGGTAAATGAGTGCACAAAGTCGAAAGTCCTTTAGTGAAATAGTAGGTATACATTTCAGTAATACCTAGGTATATATGTATTTTGTTTTCCTAGCTTGATCAAAATTATTTATTATTTCATAACAGGTAGATGGTTAAAAGCTTAGGCGGCTTCAGTGGCGGGCACCTGGCACCCCCCAGAATTCGGTGCCCATGTGCCCCGCACCGCTTGCACCCCCAGGTAAAGACAGCCGTGTACATGAGCATCCGAGGGCAGAGAAACCACTAAGAGGATGGAGGTGGTCTTTCAGATATTTGGGGCCGAACTCATTTAGGGCTTTAAACATTCACTTGAGTGCCTTGAAGTGGCTCCAGATTACCATATTTTTCGCTCTATAAGACGCACCAGACCACAAGATGCACCTAGTTTTTGGAGGAGGAAAACAAGAAGAAAAATATTCTGAATCTCAGAAGCCAGAACAGCAAGAGGGATCGCTGCACAGTGAAAGCAGCAATCCCTCTTGCTGTTCTGGCTTCTGGGATAGCTGCACAGCCTGCATTCGCTCCATAAGACGCACACACATTTCCCCTTACTTTTTAGGAGGGAAAAAGTGAGTCTTATAGAGCAAAAAATACGGTAGATCCCGTGAGTCTGCTCAGGAAGCTGAGGTCTGCAGATTCCTCTTCCACCCACAGATTGTCCCCATGAGAACTATGAACTCTACCCGTGAGCTGTGGCCTCTGAGCAGCAACTTCTTTGCAGGTTCACAGTTAAGCGTGGGGCCTGTTTGTTATTACCCTGAGCGCCCGTCTTTCAAAGTGTCTCGGCAAACATTATCCAAAAAAAGGTCACGTTAAAGCATTGCTCGTTGAAGTGGTTTGCAAAGTGTGAACCGCAATGCAGGAGTCAAATAAGAACAGAATAATTTGCCCCAAGGCAAGGGATGAAGGGGAGAAATTTGAATCTGTTCACATTTAAAGACGAAATGCCCAACTTTCAGAAACAATTCACAAACGGAGCACAGCCATCCTTTGATATTGGCGATTTCTGCAATGCAGTTGTGCATTGTGCAAAAATGCATATAAAGTGTGCATTAAAATGTACCTATTATAGAAGGTAGCATATGAAAAGGCATTTATACGTTGGGGAAATTCACCCACCCGTTTCATTTCACAGTCTGTCTCCGGTAGTAGACAGCCTCCGAATCCCCACAAACACAGCATGGAGACCAACATTCCCCGCTCTCTGTCGCCAACAGCCTTTAGTGCTATTGGGTTATTTTGCCTTTCTATATGGCTCATACACACTGATAAGACTTATTCTCCATGAACTGTTTTCAAAAGCCGTCTAAGCTGCCAAACCTTAATCAAGCGTATAATCCAATTCACAACCCACATAATTAAGCCTGGATTTCAGAATGAAAAGTCCAGTTATCCATTGCTTTTGGCAGACACTGTCTATAGTTGGAGAGAAACGGGGTGGGGGGGTGGGGAGTGGATCAGTCCAATGGTCTATTTAAGTCCCGCATCCTGTTCTCACTGGGGGGAACCAAATGCTTGTGGGAAATTCAAGCACAAGAAAACTCTGCCCTCCTGCAGCTTCGAGCAACTGGTGCTCAGAAACATTACATTACAGAGCACAGACATTGTGGCTGTTAGCCATCGACAGCCTTCTGCACCATGAATTTGTCTAATCTTCTTTTAAAGTCATCCAAGTTGGTGGCCATCACTGTGGGAGTTTAACTATGTGCTGCATGAAGAAGTCCTTTTTTTTTATCTGTCCCTGAATAATAATAATAGTAATAGTAATAATTTATTGTTTATACCCTGCCCATCTTCCAACATTCATCATCACTGGATGTCCACAAGTCTAATGCTAAAAATCTAATTTTAAATTGTTGTAGCCTGCCCTGGAACCTACTGGTGAAGGGTGAGCAATATTATTATCATTATCATCATTTACTGCTAATCAGTCCTCTTTTAGTGCTTTTTAGGGTGCAGGCTTGCTTTACGAAATTCTCTCTCATCCTCAAATAGCCTATACCAGTTAAAGGAAAAGGTGACTTTTGAAAGCCACCTCTTGAGCTCTGTGGCTTCAAAAGGGAGCCACAGGACCAGAGAACAGGGTGGTTGACCGAAAGTGTTATGTACAAGAGCAGCAAAGCATCTCTGTGGAATTAACCCTTTGAGCTACGGTTGTCAACCTCTCTCACTACCAAGGAAATGTAACAGGCAAATAGAAAGAGAACCTACTCAAGTGATGCTGACACTAAACCCCAAACATACACTAAGGAAAATAATACATGTTTTACCACCAGCACCCCCCCTTTCTTCCCAACCTTAATACTGCATATAACACTAATGTCTCACAACAAATGTAACTGATTGTAGAAAACACAACCTTAAAAAAAAAAGACAATGCACGTACTTTTGTAACCTAAGGAAATCTTTAATAAAAATTATATTTTAAAAAATAAGTGGTTGATAGATGCTACCTGGTTTAAGTCATTTTTTTAATTTACTTTTTTAGATTGTACATCTGTGGGCAGGTGCTGTCTCGTTTTAATTGATTCCATGTATGCCGCCCTGGGAGTCTTTTTGGGCGAAGAGCTGGGTAAAATGCTCTCAATACAGTCGTACCTTGGTTCTCGAACAGAATGCGTTCTGGGAGTCCGTTCGACTCCCGGAACTGTTCGAAAACCAAGGTGCGGCTTCCGATTGGCTGCAGGAGCATCCCGCAGCCAATCGGAAGCCACAGAAGCTGCGCCAGACCTTCGGCTTCCAAAAATTGTTCGAAAACCAGAACACTCACTTCCGGTTTTCATCGTTTGGGAGCCGAAACGTACGAGTTCCAAGGCGTTCGGCGACCAAGGCATGACTGAAAATAATAGGCACTAACCACCACTGCAGTCAAACTTAAAAATGTCCACTCCATCAGACATTCTACCCATGCTGACAAGGAAGCCGCTTGGAGTGGCTGGGGTAACCCACAGTCAGATGGGCAAGGTATAAGCAATAAATTATTAGTATTAGTATTAGTATTAGTAGCAATGAAGGCAATGATTTGGTGGGGGTTTTCAATTCTACATCAGGTATTGCACTGACGTGCCTAAAGAGGGAGCCAGAGGACCAGAGAAGAGAGCAGCCAATCAAAAGTCTTACGGGCAAGAGGGGCAATGGCATCTCTGTGGAATTAACCCTTTGGCTGCATTATTAGTAATATAAAACAAGGTACAGTTGTCATAAGTGGTCGATAGATGCGACCTGGTTTAAGTTCTTGATGTTAACCCCAGATGTGTGTGTCAGGCTACCCAATCACAAAATAAATAATTTTCACTTTCTTGGAGGTGAGCTCTTCCTTGTTGTTACTTTATATCATAAAATGTGTTTGTACCCAACTTTATCTGTTTGTATGTATGTCTATGTGTGTGTGTGTGTATATATATATATATATATATATATAGCATTTATATCCCACCTTTTCCTCCAAAGAGCTCAAGGTAGCATACAGGGTCCCTCCCCTCTTGTTTAGTCTCCACAACATCCCTGTGAAGGCTGATCAGGGAAAGAGGCAGTGACTGGCCCAAGGCCTCATGACTAAGTGGGGATTTGAACCCTGGTCTCCCAGATCCTCGTCCAAGAATCTAACCACTGTACCATATTCCCTCTCAATATTAGTCATAATCTGAGCAGATCCATCGAAATGAATGACCATGGGTTCATTAACTTCAATGGGTCTACTTTGAAACGGTGGTTTTTGTTGGGATTCAAGCCTTTATCCGGAGAAACTGGCCACTCTCCAGGCACCCGGCTTGATCTCCTGTTGATCCTCCCAGCAGGATCCAGGCAGAGGTCGCGATAGGCGATCCTTCTCAGAGTGAGAAGAACACACCCCCTCTTTCCTGCCCCCCCCCCGGGCAGGGGAGAGAGATAGACAGAAACGTATTTACATGCCTTTATTTCTGTCTTTGCAGCGTTATAGAAATCATGACCGCTCTCTTCAAGCTTCAGCAGTCGAGAGACAAACTCCTCCTGTACTTCCTGTACAGCTCATATTACACTCTGAGTTAATTCCGGTGCCCTCTGCACTGTGAATTGACTGTCCCTCTGTTTCCCACGGAACAGTTCCAACATTCCCATTATGTTTTGCTTTCAAGCTACCAGCTCGCAGCCACATTGCTTCTATATCGTAACAGTTTTGTGGTCCACAGCTGGGTCCCTACCCTACAATAAACATCACCACATGCTCTCGAGTAGCCCTCTGTAGACATGCTTGCATGATCCATGGAAAACATGATCCATGGAAAATTGCATGATCAAGTAGGTACAGTTGTTGTTGCTATTATTATTATTATTATTATTATTATTATTATTATCATCATCATCATCATTACTATTTATACCCCACCCATCTGGCTGGGTTTCCCCAGCCACTCTGGGCGGCTTCCAACAAAGATTAAAAATACATTAAAATGTCACACGTTAAAAACTTCCCTGAACAGGGCTGCCTTCAGATGTCTTCTAAATGTGAGGTAGTTGTTTATCTCTTTGACATCCGGTGGGAGGGCGTTCCACAGGGCGGGCGCCACTACCGAGAAGGCCCTCTGCCTGGTTCCCTGTAGCTTTGCTTCTCACAGTGAGGGAACCGCCCGAAGGCCCTCAGCTCTGGACCTCAGCATCTGGGCAGAACGATGGAGGTGGAGACGCTCCTTCAGGTATACTGGACCGAGGCCGTTAACAGCTTAGCTTCTATATAAGAACATAAGAAGAGCTTGCTGGATCAGGCCAATGGCCCATCTAGCATGCTATGCTCACAGTGCCGACTCAGGTGCCCATGGGAAACCCTCAAGCAAAACCCGGACACAAGAGCACTCTCCCCTTTCCAATATTATTCAGAAGCATTGCTGCCTCGAACCATGAAGGCAGGACATAGCCATTGTGACTACTAGGCACCGATGACCTTATCCTCTATGAATTTCTCAAGTCCTCTTTTAATACCAGGTACAAAACACACTGTTACCGGAAAAATCCGAGGGCTCCCTTGGACAAAAACAAAGACACCAACCAGGATAACTTGGAGCAAAACAGCAGCCTGTAGGCTTGGCCTTTATTGAACTGTTGCAACAGGGTGTTCCCCTCACTTGCAGGAGAGAGGAAAGACCCAGAAAGATGGTGTGCAAGACCTTATAAAAACTTTGAAATTCCCATCCTCTAGGTTAAGCCCACCCCCAGAAACATCATGCATACATTACAGAAAGGAGGAGTTGACATCATGCATACATTACAGAAAGGAGGAGTTGACATCATGCATACATTACAGAAAGGAGGAGTTGACATCATGCATACATTACAGAAAGGAGGGGTTGAGGGAGGAGTTGTGGTGGTAACCTGAGTGTCCTGTCACCTGGCTGGTTCCTCCTTTCCCCTGCCCATGAGTCACTTCCAGGAGACAAAGGGAAGTTGGCAGTTTCCTGCCCCCAGAGGGAAGATCTGATCATTGTCCTTTGTTTCAGTCCATGCTGAATCCACTCCCATATGCAAGTTCTTTGTGATCTTGATGGTCTTCTGTCTAGGACCATCAGGGTTGGCATAGCAACTGGGCAGGGCTCCTGTGGATGTGCTGGGATGGTGAAGGGATTATGGCTGACCAGAACCAAGCCACCCCCCTTTGATAGTCCTTGTCATATGGAGTAAAATAAAAATGGAACAGTGCAAATCCGATGTATGGTTGATTTTTCTATGAATTTATAACAGAAGTGTGGCATATGTAGTGTGTGAGTGTGAGTGTGTGAAGTTTGTACAAACTGAATGATTGGGGTGGGGGGTTCCTGCTACACACCCATCTCCCATTGCACACAAATGGAAAACCGGTGCTGCAGATACTGTATTTCTCTTCTGGGGTTGGTCAGGTTTTTTGTTGTTGTTGTAGGTAGTGAGCCAGCTGGGAGTCTGGGATTTTGCAGCTCGCTCTGTCTCCCTCTGGCCTCTCACTGCACTGCTTGCTCGTTGGCGCTGCTGCCAGAGTCCTGGGGCTTCATCACGTCTGGGAGCTCTGGGGGGCTGGAGAAGGGATCAATGTGGAGGGGCTCAAAGGCATCTTCACTGGCTCTGAAGGCCAAGCCAACTGTTGCTGGGGCCTGAGGTCGTGCTGTCTGGCTGGTGAAGCCACAGTCTCTGAGGGTTTTGCTGTCATCCAACAGCTGGTCATCCTTGTACAGCCTTTGTTCTTCTGGGGGTCTCTTAAGTATCCCCTCAACAATTCTTTTCAGCTCATACACCGTACTGGACTCCTTGGCGTCTGTGAAGATGGTCGTCTTGTGACGTCGGATCATTAAAAAGACGTCTAACCTCAGCCCAGACCCCCCAGAGAGGAAAAAGCAGCAGAACCCCCAGTCATCTGCATCCATGTTTTGATATCCACCCATCTGCTCATTTTCTTCCACATTCTCCTTCTTGCTGGCACCAGACAAAAAGAACCAGGGAAGCAGAAATTAAGCCAGGTAATAATTGCCAGCCCTCCTTTGCTGCTCATGTATCTCAGGAACATCTCCCTGCTGCGTGGGGTGTGTTAAGGTCATGATCTTCCTCTGTTGTGCAACATTGAAACCTCCACAACAGCCTTGACAAGGAGCCGTGGAAGCGAAGCTATACGAGCTGCCAAGTCCAGCCCTCGCTCTTTATTTTCCAAGAGCTGAGAAACCGTGGAGGATCAAGCTGGCAAAAGACCTTCCTCCTGGAGGCTGAAGAACAGGCAGCTCTAAGGTCCAAGAGGGCAGAACAAGCCTGTTAAGCAATTGGGGTCTTGGACAGAGTCAAAGTGCAAGAAAGAGACATAGCACAACCCTTCGTTTCAGCATTTTCTTTCTCATCCCGAACGCAAAAGCTCTCAGGCCCGTTGCGGTTCTCCGGTCCTCGAGCGTGAAAATGGAGAAGGGCTCCGAGGCAACACTCACAGGCAAGGAAGGGGTAAGTTGCGGAGGGTTTCGTAAAATCATAGAATTGTAGAGTTGGAAGGGACCCGCAAGGGTCATGTAGTCCAACCCCCTGCAGTGAGATGACAGCTAAAAAATCCCCAACAGATGACCACCCAACCTTTGTTCAAAATCCTGTGCTGAAGGAGAGATTTGTATCCCACCCACCATATTAAAAAACTATCATAAAAGTCTGGACCATCGGAATTATTTTAAATGGGTCTGTCACTACGGCTTTGCCCATAAAGTGCTGCTAGATGAGGGGCAAGGTTTACAAAGAAATGTCATTGCTCCTTGATAGCTGGGAAGAACTCTCCAGCCTTTGGAGTGCAATATGCATCAGAGCCTAGAGAGGGTGATAACCTGTTGCTAAGGGCTGATGTGAGAAACGGTTCAAATCCAGTTGTGTAGTTCGAATTTTAAGGAGAAAGATAATTTCTGGATGGGGACATCCCTGATTTAGAGAAGCCGTCCCAGTTTCTGATTTGATCCCAGAATGTCCCACTTTTCCTTAGGATGTCCCTATTTTCATTGGAGAAATGTTCGAGGGTATGGAGTTATCTGACCCGCCGAGCTGTCTGAAGGCAATCCTGTTGTTTTTTTAATGTTTAATGCTTTACAGTGGTACCTCAGGTTAAGTACTTAATTCGTTCTGGAGGTCCGTTCTTAACCTGAAACTGTTCTTAACCTGAAGCACCACTTTAGCTAATGGAGCCTCCTGCTGCTGCTGTGCTGCCAGAGCACGATTTCTGTTCTCATCCTGAAGCAAAGTTCTTAACCCGAGGTACTGTTTCTGGGTTAGCGGAGTCTGTAACCTGAGCGTATGTAACCTGAAGCGTATGTAACCTGAGGTACCACTGTATTATGATTTTATGTTGGAAGCTGCCCAGAGTGGCCGGGGCAACCCAGTAAAATGTGTGGGGTATAAACAGTAAAATTATATTTTTGGAATGGAATGTCTCTATTTCCATCAGAGAAGTGTTGGAGGGTCTGGGTTGATTTTAAAATGGGATGCAGCCTTGAAAGGGGGTCAGGCACTGGTTGCTTACTGGAGATCTGCAGAGGCAGGAGCTAGACTCAGCCTAGATTGAAAGCAGCATGTTGAGAATGAACCCAAACCGTTCCGGATTGAGATGTGGTGCAAATAGGTTAGCCCCACTATGCAAAAACCCAGTGGATTGAAGCCTGGGGCCTTAGTATTTCTGAGTCCTTCTGGGTGTGGGCTTCCTTTGACTTACTTTCATCAGCACCAGAAGAGTCCCGTAAAACATCTGACCTCCAGTGCTCACTAATGCAGCGTCTGCCTGGGGAAGGCGGTCTAAAAATGCATTGCTCTTCTGAAGACAGATTTCTGTTGGCCAGGTGGGAGAGTTGCCAGAGTCAGAATCTGCATCATCAAAGCAGATTTCATCCAGGCAAAAGTCCCCAGGCTGAGATGGAATCAGAAGTTTCCCAGGAATTGAAATACTTTATTGTCACTTGCACAACTTGTATACAGTGAGATTACACTGGCATGGAATGCTCACCGCTAAGACTGAATCTTAGAAATGATTTTTATTAGCTAGGGAAGTGCTAGGGGCAATATGGAGAGCAGGATTTGCCCTTGGCTAGATCAGCATCGCTCAGTTGTTTACGAGTTTTCTTTGAATTGTAGAGTTAGGAAGAGACCCCAAGGGTCATCTAGTCCAAGCCCGTCATAGCTGTCAACTTTTCCCCTTTTTTAAGGGAAATTCCCTTATTCTGAATAGGATTCCTCGCAAGAAAAGGGAAAAGTTGACAGCTATGAAGCCCCTGCAATGCAGGAATAGCAGCTAAAGAATTCCCGCCAGGTGGCCTGAAAATAATGGTCACGACTATGGCTGTGCACACAATATAACTTTGAAAAACATCCTTTCCCTTATACAGTGGTACCTCGGAAGTCAAACGGAATCCGTTCCGGAAGTCCGTTCGACTTCCAAAATGTTCAGAAACCAAGGCATGGCTTCCGATTGGCTGTAGGAAGCTCCTGCAGCCAATTGGAAGCCGTGGAAGCCACATTGTATGTTCGGGTTCCAAAGAATGTTCGCAAACCGGAACACTCACTTCCGGGTTTGTGGCGTTCAGGAGCCAAAACATTCGACTTGCAAGGCATTCGGGATCCAAGGTACGACTGTACTGAGTCAGACCATTGCTCCATTCTAGCTAAGGGTTGTCTCAGCCTACTCGCAATGATTTCAGGCGTGGGTCTTTCCCAGTCCTTCCTGGAAACACCACGGATTGAACCCAAGGCTTTCTGTGTGCAAAGCAGAAGTTCTAAGCACTGAGCTACAGCTCCTCCCCAACCTGGTATAGAATCCTTTGTTTTATACCAGGCTGCGAGCTGTCCTTGCAGAAGAGTTTATTCTGAAATGCCATGCATTTGGGCATCATTAAAGCTCTTCCCCCCCTTCATGGATCACTGCCTAAACGACTACCGTATTTTTCGCTCTATAAGACGCACCAGACCACAAGACGCACCTAGTTTTTGGAGGAGGAAAACAAGAAAAAAGGTATTCTGAATCTCAGAAGCCAGAACAGCAAGAGGGATCGCTACGCAGTGAAAGCAGCAATCCCTCTTGCTGTTCTGGCTTCTGGGATAGCTGCGCAGCCTGCATTCGCTCCATAAGACGCACACACATTTCCCCTTACTTTTTAGGAGGGAAAAAGTGAGTCTTATAGAGCAAAAAATACGGTAAACAACAACAACAACAAAGCTCTTCCCTTTCAACAACGCCACCCACAACTGGCGCCTTCATGTCCCCATGCTCCTCATGTTGTTGTTGTTTAGTCGTTTAGTCGTGTCCGACTCTTCGTGACCCCATGGACCAGAGCACGCCAGGCACTCCTGTCTTCCACTGCCTCCCGCAGTTTGGTCAAACTCATGCTGGTAGCTTCAAGAACACTATCCAACCATCTTGTCCTCTGTTGTCCCCTTCTCCTTGTGCCCTCCATCTTTCCCAACATCAGGGTCTTTTCCAGGGAGTCTGCTCTTCTCATGAGGTGACCAGAGTATTGGAGCCTCAGCTTCAGGATCTGTCCTTCCAGGGAGCACTCAGGGCTGATTTCCACTTCAGCATTAGTAAGTGCCAAGGAGTCTTGGTTTCAGATGCCAGCACTACATAGCTGACCATTAGAAAGCTGTGTCTATTAGCTTTTTTTCTTAACTGCCCTGAAGACTTGATAGATAGGCATTATTAAAAAAAGGTTTAAAAGACATGAATGAATAAATAAATAAATATTTTGTCTCCTGTTTCCATTTGCAGCGGCACTCCTGTGGTGCCCCCTACCCACCCTAATTAGGAGCAGGAAGGAGGGCATATTCCTGCCCCACATGCAGGGAGTCCTAAGAGTGCAAGCAGGCACTTATTCTTTAAACAAAGCCTGGGCATCCTTCCAACAATTATTTTTAGCGTTCTTATATCACTTTTTGATGCCACAGAAATGTTATATTAAATAAAAATAAAAATTCTTATTGTATAAATAAACCCTGTGAGGGCGAACTCAGAAAATCTTTCCCACTCTTTCCAGAGCTGGCATCTGGATTTTAAACCTAATTTGCAAAAATAAAAAATAAAAAATAGGTAGCTACATTTTCATTGTTTTTTCAGTGTGGTGCAGTGGTTAGAGTGTTGGACTATGACATGGGAGACCAGGGTTCAAATCCTCACTCAGTCAGTTAGATTGACTTACCTCACATGGTTGTTTTTGTTGTTTTTGGAAGGACAACAGCAGAAATCATTCAATGTGTTACTTAAAGGTTAATCCTGTTATTATCCATCAAGAAAGGTGCTTGAGGTGTACCTTAGCAATTAGCCAGACTGGCATGATGTTTGCTGAGGTAGCATGAATCCTGATTGGCTGTGTTGTTCTGAGGGAGTTTCTTTCCTCTGTGTGTTTGTTTGAATGTCTCCCTGCTGTGTACAAGGCCTGGTGTAAGAAAAACAAAACCTCTGGTCCTTTTCATCTCAAATTATATGCTGTTTTCTGCTCAAGTTTCCTTGGCAAAGCATTGTCAGGATTCCTCTTCTCTCTGGACTCCTATCCTTATGCCTCTAGTGCTTTGCAGGATTGCATAAGCAAAGTCGCAGGCCCAAGAAATTGCAATGGAAATGTCAACAGTGAAGGAGAAAGCAGCCAAAGAGCAGGAATGGGAAGCAGCTAGGGTCACAAGAGGTGAAGCTGAAACACACACACACACACACACACACACACACTTATTTTCAGTTTAAGGGAAACTTCACTGAGCTAAAATATTAAGCTAGAAGGGAGGCCTTGCTCTTGCCAGCAACTGCGCTGCAGCGATTTGCACTAAGTTCAGCTCCTGTGTCAAGCACAGCAGAAGCCCCACACAGAGCATATTGCAGTAATCCAATCCTGAAGGTAACCAATGCATGAACTACTACGGTCACATTTTCCTGGTCCAGGAACTGAGGGGT